CAATTTGTGAGCCTGAAGACATCTCGAGGAGGTCGTGTACAGGCCAACAGCAAATACCGAGGCAATGCAGTGTAATTCTTGAGTCTCTAGTGTCGATGCAATCTAGCAGCAGCTGTATGCATGAAGATGAGACAATTTATCGGCACCAATACTGCACTTTCGCTCCTCATCGATACTTTCAAAGCCAAGCCAGGCGTGATGGGAAAATTGTTTATTCAAAGAAGCCAGGCGTGATGGGAGAGCCAATGCGTAGTTACAATCGCGCAATTTTTATAGCATCTTTGCTCTGTCACTCACCAGAAACGCTGACCTGATATACCTAACAAGTGCAAACTCAGCACGGCGCAGATATGCTAGTGCTGACAAAAATTTGCGTGCTAGTCAATAAGGTGCCTACGATGCAAGCCCTCACACGAGCACTTTGTTAATTGGACTTTACCGTTGAAAGGTATCGTCTTTATCTCTGAGATAGTACGAAATGATAAGTACTTGGCAGTGGAAGAAGATTTACCGATATTTCGGTCTATTGATTCTGAACAACTTCAGCTCAACAGCTTGAAAGTTGACTTTTTGATTTGCAAGAGCGCTGCTATCAAGTCGCAACAAATTAACAAGTAAATGATGTAGAATTACTTCACCTTCTGCGTTCTTGGTATGGCAAAGGGATGTTTTGGTGTGGAACATGTCATCACGGCTGCTCTTAAAGCAAGCTACTCTACACCATGCCAAAATCGTTATAAGCTATGAATAAAGCACGTTTGTCCTTACGTTTCATCATGCCGGTCGAAGCAACTAGTACGGCACAAAATATATCATACCTTGACACTCAGCGCCAATGCCCATTACATCAGGCATTCGGCAGCTGCAACCAATGCAGCTGCAAAATAGCTGGCAACACGATAACAGAACCCTCAGATCGTGTGAGCTCATCTGCAACGTATCACGGATTGCCACGTCGGACTGCAGACCGAATTGCTACGCAATAACTGAATTGTTTTATACGTGTCGGCTTCTAGGAATCCGTGCCCCGCCGGGACCAGATGCGCCTGTGTAGTAGAGATACGAGCACCTCTTATGGAGCTGTCTTTTTGCTCAAGTGGCTTAGGCACAACTTATCACTCACTGGAAAGGGTAGGGTGCCGTGGCGCTTGCAACGTTGTAAACGTGCATCATGTCTCGAACTAAACCGTATATCCGACGGATGGCAACACAACAGTGCCCAAGACGAACCAGATGGCTTTGCTGCCGATTAAGCTCGATATTGGGCGCTCTTCTGCACGGTCGCGATCACGAGCTCTACATCAATCGTGTCAATCATGCTTTCCGCGGCAAACGGATGACGGCACAAGAAGGGGCAGTGCCCTACTGGATGGCAGCCCGCAGCTTGAAGCCGTCGCCAAACGCGACCACCGCAAGGCGGGCGCTGTCATCCGCGACGCAACTTTACACGCGAGCGTCAAAATCCTCACCTACTTACTGAAAGAGTTCACGGAGCCCCATGAAGAGTGCCGTGACACAATGTCGTGTCTTTCGGCGCCGTCGTTTTTATCTCAGCTACGGATAGAGCGGAACGTTGTACTATTTATAGACATTTTGAATCTCTCTTGTACAATTGTCTCGATTTATCAAATACGTGGGTATTGAACCTTATAATGAGCTACCGGATGGCAAACTGGTGTGACGCAGCCAATGCTGTCCGACATAAAGTACAGTAGTACAATAGGTCGTTGATACAACTTGGCTATGCAATCACCAACAGCAATGTTTGCAGACGCGTTACATCAAAAAGAGTGCGTCAATTCCAACGTAACTGCAACAATCAGCCGATCGAGCGGGTGCTTTGTACACAGAGGCGGCTCGGGACTGTCATTGCGATTTGCCCACCGTGATAAAAACATCTTACGTCAGCGACGTTGTTCCGCTCATGTCGATAGCTCGCTGAGTTTCGGGCTCATGATGTCAACATTCCATGTCCATTTCGGAGGTGTTCAATTCTTTTAGTACGTTTGGTAAAGACCCATGAGAACCCATTCTTACTCTTGCTTAGACAGCTCGATTGAAGACACCCGTGCATCGGCAAAACCATTTGATTTAAGATGCAGCAACAGGTTTTTGAGAACCATGTGTCGTTACAGCGTGACGTTGACCATCTGGCGGACCTTTGTCCTTTTCTAGATGATGACAACTGGTTCCCGTCGCACTCTAAGAATTTCATCATTCACGATTTTTCAATCTCTTCTCATCTATCTACGTCGTTGCTAGAGAACATTCAAGTTGCATACTTGATACGGCATCATGAAGTTTAAACTACCCGAAAATGCGTTTCCAGAATTGCACTTATCCAAAGAACTTCAAAACGAACTGATTGAAGAAGCAGAGAGCGTAGTGCGCGACACGCTTGCTGCTAACGAAGCCTTCCTTGCTGATGGTGCAGTATTTCGAGACCCCAGATGGAAACTTGTAAAGACAAAAGATGGATTGCATGTGTATCACCACCAGCGGACACCGACTAGGAACTCTACGGAATCTAGAACGCTGCAGCGAAAGGAACAGTTTTCTCCGCCCCTCCTAAGCGAAACTATGACCATAGATTCTTCGGGGGCTAGTAGTAATGTCGAGACCGGATACGATCTTACAACTTCAGTGTCTGCATCAACTGTTAATGCGATAATGAAGAGTCCAAAAGGTTTTCAAGTGGCACTTCATGGGACTGTGGATGGAAATCTAGACGATGCCATGTTCGGAACCTTTGCCACTACGAGCCAGGCCTGGATGTGGCGTAGCTCGCATACTAACGATCACCTTGACGATGCACGTGTATTGGCAATCATAAGAGGCCCGACAGCGCAAGATCCTTTCCGCTTCCTGGGTGTCAAGTGGTTTGTCAAAGAGCGCCCTGCTATGCTTGCGGGAATCGTTCAACAACGAGATTACCTCATCCTTGAGGCCACGGGGTTCACACGCGACTCAGATGGCGAGAAAGTGGGGTATTATCTCATGCACTCAATATCGCTGCCACGTATGGTACCGGAGCTCTCAGAACTTGGCCTCCTTCGCGGAGTCTTAAGTCTTTGCTACATCGACCGTCAACGCAGCCATGGAAAAGTCGAAAAGTACTGCAGAGGTTTCAGCAATCCTCGAGGAAAGATAAGCAATAAGATGGCTGTTCCACTCACTGCTGACTCGCTCATCTGTGCAGCCAAAATTGTCGATTACGCGTATATTAAGAAGCTAACGTGGCTTATGAAGCACAAAGGTAATCAACGTTTGTCGAGAGAACGACAGACTCAAAGACCTCGTCCCAAACACTGTCAGACCTGTAACAAAAGTTTTACTAAGCTCATGTTATCTAGCGCTGCAGCTGGAGTGGCCTGTCAGATCTGCCGCCGTGTCCTATGCGGCAGGTGCACTGTTGCCAAAAAGATGACGGTGGATGTATCCGACACTGGAGCAGTAAAACAGTGTGCTCTTCGTTTCTGTCTTGAATGTCTACGCGAAGCTAAAGAGTATCCAGCTTGGGAAATGGTGCAGACTGGAATCAATACGTCTGCTTCGGACTCAGCCTTTGTCGGCTTTTGATTCAAGGAACTTACCGATATAGCAAACGGGTCTGTGTTGCTAGCTTCTATGGTCTTGCGTACGGTTATTATGCTAATCAATAATGCTTAGGGAAGTTCATAGTAGTAGAGTTGAGACTATCATCCATTACGTTCGTATATCGCAAGTACAGGTAAGCCAATCGCCACACGAACGAGCCAAGGATGCCACGATTTGTCGCAATATCGAGGTCCGTTATCCATGAAGCTTTCGATTGGAACTGCTGTTGTTTATCCATGGGGTTGAGGAGGTGACATCAATAGTTGACAATGTGTAAGATTGGTCACATTGCGCGCAAGGTTTGGTTCTGTAGTTGTCGTCGTCATTCGATATAGCAACGCGATTTGAATTGCATCGGCTGTGTTTATATGCTGATAGCATATCATTCCGATAAGAGTTGGCAGAGCGTAAGGTCCGGGTCAATTTTCTAATCCACTGGGCCAGAAGGTGTTCCCATGAATTAGGAACACAGCGCATACACTGATTATAGTAAGCTATTGGTCACAACCTGACATTGGAATGAAGAGGTACTAAGCTGAATACGTGCCAAGTGCGGATCATCTACAGCGGTCAGAGATAAAGCGGGTACGAGTCCTCTGTCTCCAGCTGCTGTGGATCTTCCGAAGGTGTTCTTCAAGAAAAGCCGAGTTCACACTCCTTGTCAGTCAATACCGTGTCATTCCTTCGCCATTTCTTGCTGACGCATAGCTGAGTAGATTGCACGGTCATTCATCGCATCGCATTAACGCACGTCTGATTGAAAACCCGTATCGTTTTCTTTGCTGTTTCTTGCTGACGCATAGTTACAGTCGAACGCCGGTCATTGATCGTATCGCATCAACGTACGTCTGATTGAAAACCCATATCGTTTTCTTCGTTTAGTAGAACACACGGTCATTGCTCGTATCGCATCGACGAACGTCCGATTAAGATACCGGTGCGCGCAACGTAGACAATGAGTCGAACATCGTCAAACTAGGAGCTTCGATTCAATCTCGAACAACAACGTCGAAAAATACCTGCTGACGTCAGCATAACTTCTATTCATAAGCTACGAACCTTGACTGGCGCCGGTTACTCACGAATAGATGATCCATTTTATAAATTGTCCGGGTCTTCTAAATCGTGGCGTACCGATCTAGAACGTCGTCCTTGAAACCGAAGGCGATACAACATAATGCATTAGCAAAGTCAGTGGTGTTATGCTAAGAAACGTGCTCCTATATGACACTCTCTGTCATGGCTATGCTTCCCTCAACTACACCCGTCATCGATCGAAGGTCGCGAAGAGTCGATCATCAATCGGTTGGCGCGTCTGTACTCTTGCGGTGATACAAATTGGCATCGTGATGAGGTTGCGAATGCGAAATGATGGCAATCGTCAGCTTGACGGCGAATTATTCCGCTGGTCACTCTAGAGCGTTGGGTTGCATTCTGATCGCCCGGAAGCAAAAGCAGGGCTTAAACACTGCTCGATGTGCTTTACCACAAGGCAATTTTTGAATGCTCTTCCAGTAGTAAAGCGCTGCGGTCTATCGCCGTACACTCGTAGTCGAGATTTTCAGTAGAAAACAAACCTACTGTTGTGGCTGTGCGAGCAGTTTGCTCGAAGGCATTCAGCTAAAAACTTGTCTGGTTCCAGGACGCACTTGTTGAGTCGCTTGCATCGTCGTCCACGTGACTTGTGACCATTTGCACACATGACAAGAACAAAAACAGTTACGTGCGTACTTGAGCATGACAAACTTCCTTGGGTATATAGGAGCTGCGAACGCTGCAAAAGTCCTGTTTGAACAGCAGCTGCATGCTTAGATGGAGCCTTGCCACATATCTTTTCTTTGCCTGTTTGACACGATACTACAACTTGCATCGATGTCAAGTGCATGCTCCACTTTAAGCTTGCAGCGCAAAGGAACACTGCATCGTGAGATAAGCAAACGCAGCTCCTTCAATTGCAATTGCACAACACCGTAGAAAGCGGCGAGGTTGTTTGTCTGTCGCTTGAGATCATGTCAGGACCAGCTATGATTAGACTAGAAATAGTAGAAGACAGTGAGCGGCCGACATGACATCGTATAACTTGTGTACGCAGTATTTTACTTCCTAACTTTCTCTTCACGGTAACTCAAAGCCAAAAGAAAGCGATGAACGAAACAATGAAGTTGAATCAATCGCTACGCTTTGTTCGAACTACCTCGATAAAATGCATGCAGTAGAGGCTTCGTTATCGCACCTCCAAGCCTTGAGTAACACTCGCCTGCGGTTATCGTTATTGATGCCATCTCGGTAGTAGTGAGCTGTCACTTGAGTAGTCGTGATGATCGGCTGTGGTCTATAGTATCTGATATCCCTGCAACACGGCAGACTATACACCGCCAGAGAAAATAATGTCAAACATCCTACGAATGCTATGAAGTTTGCGCGTGGAGATTTCGTCATCACTTGAATCTTGTTCTGCAACATCGTTGAGCAAGGAATGCGGGACCTCGCAGAAAGTATTGAAGATTCGACACGCGCGCTCAGCGCATTTCATAATCGCTTTAGCTTCTACTCCAGTTCAATTACTTGGATTGGAAGACAAGTTAAGAACCGAGTCGTAGCGGAAGCCTTGACTTGATAGCTACAAAGTTAGTTTTCATCGTATGTTCTAGGAAAAAAATTAAAAAAAAAAAAAAGGGAAAGGGATAGGAATATAACTTCCTCTAAATGTATTTCGTGTTCATTGGCATGTCTGCAAGATAGAAAAAGCATGACCCGAGGAACCTATGCTTCCTACTCGACATCAAACACCTGACAGCACAAGTGCAATAATGACGTGTTTGCCTACCAAAACTAAGGATGAAGGTCTCTTCAATTGTAAGCAAGTGCTGTTTAGCTACAGATTGCCAGCGGACAAATAACTGACGCGCTCTCAACATTTTAAAAACACTTCTTAGCTTTCTGGATGCCGTGGCCATTCATTAAGTACTTATACCCGCTCAGTCTAAACTACCTTGGTGACTGGGTCACCTACCACTTCTGCTGTTCGATGGCTACTTCGCGAGCAGAAATTTGTTTGGCCTCCAAGAGGCACTCGAGACAAAAGAGCATGGACTTTTGTATCACCTCGCTGCCGATGGCGATTGAAATCTTTTTGTATACCGAACATTTACCGCAGAATGAACGGCGGCAGACTTGACATGTTCCTCCGCGCTGAAGCAGCAGGTTGGCCAATTTATTGAGACTACGCGTGCAGTTGGAACAGTGGCTACTTGATCCGTGAACGCCGGTACCCGAGCGAGCTTGACGAGACGACTGCTTCATCATCCATGTGAGCTTGTAGGCTGTCGCACACTCCATTGTATTCACAAGTGTCATAAGCTTCTCAGCAAAAGCCGAAGCAGCGACGTTTACGGGTAAGTCACCATCTAGCTGCAGGAATGCACGAGTAAACATCTCAACGGAATGGTGACGTGAGCCAGCCACGGGGATGCTGCTGTTTGTGAAAGTCTGGCACGCCGACATGTGACCTCGAAGTACTTCGTGGGAGCTTGGCAGTGTCAGGACGTCCGACAAATCCGTGGACTGACGCACACCGTAGCTGACAACTTCTCCACGTGAGTTCTTTGTAATACCTATCGACTCAAGAAAAACAAAGTCACGAGGTTGGCTGAAGCGGCCGTACGTCTGACGTCCCCACTTGACACCAATGAATGAGAATGGATTTTCAGGAGTCGGTCGGACCAAAACAAAGAGTAAACGGGAGTCTTCGAGGTCCGTACCAAGATACGATTGACGCATTAGACAATGCTGTTCCGAGTCGGCTAGGATACCTAGCGCGGCGTCTTCAGCCGTACCGTCAACCGTGCCCGAAAGCACTACGGCAGGTGGGCGCACTGTCTTCTTGACACGTAACCGATCGCATTCTTGCGAAGAAACCGACGACGCGGAGACAGGGAGTTTGTGTATGGTCGATCTAGAGCTGGAAGACGACGACGATGAAAGCGCGTCCGATGTTTCGGTACCCATTTCAGACAAATCGGCCCCATGCAATGCACGACGCGAGCGGTAGGCACGCACATCATCCTTCGTATGTACAAGTTTCCATGCCGAGGTATCGAGCTGACGGCCTCCTGCAGCAAAGGCCGATCGTAATTCAAGGGTGCTCTGCACCACGGCCTCAACTTCGGCAATCAAAGCTGCTTGACGCTCTGGTGTTAGCTTAATGTCCGGTAGGGCTACATCATGCACGTTAAACTTGGCCATGATCGAAATAATTGACCGAATAACTTGCGAGTTTTGCGTGGTTTGTGAAAGTGAAAGAGACGATAACGATAACGACAACGACCAAGCACGGCAAGACGTTTGCTCACGTGTTGGCAGTCGTAGCAGCCAGTTTAACCCATCAAATCTCTTTATCTTGCTTTGGGCACCATAATTTTTTCAGTCCATGGCATGGACAGGGCTGCAATAGAGCACTGTATGCAGTCCAAGATGCTTAGAAATGCTTGAAAGGTGCACCTTTGTGTCCTTCTGTCTGGGTGTTGACACTGAACATTAGTGGACACACTGTAAGAGTTGTGGTATATATTATCTACGTCGGAAGAATAAGCTCGTGTCATGTAGACTTTCTATTTCAACTCACCTAACATCATTTAATCTACGTGGGCTTTCGATCAATGCACTTTTGCATCAGCAAGAGGTTTGGCTGTATACGCGAGGATGCTTTGCCACCTTTTGCTGAGGCAGGAGCGTCTACAACGCCTAATAAATACCGTGGCCACATTGTGGTGGCTCTACATTCGATTTGATTGTACGTCATTGCGTGGTGCTAAGTGTGCTCTTGCAATGGTTTAAACTGTAAACTGCAACAACATTTCAAGTGCTCGCAGCTGATGGGTTAGCGTACTTTTGTGTGCAAGGCAACATGTTTCCAGCCGTGACAACATGTTTCCACCGACAACAAACATGTTTCAATCAAATGTGATCGATCAACAAGTTAAAAACCATTTGAACAAAGTAAAGTGATAGTGGATTCGTGTGGCTAGAAGCTGTGGGGGGTTTAAGGTCAAACGACTAAAGATAATGTTTCAATTGGCTATCGTAGTCTCGCATGGAAAACTCGCGGCGACTGACAAATCATGGGTTGACAGGTCTGGAGCTGACAGTCTCCTCATCGTATTGTTGGGGTCCAGTGGATTGTAACCACGTTTCAAGTAAAATTGAAGGGCTTTGTCGACGTGTCAAACTCAAGGCAGCACTATCGATCGGTTGTCGTGTTATTTCCTATGCGCTCTGTTTCACAGAAGCACTATTGATACAAAAAGGTAAGTGAAGTAATTCGTGCGTAGTCTCGATACAAACGAATGATGTTAAAGTGCACGAGGAAACCCTTTTGCGTTAGGGTGGCACTTCTTCTGCGAGACGTTCGCCTTAGAGGTGGGACTGCATTGACGTGAATACGTTTACTTGGAACTTTGTGGTATCCCATCTAAATTGAACGTGTTCAAAATAATCTAGATGACTGTCACTTCAGGTTGTTTTTCAGGCGACAATCAAAGTAGACCGCTTTGTAGCTAGCATTGTGGGTTGGAGCTTTTTGCCATACGAAGCAGATTGAAAGCAAATTGATATCTTTTCCTCGCGTGTATGGCTATTGTCTAGATCTGGGAAAGATATCCGCCCACGCATTAACGTTGCATCGGAACAAGGCTCGCTTTAGCTACCGGCATACGCTGCTGTTGCTGACAGATTGCATTGTAAAAGGCTACCGTGTCATCTATTGTCAACACTTATGACCAACGTGTCCAAGTTCATTTGACCACGATAACGTAGGTAAGATCATGAATTCTTTGCTGGTAGTGTGTATCAGCGCGTTGTCTCGGCACACCCTGGATTCACAAATTTGCGACGCCAAAAAAAAGACAGTAACAACTCCATGATGATGGGACATGCAAATATGCCCATTGCGCCCTGTTAGCTACATGTACGTAAGATAGGCCGTGTCTTACGCTTCTCCTACAATTAGTGTAACATATTATATACTACTAGTCCAGCCTTGCAGGAAAATAACAATAGCCTTCAGGCTTATACTGTAAGGAAGGTGATCATTCGTACCAAAGCGCTAACATTGTTTCAAAATTGCCAAGCAGCTTAGTTGTTGTTTATACAGTCAGATGCATTGTACATTGTGCCAATCGATATAATGGTCCAGCTTCGTACTTTGACTCTTCTAGCTAAAGAAATATATACGTCGTGAATATGTATGTGCTATGAAGAAAAGGTACTCAAGTTGGTTTGTTGCCAGTTTATGTCTATAGGAGATCCATGTATTTGAACGGCACTACGTACGCATCATATCCGGAGCTTTTCATGTGACAAGTACAATATCCAACTCGTGACAGGACACGACGACACGTTTTGACCGAGACTACGATACTGTCTCAGTGTTATTTTAGACATGAACAAGTTGAATTAACCTCCTCCATCGCAACGTGACGATCATTTCTATTGTCGTCTCTGCACCTTGTCAACAACACACCGGGTTGGTCAGAAGGTCGGACTTGAGTGACGGTACCACTTACTGACTTCATTGTCCTCGATAATAGCAGTTTCTCACTAAGACAACATTTCTCATACAGGTAGGAACACTGGGGTAGTATTGGAAGGTTTGTTTAGTTGTATCGTTGCTTCTCTGAATGTCTAAGCCATTAGAGGTGACTGAATACTAAAACGTTGCCAAAAGCTCAATTTGCCTGTACACTTTAACTAAAACGTCACTTTATATGTCTAAAAATCATTTAATTTCACTTGTTTTTCGATCATATAATAACATTACGATACAATATTTAGCAATAAACAGCGTGAAACTCAGATAATTCCAGCAACGTGAACCAATGAAAATTCAACTCGACAATAAAAAAAGTCCTTATGTCAAAATTTGTCACAATTGTTTTTGACTTGTAAAAAAACAGACAAAGGAAAGAGAACCACATTTCAAATGCTACGACTTGCAACACGTCGACGACCACGTTTGTAAAATGGCACAGAAACAGCCATTTCAATTGGACACATTGTGTATCGCATCTCCAAGTGTCCGTTGATATCAGGAAATGTAACGCTATCATGGGAAGAAGATCTTGGCCAAGGTATACGTACAATCAACTAACATTGCTGGATATGTATAACCCTACCCTGAATGTACTAATATGTGTCACATGATGAATGTCACACGTGACAAATTGACGTTATCAAGAGCTTTCGACATGTCGCAAACGAATCAAACGTGGTACCATTCAACAAATGACAATGCACTGACTTGGAAATCAGGAGCTCTAGTAATTGGAATTTGTGGGGTGTTGGGGTTATTTGATATACAAGAACCAGTCGCATGTGCTTCGAACAAAGATAAGGATGAAGATTTTATAGAGAAAGCGAAGAAGATGGTGCAAGAGTTTTCTACTAGTGCAATTACACAAGTTGTATCATTATTTCCAAATGATGACAAGAATGTGAAGAAAAAAATAAATACGTTTGTAGCCTCGGGTACAGGAGGTCAAATCTCGTGGGGTATCTGCATGGGCATATGTGCAGGTTTTGCACTCAAGAAAATGTCAAAGCTGGGTGTCGTTTCGATTGGCGCTCTTTTTGTCATGTTACAATGTGCTAACTATTCGGGATATGTGGACGTGGACTACAAGAAGCTGAAACGGGATCTCAAGGATTGTTTAGATATCAACGAGGTATATGATTATGCTGGAAATTTTGTAGTGATATACGTAGAAGATTGACGAGTGTGTGGTATTCCTCGTTCTTCTCATAGGAGATCATCCTTGATACCAGAGATTTGGACTCCTTGTACCGGTCAATCATGAAAACTCTCCAGGCTAGTCTTCCTACCGGATACGGCTTTGCTGCGGGTGTTATAGCGGGCTTTCGCTTGGGCTGATTTCGGTGAGACGTGTGGCTATTGCGGTCAATGGGTCGTGATAGTCAAAACAGTTGCTTGTGTGTTTAGAAGACAAGAACTTTGCTGGTTTGATTATACGATGCTTCCAGCTTTACTGCTACAAAATGTTGCAAATAATGTATGAAGGATAGGAATGCCTGGAATTCACGCACGACGCTTTAAGACGAGTTAAGCATAAAGAACGACAATGTGAGCGTATTATATCACGTATGCAAGGGTCAGGCCTTTGCTGTGATGGAGGCCACCCTACCATTGTTAAATATGCCGTCCATAGGCTGAATACCAAACCGATTGCAATGGTTCCAGCAAGAAATTGGACAATTAACATTCTTTGTCAGATACCAACAATAAAGTTCATGGTGTGAACGGCATAAAGCAAATTAAGAGTGCAAGATCGAACGTCAAGTCCTAACAAGTTGATGTATGTACCTAGAAAAGATGTTATGGTACTTGTTGTCTCGCTATCAATGACATGCTAATCTTCTGATATTATTTACCATTGAATATGCCCTTGCTGTTGTAATATCAAGTCATGTGGCTGTATTCATGGTCAAGGAATCCTAGCACTATGAAGAAGTGGTTGAGTCATCGATGAGAATTTCCACTCAACACGTTCCGTCAATAACATTGTGCCATTATCGAATAACACTGAGCGTGGACTAGTCAGTCAGTCTTGAGTTACTAACACCGCCAACAAAAAATGACATGTCTTGCACTAAATACATTAACTCTCAAGACTAAAGCAAGGAGCTTCTAACATTTCTAAATCCAAAAAGACCGTGGTGCTACTTGATGAAACACGCAGGTACTGATCGGGCAAAGCAAACAAAACCGTAGCGCTCACGTTTCTCAAAATGCGACGTTTAGCAAACAGGCATACATCGCCCAAATCCGTACGTCTACTCTCCACATCAACTCAGCTCTACAGGTCGACTTCATTGATGCGGCGGTGATTATTATGCTGCATGACACCGTGGTTGCGCTGCATGCCAAAGTTGCTGCTACCCTGCTGGGGCTGAGGTCCACGAAAATGGGTACCGTAATTGTAGTCAGCTTTAGAAGGGGTCTCCTGCGTGCAGTGGCGAGCGTCTTGCATTTTCGGGGTCGCGTCACCTAACACAGCCAAAGAGTTGCCGCGGACCTGGTGCGTGTGGTTATTGTAGTACTGTGGCTCGCCACCCAGAGCGAAAAAAGCCTCAGAGCCCTCGCGGGCGTTTGTCGTCTGCACTGTAGCCGTCTTGCTGTTTGCCGACACACCGTCACGCTTAAGCTTCCACGTGCGGTAGAAGATGTACACCTGACGTATCATAAGGCACACCAACACCAGCACTTGCAAGCCCACAATGGCAAAAGCCACACCCTCACGGAGGTCGTCTGGGATGCTCTGCGTAAAGCTCGTGGCGCTCGACAAAAGAAAAAAACTCAGAAAAAGAGCCGAGATCTTGATGATAATCACAAAACTTGATGTCTTCTGCACAAAAGCTGTCGGGTACGGCTGCTTGATCTCCAAGTACAGAAGGAACACGATATGGAGTGCAATGAGTACGATAATCTGCCAGAGGCCCTGAATCCAGACCATGCCCGTTGTCATGCCGCACAGCAGCGCCAAAAGAAGCTTAGGCGCAAAGAAGAAGCGGCCCTCAAAGCTATGCTCATCGTACAGCGGTCCATAACGGTTGTGGAATTTCTTGTCAAAATGGTCCTTCGTACCCAAGTCACGCAGCTCGTCTTCGTTGTTCTTTATCACGATAACGCCGTAAAGAATGGTGCCGAAAGCCAAAACCAGCAGCGTGGTAATTGCCAAAAGAAAGCTCACGTCCAACGAAGCGTGGTCAATGCAGTAGCAGATTTGGTACATTGCCGTAGCACCAACCACATACTCGGACAAAATCAAAATCATCATGAGCACGCCGATAGCTTTATCAAGCCACTTGCAGCTAAATGTTGGAAAATCCTTCACTATAAAGTAACACACACCCATTGCTGTCGCATACAGCCCAAAGATGAAGCCTACCATGCAGGCTATACCTGCCACAGCCAGGTAGAATAACATGTCAGGTCTCACTCCAATGAGGGCCGCATACTTCTCCATTCCCTGGACACCCGTTTGAGCAGCACCGGCTGCCGAGCCAGAGCTGCCATTTGCATTCACCAAACGACGCGAACTGCCAGTGGGCCTTGCAGAGGTTACATTGGTCGAGCTCACGTTATAGGATGACACTGCTTCAACCTTGCCAAATGGCAGGAAATTAAATGTAGCCGGAGCCATCTTTCTACCCATATCCTCCATAAAACGCGGACGAGCGTCAACGTTCATCTGATTGAGCATGACTGAAAACTGACAAATATCCACAGCAGCCATAGTAATACCCACGCTGGCAGCTGCTGACACACTCGAAACCACACTAGCAGAAGTTCCACCGACGATGCCACTGGCTATTGACATGACACCCCCAGCAACAATAGAGACCGTAGCAGCTCCGCCACCAATGGTCGTTGATGCGATGCCAGCCTTGTCCACTGTCTTCTTCTTGGCACCATCAGGCCAGTGGTGGGAGTCTGCCAGGCCTTTATTGGCAGGCACCGCATACCTCACGCCTGGATTCGTCGACGTATCAGGCGCTTCAGGCGAAGGCGCCAAGCTAATCATACCAGTACATTGGCACGTACTAAATGACTCATCGTTAGTGTAGTCACACTCCGTCGTAGCGGCAAACGTGAGGTTTGAAAAGGGTTGTTGAACACTTTCAGCAGCAGCTTCTGCCGCCCGTTGTCCAGCAAAACTCATGAGCTTAATGAGATCCAAGCTCGCGTAAATCGCCGAATTAATCCCATCATCGGACGAGTAGTCCCACATGCCGTTATTACACGCCGGAAAACGGCAAATTGACATACAAGTCGCCAAGTCCAAAATTTCCGTTCCAGACGACGTCCCCGAGTATATTAAACACTCGGCGGACGATACAGCGGACGCAATATCTAATTCAGCGCCTTCACACGTCAATCCCATCATATTCCACGCACTATAAAAGGTTGAGTCACAGCTAAACTCAATTGTCGTGGGTTCCAACGGTCCTACCTCGTCTACGACATCACCAGACCCACTTGTAGACGGCAAATCCATCTGTATTGGCGATACCAGTGTTGAAGTGGACGTCGATGTATTTGGCACCCTAGGAGTCAACAATGGAGTTTTGGTCCCATGCACCACATCTGTTCCATTAGGCGGTGCTATTGTCGTAGAAGTAATTGCTGATGGAAAAAGCTCAATGGTTCCTGCAACGGATCCCGTACTTGATGCAACTTGACTATCATTATCAGCTTCCTCCATAAGACGACGACGACGCCTGAGCCATTTGATGTGGTATTATTGGATGGATTCGTTTGTGCAACTGCCGTAGACAATGAACTATCCAAACCAGTTGTAGAAATTGCTGTCGTCTCGGGTAAATCTACTGGTGTATTAGAAGCAGGAGGAGGAGCAGGAGTCACTGATGTCTTTGCAATAGACGTTGATGTTGTTGGACTAGACGCTGGTGTCTTTGCAGTCGACGCTGAAGTCTTTGTAACAGGAGATGTTAAGTTTGTTGATGCCGATGAATTTGAGATAGTAGACACTACATTGTCCTTGGTAGTGTCCACCTTGGACTCACTTTGTACAGGACCTGTCTCGTTTGTCGATAAACTGAAACTGTCCGATCCGGCTTCAATTGTCGCAGGCTCGTCCCCTAATCCATCATCACCTACTGTGCCCGTCTTATTAGTAGACCCATCCTTCTTGTCCTTCTCATCCTTCTCTTTTATCCTTCTCGTCCTTCTCATCCTTCTTGTCCTTCTCATCCTTCTCGTCCTTCTCGTCGGTATATGTATTCTTATCGAATAATGTTGCTGTAGAAGGTGTCGATATGGGCACTTTACTTGGTAAATTTGAAGCCGTTGGCATTGAATACCGAAACACACAAGAGACGGACCTGGAGTTCATACTTGCACTAGAATTGCTACTGTTGGACACTATAGGTGGACTTGCCGTGGGAATGGACACGGGTGTCGCCAGTTGCGCAACCGCAACATTGAGTGCCATGGCAACACTTGCTACAAAATACACACGCATGGTGTTGTCACCTAAAGAGACAGGGGAGTGGGGTAAGTCGTTTCGGTGATCTTCCTATTAATAAGACTGTCCTGTCGCTTTAAGCTACTTTACTCCCGGTCTTTTGCAAAAGTCAACAGTCACTGATGTTTTTGCTATTGCAAATGAAATGTTCCTCGGTTTCTTTTGGTCTTTCTGACTCTGTGGAGTGGCGCGATTGACAGACTGAAACTGAAAAAAAAGCCAGTGTCGGTAAAGGATAGGACGGAAGGGGTGCGTAGGTAAATCGGGTGGAATAATCAACCAATCAGCGTGTAGTTAGATAACAATGAGGTTGGTTTTCATAAGCCGATTAGAAACGTGATTTTGCCAGTATATTTTATCCTGTGTTATAAGTGCGCTTATGTCTCGCATATAAGATAGAGATTGTAGTTTAGAAAGATAGACATGCTTTAACAGAATATACACACTGAATTATTACTAAAGAAAGTTTTCTTTAGTAATAATTCAATGTGTATATTCTAAAAAAGTTTCTTTAGTAATGATTCAGTGTGTATATTCTAAAAAAAGTTTCTTTAGGATTTGAACTTGAGCTATGTATGCACCAGTCATCAATTAATAATATGTAAAGAAGCTTCGTACAACACAAAAGTAAGCGTAGCTGCTTTGTATTGAATGTTGGAGTGCCTGATTGCTACCGTAACCGTATAATAGAGTCAGCCTAGAACCTTGATCTTAATCATATTGTCTAATTGACAGGCATTTCGTTACCGTCCTTTTTAGTATCACTTAGGCACGCAAGGTTCTAAGAAGGGTCCACCCAACCTTCTGTCCATTTACTTTACATATCTTCTGTCCATTTACTTTACATTATTATGCAATGTAGTAATGTACCCATCAGAGGTTCTAGGACTTTATCTAGTGGTTATTATTACTTAGACACCATTGCTATCTTTTCCTATTAAGCAGACTGGAATGCGTTGGCAACAACGATGCATTGACAATTGTTCAAAAGGAGCGATAGTAGAGCTGTTAGTTCTACTTTCCTAACCGTTGTCATGGTATGCGCGCCATACTGTCCTTCTAACTCTGCAGTTATTTGAACTTGATGCTTAAAACTCACTATACTTTGCCATGGTCAAGTCATTTGCTTTGAAATGGCGTGTTGGTGGCAAGAACATTTCCGATCCATACATTGATTATTGAAGTGGCTGTATAATGATGTTGCAGCTGCTTAATGATGCAGCACAGTATTAAGAAACACAACTACGCTCCAGTATCGACTTTGTAAGCACGTGTATTGAAAGAACGAGAGAAACGGTTCGATACGATGACAGTTGCATGATCAACAACAATCAAACAATACTACTACTATAGGACTGTTGGTATGCACAACCTACCTAATGAGACTTCATGACCATACTGTCGTGTATCCTTCTGCATACCCTTTACCATACCTTTATCACGCACGACATTGTAATGACGCTTTTCAATAATCCCATCGTTTTTTGTATGATTGCATCCAGCCGTTGGTAAACATCTTTGCATCTCAGAGCTTGTCATACTGAACTCTCGCACGCTTTCACACTCATAACTACCAGCGACCAACTTTGTACTTGGCCAACTTGTATTGCATTTTTAGGGCATCATGATCTTCACGAATCTTTGTGTCGCTGGAAAGAGTTATTGCAAGGATCTGCTTTACGTGGTAGCTACACTGTGTAAAGCCTATCACTTCAAGGGTGATCTGGAAAAGACTTTGATAGATCTTCGCTTATTTGGTAGTATCTAAAGTGATGAGGAACAGCTCAAACGTTTCTGGTATCGGCCGTTCTATCCAAGTCTTTCATTATCACGGGCAACCATGATGTATCACTTCATCTTAAACGCATATCAAAGAGCAGATCAATGTGGTATAGCTAGGTGGGCGATGACCAACACACACTAAGATTTGAAATGGAGCCACGTGAATGGCAACTTTCTTCCTGTGAATGCCGAAAGAGCGCTCATGTGAAAAAAACTTCTTGTTGTGCACAAGAATAGCTTTGAACTGTTTGGTTATGAGAATGTGAAATACATGCAAGGGAATGAGATTCAAATAAGAGATGATCAATTACAAGTGATTATTCATTGTAGTATCACCATCACCGATGGACAAACTTGGCTTCATGAACTAGCCTAAGATGGTCATCTTAAAGCATTGGTGAAGACTACTACCAAGATTGAGCTCTAATGACGAAGAATAGCACGACGCCGAATTTTGTCACTGGAAGTATAAGACTTCGTCCAATACAGGCAAGCTGCTATTCCTGTTTCCAATTTACAACCGCATCGAGGGAAAACAGATGAAGGATGTCGCCACTACGCTCGTGCTTATCGTTTTTTTGGAAGCTAGCTTGACATGCGCTCGGATGTAGCAGCAAGCTTGATGCGCGTTTCATCATACCGTTCATCGTTCTTCCTTCCAAAGTGTACACGGTGCCGTGTAATGCGCTCATGACAATAGCCATCACTAACTTGCACGACATGCCTCTGACAGCATATCCTTGGCAACAAGAACGAGTAGTCCTGTACGTCTTCTTTAAATGATATAGCCAACTTTCTTATCTCGACGTGTGTGCAAAGTTTCACAGAGATGATAATCGGTCCAAAGGCCACAACGGTCCTTCTCCTCGAATACATTGCAACGGCTCATCACAAACAGCTATTCGAATAGCCAGCCACTGAATAATTGTTGAAAAGAGCATCCAATCAAGCCCTTCGTATACGTAGATTTCTAGCGCCTAGACTCTGCCTGTGTCTGGGTCTTTCTCAATGACGGCTTCATTTTGAAACTACAGTGTTGCGTATTTCATGGTGAAGATACGCTCATCGTCGATTACGTCAAGAAAGGTCAAGACGTGGCTATGCGTGAAAGGTCTTACAGGACGTTAGAGGTGTACTACTCCTTATAATACTGCCGCATAAATGAAGAAGGTCCGAATCTAGTTGAGTTCATGTCAAAGATCGATGAAAACTGCTGCATTGAAACAAAATACGTCAAGGTTTGCTTGGAAGGTAATTCAAAATGGATGTCCCGTCTAGCACTTACCAGCTGGTCGTTATCACCAATGTGTCATGTCTCTTCTAATACTTAATAGTATTAATTCTGCATAGCTCTTGTATCATGTGTACCACATCACACCCCCTCTCCTGTCATACTCATTCATTTCTACCATTTTCGTGTTTCAAAATGCAGGGCTCTGGACGCGTCTTGTTCCGTGCCTTTTTACGTGTCAATGGCGCCGCACGTTGCTCTTCCACTCTGCAACGTAGTAGTGCTAGTGTCTTTTCTTCATGTTCATGTAATTTTGATACGCTAAAGCTACGTGACGGCTGCGCTATGTCCATGCACACATCAGGTCTCACCACGATGCTGCCATTGCAAATACGCGCATTCTCAGCTTCTAGTGGGGCAATAAACGTACCTGTACCGTCTATGGGTGACTCTATATCGGAAGGAACAGTTGTTGAGTGGATTAAGCAACCAGGAGATGCTGTGGCTGAGGATGAGGTCGTTGTCGTACTAGAAACTGATAAAGTGAGTGTGGATGTACGTGCGCCCTTTGCTGGTGCCATGGGAAAGCAGCTGGCGGGTATTGATGATAATGTACTAGTTGGTACGCCTTTATTTCAGATACTTAAGGGAGAAACAGGTGCTGAAATGACGCAGGAGACGTCAAAGAAAGAGACACCAGCGCCTAGTGCCGAGAAAAAGGTTTCGACTGGAAACGAGACAACAATTCCTGTTCCTTCCATGGGTGATTCTATCTCAGAAGGGACAGTTGTAAATTGGATGAAGAAATCTGGAGATTATGTGGCCGAGGATGAGGTTGTCGTTGTGCTTGAGACTGATAAGGTGAGCGTGGACGTTCGTGCTCCCAAGGCTGGTACGATTACGAGTACATTGGTTAATTTGGACGAGACTGTCACGATTGGTGAACCGCTTTTTCAGATGAAGTTGGGTGGTGAGGCTCCTGTGGCCACTGCTTCGACGCCTGCGGCGGGGGATGCGTTGAATTCCACTACATCGGATCTAGTGACGATCTCGGCATCTGCTGCTGACTCGACATCTACTGCCGGCCCAGATCAAGCGGCCGCCTCAGCGCCTGCTAGTTCGGATGTGGGAATGCTGCTGGCTACGCCTACGCGCACGTCTCGTCGCGAAAAAATGAGTCGTATGCGTTTGCGCACGGCTGAACGCCTGAAAGAGTCGCAAAATACGGCAGCAAGTCTCACAACCTTCCAGGAGGTGGATATGAGCAAGCTCATGAATCTACGTAAGCAATACAAGGACGCGTTTGAGGCTAAACACGGTGTCAAGCTCGGTTTTATGTCGGCTTTTGTGAAGGCAAGCACCTCTGCGTTGCTGGAGGTTCCCGGTGTAAATGCAATGATCGACGAAGTACACCAAGAAATTGTTTACCGTGATTTTGTGGATATGAGCGTGGCTGTATCAACTCCTAAGGGTCTCGTGACCCCAGTTCTGAAGAACACCGAGTCCATGAGCTTTGCTGATGTGGAAAAGGGACTGGCCGAGCTTGCAGCTCGTGCACGTGATGGCAAGTTGACGCTTGAGGAGATGACTGGTGGCAATTTTACGATCTCCAATGGTGGTGTCTTTGGCTCGCTGATGGGTACGCCAATTATTAACCTGCCACAGTCTGGTATCCTCGGTATGCACGGAACAAAGATGCGCCCTGTAGTTGTGGACGGTGAGGTGGTCGTCCGGCCCATGATGTACCTTGCACTTACGTACGACCATCGTCTCGTCGACGGACGCGAGGGTGTTACGTGTCTGAAGGCTATAGCTGACAAGATTGAGAATCCGGAGCGACTTTTGCTTGACATTTGAGTTGCTTTGAAGGATGGTATGGATTTCTCTTGCAAGTAGCGTGGGATATCTACGTAATTGAATGGAAGTCAAAGCATGGGATGAGTGAAAATACCGAAGTATATCAATACAGAGAAGGAATATTGATACGACTTGCAAATGTAAGTTCAGCCTTGCGAACTAATGCTCTCATCTCAATATGCTGTCGTGTTCACTTCTTTGTATATTTGGTTGCCAATGCTATTGAAGGCTTTGTCAGAGAGTGACGTTTTGTCTCGCAAACATGACGATTTGTGTGTAGGCGGAGATATTTCACAATGTGGACCAACCCCACCCTTATCGTCATCATATCGTGTGTTGACGTCTCTTCGTTGATCACTTTAGAAGCTGTTAAGTCTCAAACTTGTCGCATCGTGATCATGTGGACACAATAATGTCCATACTCAAGTGTACATAATCAGGCACAAAAGAACTTTCGATGCATGTGACGAGTATACCGTATACTACCATATGTATACCAGACAGTCTTTGTTCATTTGCCATTTGATGCAGCAATCATTGCGAGAACGATGTGACCCACACTGAATTGGCATCGAACTTTGGTTGGCCACGAGCGTCTGTCTGTCATTGTGTTGAATCTCTATCATTCCTTGAAATGGCTTCATCAAATGAATTGAAATGGAGAAATGCTCGTCCTGATGATATGCATCACCACTTACGTGATGGCGATAATGCATTGGCTTGTACTGTATCACACGTGACATCTCAATTTGCACGCTGTATTGTAATGCCCAATCTTGTTCCACCTGTAACGACGACGGAGCAAGCACTGGCCTATCGAGAGCGTATCATGAACCATGTACCACAGGAAAAACGTGATCCCAATAGCTCCAATCCGTTTGTGCCTTTAATGACGCTTTACATGACAGACAGCACATCAGCCGACGAAATTCGTCGCGCAGCTGCTACCAAGAAAATCTTTGCTGTCAAGCTGTATCCAGGTACGTACAACGTTAGGGTCAAATCAATGCACATGTAGACTTACTTACAATGCTTGGTGTGTATTGTAGCTGGAGCAACGACCAACTCGGACTCTGGTGTGACCAATATTGATAATATCCATTTGGCGTTAAACGCCATGAGTGAAGTCGGCATGCCTTTGTTGGTGCACGGTGAAGTCACTGATCCATCGGTCGATCTGTTTGACCGTGAAGCTACTTTTGTCGAGCAAGTAATCAAACCATTGGTAGCCAAATATCCAAAACTAAAGGTTGTCATGGAGCATATAACCACCAAGGAGGCGACTGAATTCGTCTTGAACGCGTCAAATAACGTCGCTGCTACTATCACGCCACAGCACTTGATTTACAACCGCAATGCTATTTTCCAAGGCGGATTGCGTCCACACAAGTATTGCCTCCCAGTACTAAAGCGTGAAACGCATCGTCAGGCTCTGCTTCAAGCTATCGCCACCGGAAGCAAGAAATTCTTCCTAGGTACGGATAGTGCCCCGCACGTGTCATCCAAGAAAGAATCTGGCTGCGGGTGCGCCGGCATATACTCAGCCCACGCTGCGCTTGAGCTGTATGCCGAAACATTCGAGTCCATTGGTAAGCTGGATCTCCTCCGTGCGTTTGCATGCGAAAACGGCGCAGACTTTTACGGTCTTGAGCGCAACACCATAGGCGATACTGTCTTAAAGCAGGAGGAGTGGAAAGTGCCCGACCACTATACGTTTGACAACGGGGTCGTCGTACCCCTCAAAGCTGGCGAGACTATCCGCTGGAAGCTGGTGCAGTGAATACTTTACCACAAACTATAGACGTTGTCGTCGCAAAACGCAGACTAGGTGACGATGATTGGTTCACGCAGGAGGTGATGAGATGTCCAAGCTAGCGTGTTTTTCTCTCGTCATTTCAAACACTGACTTTAAAATCCGACACGTTGGTTCATGTGCTGTTGATGATGACGAACTGGGTGGAGAGGAGTCTCCATTTGCAGTACATGTGTCGCTTTTCTTCTTCTTGCCAGTTGTCATGACACTTCCTCGCACGATGAGCGCAGTCAGAAAGCTTAAGAAGTCGGAGAAGTCACGAAAGACTTGACTCACGCGGTAACACGTCTTGCCGACGTTGTTGTCAGGCTGCAAAGGATCCTCGATCACAAGCAATCCGTCACAAGAAAGTGGTGGTGCTAGCACTGATGGAGAGTTGGAGCGGGAACGTCCAACCGTCGGAGAAGAGTAAATTGTAGAAGGCGGCAATACATGTGGCGGTGGCGACATTGATCTTGCTACTGGTGATGTGTTCACAGATGCCGAAGTTGGCTCACCCCATGAAACAATCGAGATCAGGTCAAGGTTTTGTCTGAAATCGTTTCCGTAAAACTGCAGAAAATCCATAAGCAGTTTGCCCAGTAGATATGGTTTAGTCTCGTGCTCACATCCCTCATCCGAACCAGTAATAAAGGAAGGAAGCACTGCTCGCTTTGCTTTTTTCCTCTGCATTTTCTCTGTCTCGGTTTTTATCGGCTGCTGTCTTGCTGAGCATTGCTTAATAATTTCTTTCGCAATAAGCTCTCCCTTGAGACACTGAGATTCATACCGCATGTTCCAGCGAGTATTTGCCGGCAAACCAACTGGTTTCAGTTCGTCCAAATCATAATCGTATGCTAAATCATGCGCGACCTTTTGCCCGTCAGCCAGCAAGACTAGCGCGCCTTGCTCTTGTAGCACATACACCACCATCAAGAGTAAGCCGTACGATGATAAGCCTCCAACATATGGATCATTTAGCCCACGCTCCACCAAAAAATGCTTCAATACAAGTGTTAGCTCCCGCAGTCCGTAAAATGCACTTGCAAGACCTTGTACCAACGTAACACTTGCAACACCATTGTGGTGAATACCATGCGGTTCGTCGAATGTAATGTCAAACGGAATCCGTAGCTCCATCGCGCCGCCATGCTCAGAATCGTTGCTGTTGGCTTTTTCTACGCTGTCCATAGTCACCAGAACCACCACTTTCAATAGCGGGATTGACGCGCGGGTGATCGCGCTTACATCGACATATGCAGACAGCTCACGAAAATGTTCAGCCAAAGCCTCCACGCATTGTTGACCGGTCAAGTTGAACTCCTCCGAAGCTCCAAAGACTACAAGGTCTACATCACTTGCTTCCCCATGTAATCTTGTCGCAAAAGACCCATACCCTTCGACTTGCACGCAATGATTCCAAAGAATTTCAATCTCTTCCGTCACCATTGCAATAGCTTTTTGCATCCATGGACGCTTCTCCCGCGCTTCCCGTCTATGGTGATTGTAAAAGCCCACAATTTCGTCGTGAAGTACAGCCTGCATCATGGCCGTTTGCTCTTCGTAAAGTCTTTGCAAATTGCCCAGCGACAGTCCACCCCCGTTCGCTCTTTCTTCTACTCGATCTTCGTCCATTCGACGCTCTCGCTCTTTTTCTGTTGCTTGAATTACACTTCGTCTCCATTCAAGTCGTTCTTCCCACTCTTTCTCCCGTGAAATGCCATTCACAGGACAAGTTGCAAGATGTTCAGCCAATATATCTCGTGGACAAATTTCTTTGCAGCCAAGTACTGCATTCGGACACACCACATTGTACGAATACAAGTCGGTCATAGTGTCCTCCACCACTTGATCAAGAGCATCAGGTACCTGTCGATATACACATCTCTCCAAATGCAACTCGAGATCTTTGAGCATGCAGCTAAAAGTACATCCAAACCAGCTATTAGGACAGACAACTTCATAATCCTCTGAGAACCTTGAGATCGTTGATTGAAACCACTGTGTGTTCTTCATATTATCCAAAAACATCTCTCTCATCATAGCTTCTTGTTCCTTCTCAATAGTAGCAATAGCCCATTGTCTTCTTCGTTGTATCTCTTCTTCTTCTTCACATTGCAATTGTTTCAAGACATTTAATCGTCGAGTTCGTTCCTTCTCAGCTGCTTCAATGACCCACTGAGTCCAATAAGCTCGTTCAGCAGCCTGTTGTGCTTGTTCTCCATTCAAAAAAGCTCTCTCCTCTTCACTAAGCGTCGAATGACGAATAAACTTGCAAGTAGATGGTTGAACACGGCCATTGAGCGTCTCGAAACTCTGATTAGGCTCATGTACAAGAGTATTCCTTCGACAATACAATCTCTCGGTCTCTGGAGTCAATACTGGCACAACTGGAGACGCCACAAGACAATCCATCGCTCCATTACTGTTTCCTGATGGTTTATGGGGCTCTGCAGCAGCACAAAGTCCTGTTTCGTCCTCTGTAACGTCATCAACAGATTTCGACCTTGAGACCGACACATGAAGACGTTGTGTGGACGTTGTGGACTCTCGGAAGCCGTAAACAGCTGGTTTCTTCTTTGCACGACGTTTACGAGGACCTGAGTGTGTTTTTCGTGGCTTTATCTTGTCTTGAACGTGTGTTATCGTGTCCAAGAGCGCCGTCCCGTGACTCATGATGTTGTAGTGTCAATGTGTAGTGAAATCGTGTTTATTACACCATAACCGACATGTAATTCCTCAAATAAGGTAGACCACATGAATCTTTCAATATCCACGTTTAGTACCCTAGATTGTTTTGTCTGATTGTAAATATGAAGGTCGATATTGATGGCTTGGAAGTAGTATTCCCGTATGACCGCATGTACTCGGAACAATTACAATATATGCGTGAATTAAAACGTGCTCTTGATGCTCAGGGACATTGTATGTTGGAAATGCCAACGGGTACAGGTAAAACTGTATCTCTACTTTCCCTTGTACTTGCTTATAAATATGCCCATCCAACGGCTGGTAAATTGGTGTATTGTACACGAACAGTCCCTGAAATGGCAAAATGTGTGGAAGAGATTAAGCGACTTATGACATGTCGCATACAAGTATACGGTACCAAGGCACAAATCACAGCCGTTTGTCTCAGCTCACGACGTAATATGTGTGTCCACCCAAAAGTAGTGGCCCATGCTGATGGGGAAGATGTTGATAGTCAATGTCGAAAGATGACGGCATCATGGGTTAGGGCAAAAGCAGCTGCTTCAACTAGTTGGAACGTCCATGACGTTATCAGACCTCCGGACGAGAGTTTACAATCGATTGAAACCTGTTCATTCTTTGAAGATTACGAATCAAGAAAAAGTGATGATACAATCTTACCACCTGGTGTTTATGCTGTAGATGATCTGAAGGAATTAGGGACTCAAAAAGGCTGGTGTCCGTACTTTCTGACAAGATACGTTGTTACCTATGCGGATGTTGTCGTCTACAATTATCAGTACATGTTGGATCCAAAAGTGAGTCAATTAATCTCGAGGAATTTTGAGAAAGAAAGCATTATTGTCTTTGATGAAGCACATAATATTGATAATGTGTGTATTGAAGCATTGAGTGTTGACTTGGATCGACGAGGACTTGATCGAGCATCGAGAAATCTAACGGCATTGTCTAGTCAAGTGAATAAACTCAAGCAAGCGGACAAATCTCGACTTGATGCGGAATATCGACGATTGGTCGAAGGTCTTCGTTCAAGCAGTGCAGTCGTGACACCCACGTATACGGATCCGGCCACGCACCGACCAATTGATACGAGTCATGATATCATGCTTGCAAATCCAGTATTGCCAGATGATGTACTGGATGAAGCCATTCCGGGGAATATTCGACGGGCAGAGCACTTTGTAGCATTCATGCGTCGACTGATTGAGTATTTACTCCAACGAATTCGAGTACGACAAGTGGAATCTGAGACGCCTCAGGCTTTCCTTCATCACTTGCACCAGGCTATTAGTGTCGAAATCAAGCCTATGAAGTTTTGCTACACGCGGCTTAACTCATTGTTGCGCACATTGGAAGTGACGAATTTGGAGGAGTATAATTCTTTGATTCACGTAGCAGACTTTGCAACTTTAGTGGCAACATACGCAGAAGGGTTTATGCTGATCATTGAGCCATTTGATGGTGCATCAGGCGTCCACGATCCGGTGCTGCAACTTTCGTGTTTGGATGCATCGCTGGCGATACGGCCGGTGTTTGAGCGTTTCTCCAGCGTCATTATCACATCTGGCACGCTGTCTCCAATTGATTTGTATCCTCGCCTGCTAAATTTTAACCCTGTGATTCGAGAATCGCTGCCCATGTCAGTGTATCGCTCAAGTATTTGTCCGTTGGTGATTACGCGTGGTAGTGATCAGATGCCTGTGAGTACCAAGTTTGACCTACGTGACGATCTCTCTGTCGTTCGCAATTATGGAACACTTTTGCTCGAAATGGCCGCTTGCACACCTGATGGTATGGTATGTTTTTTTCCATCTTATTTATACATGGAAAAAATTATTGGTCAGTGGGATTCACTTGGCGTGCTGAAACGCGTTCTATCAAGCAAGCTATTGTTTATTGAGACAAAAGATATTGTCGAGACGACGTTAGCTCTGGATAATTACAAAAAGGCCTGTGATTGTGGACGAGGTGCTATCTTTTTTTCAGTTGCACGTGGTAAAGTAGCCGAAGGAATTGATTTTGACCGTCACTATGGACGTGCCGTGCTTCTTTTTGGTATCCCGTTTCAATACACGCTGTCAAATACGTTGCGTGCACGGCTCGAGTATCTTCGATATACTCATCAGATTCGTGAAGGTGATTTTCTTACGTTTGATGCATTGCGTCAAGCTGCTCAATGTGCTGGTCGAGTCCTTCGTAGCAAAACTGATTATGGTCTTGTCATTTTTGCTGACTCACGATACAATCGAGCTGACAAGCGAACGAAATTACCGCCGTGGATTACACAATTCCTCGTGGATTCACATTTGAATTTATCAGTGGATATGGCGGTTTTTATGGCCAAGAAATATTTGTCGTTAATGGCACAACCAGTCAATGAATCTGTGAACGTCAACTCGATCTTGCTTGATGCTGATGGGGTTGCAAAGTGGCTTGGTAAACATCCAAAAGATGACGAATCAATGCAGCCGTAAGTTTAGCATAACATGTTTTTTTTAAATGAAAACCGATAGGACAGTTTTAACAATCTCTAAAGTGTCTAAGTAACACCTTTAAACAAAGGTAAAAAAGAAAAGCAATTAATAATTTTTAGGTAAAACATGCTCCATTTTCAGTTAGACACCCTTAACAAAGTAAACAGTGACTTATACTGCAACTAGGTCGGATACTCCATATCTTGCTCATACACCTTTCTTAGTTGCGGGCCGCGTCAAGCACAATACCCTCAAACTTGGTCTGAAACCACTTGATTGCATCATCCTTAGTAAGACGGTGTGGTGCGCCAACACGCGATTGCCGAATCTTACGACGAGCAACTCGAGCTCCTGGACGCTTAAGTACCACGAAAAAGTCCATACCGTAAATACCTGTGGATGGATCATACTTGATACCTAAATCAATGTGTTCTTGGATACCAAATCCAAAGTTGCCCGTTTCCGAAAAGTTTTTACGAAGAAGTTCGTATTCCTTCACTTTAAGACCACGGTCTAGAATTTCCTGGGCAAGTTCACCACGGATTGTAACATGACACGAAATCTTTTCATTACGACGAATACCAAAGGTTCGAACCGTGTAGCGTGCTAATGAACAGCAACAACAACAAGAGAGCAGCACAAAAAGATCAAAGTTAGTCCCATGTGTCCCAATTTCTCTATCCTTTTTCTCTCTCTCTCTCTCCCTTATCACGACCAACTATTTCCTACACCTAGCACACTTTATGTTAAAACACAACATAAAGTGTCTAAAGCGAGTGTACACAACGATCAAAAATGATGAACGATTACGCTTCTTTTGCCATCTGTTGAAATGGTCGAAAAGATACACACCAACCTCCAAGATCATTGATGTTTGCGTATTGTATCAGTTTTTTCACCTCTTTCAAAGCTCGTTTTTTGTACTCATAACGAGCGCAATCGGGGATGAACTAGAGATTACGTAATACTCCAGCACCCGGAAAGGCCGTCAAATATTTAGACACACTCTCTTAATTGAAAATGGTCCGGGTAAGTAGCCCGTTAAGGCAATTCTTTACTTTTACACATGTGTTAAAAGCTTACCCTTTGAGTACACAGGCTTCTGACCAGTTAGTTGCTCAAGCACACGAGCAGCACGTGTTAGCTTATCACCCGACTCGCCAACACAGCAATTAATGACGAGCTTATCGACACGAATTTCGCGCATAACATTGTTACTTTTGTCGCCAGCCTAATGTTTCCGTTTTTTTTATCATTTCATAAAGTAGTAATAAGGTTAGACATTTGTTGTTAGTTTATAATGGCTAAAGCGAATGGACGTACCATCTTTAATTATGTTGTTTTGGAGCTTTTGGAGAAGTACTGGCACAGTTACGGTATCAATAATACCAGGTAATTAAAATGGTTGGTTGGGTACAAGCAAGCAGACACCAACCAATCGACATACAAAATGTCGCAGTATCGTGTTTACTATGCTGCAAGGCTACTGAGCTATAAGTCGACAATTGAATGAATCATGGCTTAATTGATGTGACACATTTCTTCGATTAAGTGCGATAAAAGCTCTAGAGGTGAGACACATTTGTATGTTGTATGCTTGCATGACGTTGCTCTGTTTATATAAACGATATGCTCTCTACTACTGAGTTGCTTAAGATTATAGACACTTATGTTACAATCAGCTATTTCTGCCTCAGTCTCAAACCGTTTAGAGCCTCTTCTAGTGGGTTCTTATCCGAGTTATTTGCCAAGCAGCATGCAATAAAGTGTATGCGTTAGCTTCACTATAGACCTCACGATAGATTAAGCAGCAAATGTAGTGCATTCCGTTGTGTCAACACTGTCTCTTCTTGTCTTGAAGCCGCCACTTGAGTTGTATGACCATTAATATGGTAGCAGAAAGCTCCTAGCAGCTGCAATCATCTTGGTCAGGATGTCTTATGCTTGATGAGTCACATGGGATCTCTACAGCGTAACTTTGACTTCCATATTTCCCTACAATAAGTTGTATGCAATGCATCTGAATTGCTACGATCGAGCTTCCTTGTTATTGTAAAGATGCAGCTCAAACGTCTTACGATGTGTGTGGTCCCTTGCAACCTTGAAGTCTTTCTAGCGCTAGACACGACCGAACTTGTATGAGCAAGTAATTTTCTACAACGACCTTTCGTCTTGTTAGACATTGCGACTTGTCATGCGCAATCAAACAAGTTAGATAATGCCTACGGAGACGGACGCGAGGCGAAACCTTTGGTGCAGTATGACGTTTGGAGGATTCGTCACCTCTAGCACGTATTGCTTCGTTCCATGTATTCTACCAGTCTCTACGTGTTCTACACGTAATGAATGATGTTTACAACAAGCAAACTAAAACCTGGTCACCATATTGCAGAGAAGAAGTGCGTTCTAGTCTATAGCCTTAGATTGTATCAAAAATCCAGGTCACAATCGGTTGAATGAGATATGACACAGTCGCAAGTTGTTGCTCGCCGTAATTTTCCATGACTTTCATTCAGCCTGACCATCACAAGTATGTCCAGTCGCGTATACAATGCTATGCTTATCATGAATCATTACGTTATAGAATCATAAGCACTGCAGTCATGTTGTAGTAAAAAGTAGCTTTGTCGTATGGATTGAATCGTCTTTGAGAATGATACGTACGTACGTACTCTTTTTTGCCGTCCAATTTAGCAGTACTAGCAGGTAGAAACTGCTTGGTAACGTTGCAATAGGAAGCGCTGGCTGCACATTTGTCGAAAACAATAACGACAAAGATACCATCGGGACATGTCAATCGATGGAATAGGTGTATCGAGCTCAGGATGTCTGTCGCGCGTCAGCAAACAGAGAATCACACACACGCACATCAACGACCTTGATTCTCTTCTATTTTCAAGCAAGATTCTTTAATTCTTGTATTGTTGCTAGCTCCTTCCTTCCATGCAAACACTGGCATAGAATGCATTTTTTTCGAATACTTTGCAGTCCAACTGCTTTCAAACGAAGGTGATCAAGTATAAAGGTAGGTGTAACTGTGTCAACGTAGATCCTAGTCAACTATCATGTCGTTGACGCCCTTTCATCTATCGTCTGTTTTTGTGTTAGACAGTTGTCCGATGCTTCAGCTTGATGGACATCTCCAACTTTTTTGTCAACCGTCTTCTTGCAACCATAACGGCTTCAAGAGTACAAACGATGACAGGCGAGTGAGATGCTATTGCTCGTCAAACGTGTGTATCAAGAGTTTCGTCTCTTCGCATTGTGTCGTGCGATGACTTGGCAAAGCTTCATACGTCGCTCTTTGCCAAGAATCAGCTCGCTACTTTGAAAGGTGCCGGGTTTGATGACCATCATCTCGACCCATTTCTTTGACCAATTTAGCTTGTCGCACCCTTACAATCTTTAAGAATAGAAAATTGGGTCCTTGAAGCAATACCTACCATACCTATTTGTAACCGCTACAAATAAAACCGGGTCAAAAGGGTCAGTCTTTGTCGCAACGTCGCCAAGAGACGTGCAGATCTGCACAGGTGGTCACTTCGCCTGTCAGCGCTGACGTCAGGAAAGAAACTGACACTACCTTGTGGTACAACAACGACGACGTAAGCAGCCTTTCACTATCGATTTTGCATTAATCGAAAGAGACGCAAAGACTCAAATATATACATATCAACACAATATCATTCGGAAGTCTATTTTCACTCAGTTTCACGAGATTACTATCAAACTATACTTTGATAAAGAAGAAAAAAAAAGTACCTACAACTGGATAACGGGGCATCTTAGTACAAAGTCATTCCTCCTCATCCAAGGTTTGTATCAACTGCGTGTGTACCATAAGGAGCCAGAACCATACGATCTAAACAGTATAGGCGACATCTTGTCTTGTGTCCCGTTTTTACCATCGCCGCGTCGCACACTTCAGTTTGATTGGCTTGTCTTGTCGTGAAATAGTCAGGTCGGCAATTAAAAGCACTTTTTTGAGGCTGCTTTTCGGACCCACTATTTCCCATAACGTCCGTCATTACCCAAACTGCCATCGTACCCACAAGTGACTCTTTTGTGCGATCATTCATTCGTATGAAGGCACCAAGTCAAACACGTTTTGTAGCAATGCATTTATTGAATGACTCGGATACATTGAAGGAAAAAAAGCAGCAACAAGTAATGACCAAATCTTCACAATTATGTCATTCACCTACTGATCCTAGTGAAGAAGATCCGATGATGACGTCGCCCGTATTAACTGGAAAATCCGTGCCTGTAACATCACCAACTACGACGAAAACTACGCTCCCAGGTCTTCAGTTTGCTATCTCAGCACAGCGTGCACCTAGTCGTGAATTACGGCTACCATCATTCTCTACTTCTTCTCCTTGTTTATATGAAGTGGAGAATCAGCATCATACATCTGGACCTGGTGCTAGTAGTAGCACGGATGAAGAAGAGATGATAGAGCCACGAGTGGAAAAGAATTTATCTTCAAGACGTAAGAAAGGAACACGTCGAGGAACACTTCATCCAGAGGCAAAGAATGTATTGAAAGCCTGGATGTTTTCACCTGAACATTTTGCACACCCGTATCCAAGTGAAGAGGAAAAGGAAGAATTGGCTCAAGAAGCTGGAATTGAAGTGAAACAGCTTTCAAACTGGTTTACAAATGCTCGAAAGAGACTGTGGCAACCTGTTTTGCGCCAATCGGGCGTAGAAGTCAAGAACTTTTTGTCAACAGGCCGAGGTGGTCCACGTGGAAACAAATTAGATGTGCCAGCGAATCTTCATGAGCTCGTAGTACCATCACCTGTACCCAGTCCACCAAGTTCACCTCGAAAGCGCTCGTGGTCTACGAGCTCTTCACCGTCTACTAGTTCTACCATTTGTTTGGATGAAGCAACAAAGTCCGTCAAGAACTCTCGCAAACGTTCAAAACTAAGCAATGGTGCATGGGATAAAAATCCTGTTACTCAACTGCAGAATCTGGAGCTTATTGCGGCGACGTCACTACTCAAGCTGCAGCATTTGAACCAGATTGTGCATTAGTTCCACGATTGAGCAATTCCAACAATGTTTGGTATTTATTTTACTCATCTGTATGTCGATAGTTGAAGCGGAAGTACAGCTAAATAGAAGAAAAGTATTTGCAGCATTCATATTGAAGGACTTTGAACCAACTCATTGGTCCCTGTATCCATCCAAACACGTTTGTATTCATATTGTTTGCTACGTAACGGTATCAGTATGAGACTTTCGCTGTGCCTTGCGTGCCAAAAAGCGAGCTTTAGCAGCAGCAATTGCGTCTTCCTTGCTCGGTTTCTCAATTTTCTCTGCTTGAATCAATGAAGCGTCTGTCTTGACATGTACATCCTTTGACTCAAGCAAGGTCTCACGAGCAGGTGAAAAACGACGATCGTCTAATTGCTCACCGCTTCTCGCCTCCTTGGTCGCAGCTTTGTCATGGGTCTTCACTAACTCAAGTCCATGAGAATCGTCACGTTCGTGGCCTCGCTCAGCTCTAGCTGCTTCAGCACTTGTCGTTATTGCACCATGTGTCTCCTGCACTGTGTATGCACTACGTGCATTCGCTATCGTGCCACCCATTGCTATATTCTTGTTAAGGTTCGCATAAAAGCCAGCCATGGCATGTTCGCCTTGCTTTGTGACATCCTCTTGTTCCTCCATAGCTGCAAGTTGTGCATCCTCTGCCTCCCACTTTTTCATCTCCTGTAACTTCCTCTTGTATGATGCTGATACAAGTTTTTCTTTATCTCGATACTGTGCCTCATCAGCATTTCGTTCGTTCAGCAGTCGTCGCTCACGAATACGTTCATTCTCCACTTCTCGAATCTTAGCTTGATGTAAGAGTGTACCAATGTACTTTGGTCTTTTCTTATCAAGTTCTCGCTTAGCTGCTGTTTCAATAGCTTGACTCTCCCTTGCATTCTTCATATCATCATACACTGCATCATAATCAAAGACCGCTGCGTCTTCGGCTAGTGCTTGAGCTCGTATTTTATCCACATGACTCTGCTGGAGACTGCAAACAGCTTCATCTCCTATTCGACGTCGAGTATTCACTTGATCATCTTCTTCTTGTGCCTTTAGCTTGTTGTTTTCCTTTGCTGCTGCAGCAAAAACATTGAAACCAGTGGCAAGTTCCTATGATAATGATACAATATGTTTAGGACAAGATTATAGTATGAAGACAACGAGGTGAGTGATGCAAATTGCATGAATTACCTTCTTCTTTGCATCCTTTTTCGGTATAATGAGTCCATACTGCTTTGTTCCTGACGTAAAGGGCGTATTCACAGACTTCTTCTTGCTCTTCTCATTCGTCAGCTTCATAGAAAATGATGCTACTGTAAATGAGTCGTAGTAAAAAAATAGTAATACGAATACTATTTTTTGATCACGACTCGTAGTAGTATGTTTAATATGAATTTGTTTGCAGCCTTGTACGAGTTTCACAATATTGCATTAGTACGTCATAAAAAGTCCTACAAATTCACAAATTCATCAAATAAACTTTGACATAAAAAGAAATTCAATGTTTGAACTTTCATCGTATTGTTAAAATGGTGTATCATACACCAAGCTGATTTTGGGTAAAAGACCCATTCGTCCGCTAGAGTTACTCATTTTTAGAAGCAGCATGGGCCTTCTTCTGAGCAACACGAGCCTGACGCTGTTGGCGTGAACGCTTGGCCTGGCGTTTGTACTTCTTATCAAACGAGTAATCCTTCTTCGGAGCAGGTGACGGGTCCGCACGAATTGCTTCATGTACCTTGGTAATCAAATCTTCCAGCTCATCCGGATTCACACCAGCCTTGACATACTCAGCATAGTGAGCAGCAAGCATTTCTGGATCATCCTCTTCCAGTTCCTTCATATGATCCGAGATATGAACACCAAAGATACGGTCACGGTGAACTTCAGCGTCGTAGCTCTTGTCATCGCGACTGTAGCCAGGGAAACGCTTTTCACTGTGTGGAATATCTAATCCAGCATCAGCAGCACCTTTCAAAGCACCAAACACACGGTTACCCGTGGTTGTAGTACGTAGACCAACGTCCAAATAGCATCGGAATGGACGTTTCTCATCGGCAACTTCATCGACAAAGTACGTACGGCCATTGCTCTCTGTCTTGACAATCTCTCCATCCACTTCAGTATTGCCTTCATAGTCTTCATCTAGCCCAAGTTTTTGCAAGACTCGACGACCTACCAATAGACCTGTCGCATACGCTGCCGCATAATTCTTGAGACCAACTTTCAAGCCATAACGTGGTAATTCTGCCGATGTAGCTTGAGCTAGAATTTTATCACCATCAATTTCAGCATACGCAATTTGACAAATGACTTTGGTATTGGTAATACGAACTACAAGACGATACTTTGGTGAATTGTATTTGTTCTTATCTTGCGTAATCAAACGTTTCCGAGCACGATAATCCGTCTTGCCTTCTCGACGACGACGATATTTGACCTGATAGCGTTTAAAATACGCCTTATTCTTTAAGACTTTCACAAACGGCATTTCTCCAATGGATGAAAGGTTTCAAACTGAGACTGGTCGTTATTAGTCACTGACGATACAAGTTGGTTGGCTCGCAAGGACTGCGTGTGTGTACATACAAACATGTACATGCGGAGAGCTAGATGAAGACAAGATATAGGGTGGTTTTTAGAATATGTGGTGCACATACTATGACTTGTACCCAATGAACGCGTTACTATGGCTGTAGTATACTTATGGATTGGTGGAAATAATTGATATAGGTCTAGGGGAGAGATGACTGGTTCTAAGTGGCATGAGCTAGAAGACTCAAGTGGTCCATTCCAAAGCTTATTAGTTCGTTTAGCGTTCTCTCTCTTAGTATCAATGGTATGTTTCTTATTGCTTATGCATTCATTGTATCTTATACACATAAATATATAGTAACTGATTTATTGTGATATGGTATGGTCGATTTATTCCTTAACTTGTATCTGTATGAAAACTGAATGATTCCAGACTTTTACTCGTTTTGTTTCAATTGGCCGTGTGGTGCTTATTAACTACGGCCCAGATGCTGGCAAAATTGCTACAATTATTGACGTAGTGGATGAGAACAAGGCTTTGATTGATGGTCCTTTTAGTGTTACAGGCGTGAATCGTCATGTGATTAGCTTTAAGCGGTTGTCACTTACGGACTTGACAGTGGACATTCCTCTTCAAGCACGTGAAAAGACATTGAAGAAAGCGCTGGCAAAGGCCGAGACACTTGCCAAGTGGGAGAAATCAACGTGGGCGAAGAAGCTGCAGAACAAGAAGACGCGTGCTGAGCTAAACGACTTTGATCGTTTCAAGGCGATGATTGCTCGTAAGCAGAAGAGCTCGTTGATCAAGAAGGCCGTTGCTGCTGCCCGCAAGAACTAATAACGTCTAGTTGCTCATAGCTCAAGAGAGAGTTGGTTGATGACGACCACATACTTGCAGGATCTGTTGGTTGATAAGCAAGTGATCCTGATGATCACTTTTGGTGCTGATGGAAGGAAAAGGCTTTGAGGAAGAATAAACGTCCGAATGGGTTATTGTACTGATTGATATGATAATCTCATTGATAAGCACGATAGTTGTCTCTTACTCATTCAGATCAGTCACTACATGTGATGGCGAAGTCAACAACAGGCAAAATGATTCACTGCACCTTGTTAAAGTGTTGTATCACTGCCATTTGTATACATTTCTACTGCACATAGTCTCGCTAAAAGGCCACTCACTACATGCTGCTGAAAACTATCTACACACATGATGAGCCTCTATAACCTTGTCTTCGTCCTGTAAGTACTCTACTTAATCAACCATCATCCAATACTTGACCACAAGAAGCTCTCTATCTGTTGCTTTGCATCTGAATGAAACACTCACAAGCAATGACACATGCTGCTTTATATATATATAAGAAACTGCAGCTTCATTTAGTCCGTTAAAGTCCACAACAAAAGCTTTCTGAACGACACGAGCCTTGCTTCTTTTGTCAATTCAGTTACAGCTACCCACCCACAAGAAGTATGAGACGAATTTTGACATCCAAATCCCAGCTCGTTTCTCCTACATTCATGTATGTATACTCAAACTACTCCATCAAGCTGTCTGGTAAAGCCTTCGCAATATCTGCAGTATCGCTTCCCTTATCATCATTTCATCTCCATTCTCGTACATCATTCTGATCCGCCATGTGATCGAAATTTCTTCCACTTGCGTGTAAATTACAGAGACGCAATTTGCTTGCTCCAAAGTACAGTCACACAGAAAAGTAACTTGCTCCATAATAGTCGGACGCCTTCCTTGAGCAAATCCTCACACGTTTTCTAGTCGCATCTAGATGCTGTACTCATCTGTCTCGAGCAGAGCTGGTGGCGGCAGGTTCTTGAAACTGTTTTGCTGCAAAGCAAGCTGCTCAAATTGTTTCGCTTCGTTATCCAACTGCAGCTCCGGTGTAAAATCAAAGTCCTTGAACAAGCGCTTATCATCCTTGTGTCCGTTCGGGTTGGGGCGCTGCACTTGGGCAGCGTTCGGGTCCATAAGATCAAACCCTCGCTCCATCTCTGAAATTTCCTGGTCCGTAAATGCCTGAGGAAAGTTCGATGTGTCAGGCACTCCAGACGGGTCCTTCTTGATCTTGGGCTGAAATGGAGGCGCTAACTCGCGTGCCTTGAGCTTCTCCCAGTTGATACCAGAAAAGAATGCGTGATCAAAGATTTCCCGGTCACCAGTTGGACCAGAGCCTAGTCGTTGCTTCGGGTCGCGATGCAGTAATCTCTGAATAAGGTCGCGAGCGTTTGGTGACAAGTACTCCGGGATAACTAAGTGGCCACGGAGAATGTTGTGAAACAGTTGCTTCTTGTCGTTTGTATAGAATGGTGGCAGACCAGTCAGCAACTCAAACAGTAGAGCACCCACTGAATACCAATCCAGGGCAAAGCCGTGACCAGAGCGCGACAGCATTTCTGGCGCTAGGTACATGGGGGAACCACAAAACGTGCTGGCCGATGTGTGATCCTTTATACCTTCCTTTGAGATACCAAAGTCGGTCAGCAGACAGTGGCCGTCCAGGTCCATCACAACGTTTTCAGGCTTGAGGTCACGGAAAACAATATTTTTTGAGTGAAGATGCGACAGAGCCAGCGCGATTTCTCCAATGTAAAAGGCGGCTTCGTTTTCGGTAAAAGCCTTCCGTCGAGTAAGCGCCGAAAGCAAATCACCACCACCGCAGTACTCCATGACCAAAAACAGGCGGTCCTGCGATTGGAACGCAAAGTATAACGTCACAATGTACGGATGATCTGAGCACGCCTGAAGCGCTGCCTTCTCTGTGTGAATATACTGCGCCTGATTCTTTTGCACAATAGCCTGCTTATTGTACGCCTTTAGTGCGTACCACTTGTCGCGGTTCGAACCCTTGCCGCGTACCAAGTACACCTTGGCAAATGCACCACGACCAAGCACCTTGACGAATTCAAAATCACGAGGACCCAAAGCAAGGTCTTTCTGGTACTTGTTCTTAAATGCCAAGTGACTCACCTGCGTTGCGTTACCCTCGCGAGCAGCCATCTCATTACAAGGCTTTGGCGGCTGCGACGGATTTGTAGCTGCTAAGTTTGATCCACTGCCAAGCAACACACGAATCGGGTGGCCAATCGGTGATAAGTGAACTGGAAGACTACCGCTAGCATTGGAAGCATCAATGCGTGCACCTCGCGCAACCAATAGTTTCGCGGCTGAAATATCGCCTGATTCGGCTGCCATGTGAATGGCAGCGTTGCCTTGGTAATCCGTCACGTTGGGATCTGCTCCTGCATCTAGCAATTCCTTCACACATCTACGAAATACATAGCATCAGTATAAATTCAAAGCAACCTACAGTATCCAGTCTACTTAATACTTACTCCACATTGCCAGCCTGAACCGCAATATGCAGCGCCGTATGGCTGTCTCCGGTACGTGCGGACGGGTCCGCACCACGCATTAGCAGCTCCTTCACTGCATTCGGGTGATTATTACGCGCGGCAAGATGCAGCGCCGACGTCTGATTAATCCCCACGCCATTCACATCCACAACATTATCACGTAGTAGCGTCGCAATGAGATGCCAATTACCCACTTCTGCGGCATCAAAAAGCTGAAACTGTTTCTTCTTGACATCTCTCAAATCCAATATCATCTGTGGTGCAGTGGATCTCAATTTGCCTGCACCACCCGATGGTGCATCAACGGACCGTCCTCCATTCATTTCCAATTCATGAATCACTTGATCCTTCATGGTCAACTGCTCTCGCAAGGATCGATTTTCTTCCAGCAATTGTTTAATCACAACATCCTTAGGGTCCGATGATTTATCAGCTCCACGAACAATCTCATGGTCTTCCAACATACTCGGACGTGAATAGTCCGTCTCAATAGCTCCTGTTTGCACCATGGGTGGAAGAATACCTGTTGTGACACTCGTTCCTGCTCCTGCTCCTGGAATTGTCGTCACGGGCGTTGCGTCATGAAAACTTCCACGTACTTGTGTTTTCTTGAGTGCATTAATATGTGCTCGTACTGACTTGACCCAATCTTCCATCTCTCGTGCTGTACTTGCTTGACAAAACATTTTTTTCGTCGGTGTGACCACTTCAAAGCAATTAGCTTTATCATCAATTGTACTCTTTCGTACAATTGTATCCGGTGTTAATTCCAATTCTCCTTTTAAATGTACAATATCTTCTTTTCCAGTATTAAAAAAGCCACCACCTTGTTTATAATAGGATAAATGACCTTCGGCTAACACAAAGAAACGTTCTTTCCAATTCGCAAATGCATCCATACTAGACATGGCACGTTTGGTTAAGAAACCTGTCTTACTTGATACAAACCCGGTCGTATCATCTTTGAAAGAAGATAAAGGTTGACCCAAGGTAAGCCCAGGAGGGGAAGGGGACGATAACAAAGTCGTTGCCGGAGGTTTTCCAAAACTTATCGTATTTCTCGTACTTAAGCCGTTTCCATTGCTACTTCCAAAAGTAGCATTAACAGGACTCATGCCACCAAACGCGTTTATACCCGTACTTAATGTTTCACCTTGACTATTACCACGTCGACGTGGTTTTGTAAACCGTTTAGTAATTGTCAGTTGACGCTCTCCAGGACCACGTGTAGTATTACTATTAGTGCTCGACATGAGAGAACAAACACAACAAAAGAGGATCACGACGAAATCGAGCGCTTCTTTAGCTTTGTGCCTTATCCCCCTTTTCCTCTCTTTTTTGTGGTCTGTACATATATTTTGTATCGTTTGAAGTAGAAAAAGTATATAAAAAATGATTTATCATAGGTACATTAGATTAAACAGGTCAAAACTACCAGCTAAATAGATACACAATGTATTTGTTATGTTATGTTATATAATAGGAAACGAAATTATGAGATACAACACAACTGGAGATCAAATTTAAGCTCAGCCTGGATTCTTTTATGGTAGTATACATAATGATATTCTACCAATAGAATACGTTGATTCAGGCCAGATGGCGTGTATGGAGACGTTCGTAATGGTCATATGACAACAACACTACACAAAAAAGAAGCTGAGACTAATCAAATAGCTTTACTTTATACAGTAGTAGGTATTTTATATGTAAATTTGTATGATTATATCAGTCTTAGATCAAAGATTCGTCAACAATTAAGCTTACAATGCGCTATATACGCGTGAGTTTTGTATCTCCTCCTACTCTAAGCTTTAACAGATAATGGTGTTGCTTTCTCAATAATCTTTACTTCTCCATCAGTTTTCTCGTAAATTTAAGAATCGACAGTCGCTCGTTCTGAGCTTTTGCTGTGCAAATGACCTTATTGTGAGCAAAATCAAAGCGTGACAAATTCCAAAACATTCTTCAAGTCAAAGACTCACATACAACACAATTGGCTTGAAAAACAGTAGAACGCACCGTCATTTGAAACTCGTCCTTGGATAGAATTGTAGCAATCTCGTTGGGTTTGTTCTCTGCTATGACAACCATGTAGAAGATTCCTTGAGGAGATAAGAGATTCTTGAGTTTTGGCAGCAATCGATTAATCACTTGACGACCGTGACGACCTCCTGCCCAAGCAGCTTCAATACCCCTGTAGAAACAATTTCCCATTGTCACTTAACACGTCTATACCTCTAGAGTGTTTTTTTGCATTGCTTACATTGATCCAACTTCCTTCGACGGTGTTGGCACGTACGGTGGATTAAACAATAACACATCAACTAAACCCTAGAGTTATCGAGTAAGTAAAAGTATCGAATAAAAACATCGATTTCAACTGCTTTCGTCAAGTGCCTCCTCACCTGTATCCGATGTTCGTAGCATTGCAACAGGTCTGTGCGCACGAGATCAAACGTCTGAGCTCCGTTATTCATTGCCGTTTGTTGTGCCACACTTGTTGCCAATCGATTGATGTCGGTCGCTAGAAACATTGACTGTACTCCCAATTGCTGCAACTGGGTTGCCAAATACACAAACACTGCACCACTACCACAACTGAAGCAATAAGAGTCAATGCATTTGTAGCTATGCAGTACATTTAAATGATAACGTACCCAATCTCGACGCAGATTGTAGGGTCTAGTGCTACTAGTTGAGGTAGTTCAGCTTGCAACGCATCCACAAATAGAAAAGTATCTTCAGCTGGTTCGTATACATCGCAGTCGTACGACATGTCAATTATCGGGAGTTCTGCCATTGTCTGATGACCTGCGAACGAATGGTGGAATGTGCACCACACAAGAGGAGAAGAAGATCATGAAAAGACGCAACAAGTACAAGTTGCTGTTTATCTTCTATACATGAATTGGGTGATGACAAGAAAAAGACGTGATGTGAACAGCCGATGAGAATGGTGCAGAAGATGAGGAACGGGCATATCAAGAAGACAAGGAAGCAATCGTGTGGAAGCTTCAGAAAATGTCGCCAGGATGAACAATGACGTCACAGAAGTAGATGATAACTAGACAGACTGCAGACTATAGACTGCCATGGCAGCCGAAGCCTAGGAAGTGACAAATGCAAAGATTTTCATTGAAATAAACATAAACATCTTCTGTCTCACCGTTACAGTACAAGGGTTCACATTGCGATTCCATTTCTTACATCGTCGTCTCTTGCCAATTTCAGCTCAAAGCTTTACGTCACGACAAAATCCATCATTACCACCCCTATTTTGACTGTAAATACTCCAAAAATCGCTTTTGCAGCTCAAATTCCTGCTCCCAAAGCTCCGCCTCTTTCTGACGTTGGTTCATATCAAATTGAATCTTCCTCTCAATCAGCTCCAAAATTCGTGTACGAAAGTTATTACTACTGCAACCGTCCTGGACGTCCGATGATGAGGATGATGCAGCAGAGGGTTTCACACCCAGCGAAACATCCACCTTCCGCCGTTTATGCGGTAATGTAGTGGATATGGTAGACGACGACGACGACGAGGAAGGATTGAACAACTCGGCACTCTCACTTTTCGTTGCAATGACCGTCTCCTTGCCATTACCATCCACAACCATCTGTCCAGCCATCTTATGGTTCTTTCTAATCAACGTATCATTAATCTCACGTAAAATCGCCTCTTTTCGAGAATTTTCCTCCATTGTCCCGTGTTTAAATAATTTGTCGTGTTTCCCATCAGTATACATTTTCATAAGAGCCGTTACGCGATCACTGTCAATAATAATAAAACAACAAGATATACGATTACAAAAACTATCACATCTAAAGTTGCTACAAAACCTCCAATAGTGACCACAATACAAAATTGTATACTCAATACGCACCGACAAGTGTGCCATGAAAAAGCTCCCAGGTTTTTAAACCCTTGCATCCCTACGGATTCCGCCACATTTTGCCACATTTGAAGCCTTGTACCATGTTTTGCCGTAAATGGATTATTTACTTGCAGTGCTTCTAATAACATAACGTCCATTGATCCATTAAATTTGGCATATCGGCCACGTACAATGGGCTTTTGGATTGACGATACTTGTGGTCTACCTGCAATAATTTAATAGGTTACATAAACATATTAAGTATTAAAGAAATAAACGCTTTAGTGTAACCCTGCCGCTCTGAAATTAAATTAGCAAGTAATTAATAAATGGGCGACGAAGACCTTCGACACCACACGCACACACGGCTTTTGTTTTGGTGTGACACGCAGCCTACCCGGCTCATTCTCTTGCTCTACTTGTAAGGTATATAAGGTCGTACCGGTGTTTGCCGGTGCGATCCTCTCGCCATCTGACATGATGATGTCCACCAAAACTTCCTTGGCGACTGAATTTCTTAAAATGGAGAAGGTTTTCTCTATTTGTCTCCCAGCAACATAGATGTTACTGCAACGTTTGACATTTTCAAGCAACATTACAAAAAAAAGAGTGAAAATCAGTTCGTCCGATGGTACTACTGCTACCGTCTGAGGAACTGTGCACATTTCGTGTTACCGTTTTTGTTTACTTGGTCTCTTCGCCATCTACAGCTTCAATAGACTTGATAGCCATTAGAAGTGCACCTTCATATGTTTGGTTGCCACCAATGAAACCGGCATTATGCACAAACGTACATCCTTCAATACCAGACACGCTTGACAATTCTTCATTGCGCAGACTGCGCCAAGCTGGCAATAATCCCTTGCGCAATGCAAATGAGCCGGGCTCAATGTTTAACGCCTGGACGCGAGTCATCTTGCCCGTTGCGTCATTATAGAGCACAAACTTGATTTGGCCTTGAATCAGCAATTTCTCTTCCAGATCATGCAAATGCGACTTCCACGGGCAGTACTCTGGAAAATACACAATCTCACCAGACTTGTGCGTTTGAAAACGGTTCGTCACTGCTTTTTCAACAATTTCACGGGCCGGTAGCCACGAGTACACAAGATCATGGATCGCATCCGTGAACTCTGTAATTGTCATGTACATGGCCTGCTGGAACTGTTCATTCATGGACTGTTCACTCTGATCTTCATTCCAGCGAGGGTTTAAATAGCTTACACGGCTACTGAGGTTCGTGGACACTTGATAATTGTACGTGAGCTTTGCATCACCAGCACTGGCCACCTCAACACCATTATCAATGCCATCAATGTGCTCAATAAAGTTCTTGTATGCTTTTCGATACAGAATATCCAATGTCTCATTGTCCAGTGTAGTAGGATACGCCAGCACTTGAATGATCTCACGACCAAAGTGCTTGTACACGAGACCAGCACTTGATAATTTGATATCGCGTTGGTCAAAAGCGCCCGTGAAACTACGCTGATGGTGGTCAAAACGAAGCGTCTCCGGGTCATAGACACCACCCACGTCCACAACAGCATCACATTGGGCAAGTTTGGTCTCATCGCGTGTACGCAACACGTCGTGAGCTGCAAATTTGGGCAGCAGTTTCAACATTGATACAGCCAATGCTTCATCACAGTGGAATGTACCGTTGTGGGTACCAATATACTTTGTCGATGCATTCTCAGTCAAGGACGATAGCACTTTTACGCTACGAAAGGCAGCAAAACACGGGGACGACGTCACAAAGGCAGCAGCTTTGGTTGGGGCAGCCATTGGTATGATTGAATAGACTACCTACCACTCAAACGTAAATAATCGTTATGAATACTATAAAATAGGTTAGGTATGTAAAAGATTTAGAATTTAGAACAAGATAGCCCCGTCATTTTATAATATTACTATTAAACTTTGACTTCTACTTTTGTGTTTGCTAGAACTCCAAAGGCCCTTCGTTGTGTAATGTAAATAATCAGTACTACTACTTCCTATTACTATGTACAAAAACCATTATTATATTCAAAATAATACTATTTAAACTACATCGTCCATTTACATATAATACATCTACTCCATCATGACACCACTAATACTCACGTCTGATAAGACGAACGTCACTACATTAGCTGCTTTTTCCGTGTGTTTTCCTGATCAAGTAGAAAAAAAGCTTAGTACTGCATATGGTGAACCACATTGGACTAATATCAAACGCGCTCTTGCTCGACCGTACGCACATTTGTCCTATTTCTTCTATTAACAAAATATATGAATTCTAAACACGTATCTAAATTGTATGAATACTACTTTAATTTCTAGGCCTGGGTTCACTGCTATTCGAGTCAATACGCTACAATCAACGCGTGAAGAAGCTCTAGATGCTCTACAGGTTCATCTGGATACATTTCATACCGAAAGAGTACAAGCAGATAGCAGTCGCAAGCCAATAAAAGCGTTTGTCCATGCCTTTTTACCAGATGTAATCATGATCCCGTCCTGTCCTAGTGGAAATGTCCCAGTCGAGTATGATTCAGGATTAAAAAGTATCGTAGTGGATCGACATTGTGGTGAAGCAGTTTTACGTGGAAGTGACATCTTTGCTCGAGGAATTATGAGTGCAAGTAGTGGGATTAAGGCTCAAGACGTGGTCAATGTATTTGTGGATTTAGACCATAATCATACGCGTGGAAGTGACTTTGCTACACATCATGGACGTAAGCTATTGATAGCACGTGGTGTGACTAAGATGGCAAGGACAGAGATCTTTCGTGCTCTAAAAGGATTAGCAATTACTCACTTGATTCGAGTTTGTCCTGATGCACCGCCAATGAATGGAATATTGCGAGGACAGATTTACGTACAGAACTTACCGTGCTCAGTTGTTGCACATGTATTGAATCCGCAAGCGGGTGATGTCATTCTTGACATGTGTGCAGCACCTGGAGGAAAGACTTCTCATATTGCGACTCTAATGCGAAATAATGGCACACTAGTAGCTTGTGATCGCTCGAAACGAAAAGCTCTCGCGTTACGAACACTGTGTGAAGATCTTCAACTTGAGTGTGTTGTACCACTTCAGATGGATTCAACCCGTGCCGTGTTACCTAAAGAGAAGGTCAATGCAGTGCTGGCTATTGCACAAGGTAACGACGATCATACAAGTGTGACACAGGTACTAGCTCATGCAAAGGAGAATACTCCAAGTCAAGCACGCTTACTACAGGTGAAGGGATTTTTTCCTGAGACCTTTGACCGTATCTTGCTGGACCCACCTTGCTCGGCGCTAGGCTTGCGTCCACGGTTGCTTCAGGCTGGTGATGCCAACAACTTGGCGGAATTTACCAAGATGCAGCGCAATTTTTTGTGGGTAGCAGCATTTTTACTCAAACCCGGCGGCACGCTTGTGTACTCAACGTGCACTATTAATCCGCAAGAGAACGAGCAGATGGTGCATTACGCGCTTGAAAATTACCCCTTGAAACTGGTTTCTCAAGGCAAAGCTCACCTCGGCGATCGAGGACTGCTAGGTCAAGGCCTCAACAAGCACGAAGCGTCTCTCGTACAGCGATTTGACCCATCAAATACCAAGCTGGATACCATGGGCTTCTTTTGCGCCAAGTTCATAAAGACAGGGCCCCTTTCGAACAAGTAGACGGATGCACCATTCATTATTTGCTTCCAATCATCTTCACAATGTTTGATTGACCTGTACTTCTTCATGCAGGACAGACTACTCTGGTACTCTGGATGAAATTGGTCTCGTGACAAAGCAACAACAATGCAAGTGCGAGTGAATGTCAACGATAGCTCACTACACAATCGTATTGTTCTACCCCTCACGAAACCAAGCTGAATCGTTTTTTTCAAGCACATGCCTAGAGCTTTGAGCAAGTCTCGACCACAACGTCATCCAACGTCCTATGTAATCGACATGAATATTATTACTACACACAGAGACGACATGCATCGTCATGCTGAAAGTCTTTCGTTCGTGTGTAGAACAACATTGCAGACTTCAAAAAACATTGAAACTGGGCCATGGATCTGATGACGGAGTTAAGCAGTTTCTAGCGCGTTTGTTAGAAGTTTACATTGTAGTCTATCCATTCTCTGCTCTTTTCGGAACTGATGGCTCTCAACGCAGGTCCACAGTGTGACACCCAGAGCTGAATTCATTCACAACGAAACCAAAGCTAACAAGACATTGGACCTTTAGTCACATGAATAGAATCCAATAGTCTTGACATGTTCCTTTCAGTCAACTCGCAACTACGTGTCTACAAACCAGACGGAGATCAAGAAGCAAGATGTAGCTAGACATGTTCTCTATGCAGCAGGAAGAGCCTAGTACGTTGAATCCATGTTTTGCTACATGACCAAGTCATGACATGACGCGTGACGATCATGCGATTTCTTAATGGAATTGCTACATATGGCTAGGGAATGCGTTGTTAGAATGTTCCGCCATTCGAGTCTAGACGAGACGTCAGAATCGGGTGGAACATCGAAGACGTACGTGTTCTGTGGCATGACCTTAATACTTTTGATGACCTTGATGCATGATGGTATGAAATTGTTGAGCTCTAAGCTTCAAGCAGGAAACCTCCTGGTTTGACTGCATTAGCATACACTACCTCTACCGTGTTCGTATTGTAAACACAACAACTTCAGGCCAATGTGCAATACACATTAACTTTCACATCGCTGTAATGCATGTCGTTTATCTTGTCAAAGCATTGTTCACACTGTAAGGAATTCGTGTCAAAGCACTGCTGTTTCGTCCTAGATACTTCAATGCTATTGCTTAGTGTTGTCTCAGCCGCGTCAAAACCATTCAGGGTTCTAGATGCTGTTTCGCTACGAAACTTGTTGGCTGTGATTGCTTTCTAGTCTATCACGACAAGCGGCATCAAGAGCCCAGCCATTTATTCACATCTGTGCACTCGAGTTCTTGCGTTCATGGCATCACGAAATTGTCAATGAGAACGGATTTTTTGCACTGCATCACAAACACTCCACTTGGTCTTACGACCTCTGAGCTTGTTCCACGAGAAAGCATTTCCATAACGCCATCAAGCTTATACATTCAGTGATGCATGCCCTAGAGCACGTAGAGATGAATGTATTGTTTTGACACAATGCGTTTATCAAGAGCCAGCAGGTCTACAACACGATGACCATTTCTATGCTTGTACCTTGTTTTTCTACTCCCTACCTAGCGATTTGAGTCAACGTATCATCCATTCGCCAGTTCATTACACGCACCAGATGGAGCCATACGGACAAAACGTGTTGCGCATAACGCAGGGTAAACCCTGAGGTTTGTGGCACAAAATCTGTGTTCATTCCAGCAAACACATCTAAGGATCTGTCTGTCGTATACACGACAACTCTCGACAGTTCGTGACCGTGTATCGCGTGCATCAACGATAGACGAATTTACTACCGGCGCACTGTATTCTCTTACCTCTCTCACTGTAAGGATTACTAGGTTGGACACACTTGTCAGTACAGGATGAAAGTGTCAACAAAGTTGATCGTTGTGGCTGCCTTGGCTGTATTGAGCACCACCGCAAATGCCCGGTCCGAGACCACAACCGCCATTGCATCTGAACCATACGATAATAACGCTGAGCAAAGACATCTCTCGACACCCAGCTTTGATTCCGCGATTGATTTATTAACAGACACTGGCTCAGCGCCACCAGCAGATTCAGGTGAGGATCAGGAGGCGTACGGACCTGAGTCGACGCCCGACGATAGCTCAATCTCGACACCCTCTACGGAAGGCTTAACGACCGAGTCAGCTGAAGAAACGAACTTGACCTCGCAAGACGATCTCGGTTTGACTTCGGAGACATCTAAAACAAATGATCATGCTTCGGGCTTGACAATCGAAAATACTTCGACTGAACCGTCCGAATCTAGCTTGACCTCGCACTACGATCTTGGTCTGGCTTCGGAGACATCGGAAACAGATGATCATGCATCAGGCCCGGGAACCGAAGATGCTTCGACCGAAGCGTCCGTGGAAGCAAGTACAACCGTCTCCAATGACGAGACGAGCCTATTGGGTTCGGCGCATGAGCAAACTCCATCGGATAGCAGCTTCACGGACGAGGAGAAATCGATCTGGATCGAGCGTCACAACTTCTTCCGAGTGGCAGGCTTACCTTGGGCAGCAGGTAATATGAAGCGAATCGGTTGGGATAATGACTTAGCAAAGGAAGCTGCGTTGGCAGCTGCTAGCTGCGCTGCTACCACGTCTACCGGTATCAACGTCTTCAAGTCCACGTCAACAGACTCGCCTACGGTGATAGAGGAAGCGATCAACGCTTGGGTGATTGAGCCTTCGTTGTCTAACATCGGATCGGTGGTTCCACCGGCAGTGGCAGGCGACGGTGTTGGTGCAGGACTTTACAACGCTTACACACAAGTTGTCTGGGCGTCAACGACGAACGTCGGATGTGCCATGGCCCCTTGCTCTGGTGGATCGATGGTTGTGTGTCAATATTCGCCAGCAGGAAACGATGGCAAGTCTGCGTGGTTCGTCCACGATGCACAGGCGAAGCAATGTCCGACAGGAACCACAGCTGCCAGCGGGCTTTGCATTGTTGAAGGAGACCCAGCAAATGACCTCATCGCACCGGTCCCCAAGGATAAACAAAGTCTTCAGGTTTACCCGACGTTTATTGCCGACATTATGGCGGCGATTTTGAAGGCAGCACAGGAGAGAGACGCAGCTGGAGCAAGTATGCAAACGGTAATTACTCCGGATGGACCAGCGCACGAACCATCTTCGCCCGATGGTGGAGGCTTGGATGTCACCTTCACTGATGACGTGATGACTGAAGACTACTTATCTTCCTGCTCCTATGATATGATGGAACCTCCTTCAGACCCTACAACTGATTCATTTCATGGAGCAACTAATGGTGTACCAGAAGATCTGGTCATCGACACTGGGCTATATGGCGAACCGACTGAATCGCCAGACCTTGAGAATTCTAATTCGCCTACTGGCATGGAACTCAATTTGGACTCAACGAACGAAGACAGCTTACAAATCGACTCGACTGGATTGCCGGACCTTGAGGATTATCCTGGCATGGAACTCAATCCGGACTCAACGAACTTAGATAGCTTGCCCTCCAAATCGCCAGATACGATGGAGTCCTTGTCGCCTGATGACTTGGCGTACGATGTGTCCACGGATTCCGCAATGCAATCTCTTACTGCATCTTCAAGTGACACGTACTCGAGCTTAAGGACCGCTTCAGAGCCATCCTATGAAAGTGAACTTCCGGGCGAGGTAAAGCCGGGAGTGGAAACAGATTCACACAATGCGAATCCAGACAAGTCGTCATCGTCGTTGGAATCGGTGGCGATCAATTCGGACAGTGCCTCTGACACAGACCCGACACAGCAGGACGATTCGGCAAAGTCGAAACCTAGCAAGGATTTAACAGCCTCTGCGAAATCTACGGACTCGAAAACGACTGTCTTAGCGGTTAATCGGTCGGCCGTTGAAGCTGTTCCCAAGCGCATTTTTCTGTCACCAGCAGGTATTGCCGGAATCATTGTGCTAGGCGTTGTGGCCGTTGCCGCTTTGGCCGTTTTCGTAAGCTACCGTAAGAATCAGCAACGACAGCGTGACATCATGCGCGACGGTGGTATTGAAGTCATTTAAGATCTAAAAACAAACGAACAACAACAACACGCGTAACCAGAAACGTTCGAGGTAAGAAGAAGATGAGAAAGCTTTCAAATGTCTGACATAGCAAGAATGAAAGACACTTGTGGCGATTCGTGTATGCACAAGCAAAAAACCACAATTTGATTCAGGAGGTTCGAGTTAATGATTTGTTTTTAATCTGTTGGTGCTGGTGTTGGTTCTTATCTAATCCGAGCGTAAAGAGAGCGATCGCCAACAAAGATTACGTCTTTTGTCGTGAATGAACATCTTGTCCGCTGTCGGATCAGTTTACGAGTCACGATTTTTTTTGAAATGCAGACAACCACTGGATGTGAGACGAGGACCAAGTGATTTGAGCCGAGATTTGTTGAAGTCCTTGTCCAACCACATAGAGAAAACCTTTTATTTTTCTTGTTCAAGTGATGAAGCAATAGAAAGGAGACGTTTTTGATTTCAGTAGCTGACCCATGCACGTAACATCATGTTCAGAAAAGGCTTTCAATCTATTTGTAATTGTCGACGTCGACGATGAGTGGCTAGGAACACATGGTGCAAGTTTCACTGAAATGAATCTATCCTCATGTAGTCATAAATATACCCATCAAGTGTACAGTATCATTAGTAAGTTGCAACACTGTGCATCTTATGAAAAGTACTATGCTATTAAATCTTACAGTTGTGTTTAGATATATATACTAGTATATATTCAAACAGATACAAAGTAGGTTTAAAAGGGTATACTGTCTCGATCACGTATAAGCATCACCATACAACATCTGTCGCAACAGAAGGGTGTCAGTCTGTCTGTCATGCTGGACATCTGGCTAACCCATACACAAGAGTCAGTGCTTCCTACTGAGGTTTTGTCCTCGTTTTCCTATTCTCCCAGACTTGAAATTTTCCCGTTCGAACGAGGACATTACGGAGTACTAGTGGCATGCATTGCATTCGAATGTTTGTACCCTCTCCACCCTCCATCGTCAGTATCTCAACCTTGTTTGTCGTATTCGCAATCACTTTATATAGGATTCACGCCAATGAGACCTTTAGTCAAGAAGATCAAGCGATTTGGATTGATCGATTGAATTATTTTCGTACGACGGGATTACCATGGTCCGCTGGTAATATGTGTCGTATTGGATGGAGTCCTGACTTGGCCATAGCTGCTACTACTACAGCTACCAAGTGTTTAGCTACATCAGCACCAGGTGTGAATGTGTATCAATCAAGTACGAATAATTCAGTGTCACTTATTGATGACGCAATTCAACAATGGGTTATTGAGACCTCCATGACGACGCTTAAGACACTGACGCAACCAGGTGCTTCGGATGTTGAGGTTGGTCAAGGCACGTATAATTTGTACTCGCAGATTCTTTGGGCCTCAACTACGAGTGTTGGATGTGCTGTTGCGAGCTGTCTAGGTGGTCAAATGGTCGTCTGTGAGTTCTCACCAGCAGGAAACGATGGATCTTCTGCTTGGTATATTCATGCCAACACGGCATCAAAATGTCCATCAGGAACGACCGCATCGCAAGGACTGTGCATTGTAGAAGGAGATGCTGCTAATGATCCGATTGCTCCTATTCCTGCTGGTAAATTGACGTACGAAGTGTACCCGGCCTACGTCGCAAACATGCAGACTTTGTTGATCGAGACGGCGCGTAGCATTGCCAATGGTCAAAAACCACAAGCGATACCGTCGTCTCCTACAGATACGACACCTGTGCCGATCTCTGCGACTTCCGAGACGTCTTTAATTAGCGCAATGGAAAATGGCAGTCTTACTGCAATGGATAAGACTGATAAGACGTCAATGTCGACTTCAGGCTATTCGAACTCCAGTCCGATGGCGTCGTCACCTTTAACAAAAATTGATAAGGCGCCAACGTCGACTTCAGGCTATTTGAACTCTAGTCCGGCGGCGGCGTCACCTTCAGCAGAAACTGGTACGACTTCAACGTCGACTTCAGGCTATGCGAACTCTAGTCCGACGGCATCGTCACCTTCAACCGAAACTGAGAAATCGTCAACGTCGACTTCAGGCTATTCGAACTCTAGCCCGACGGCATCGTCACCTTCAATCGAAACTGAGAAATCGTCATCGTCATTGTCGACTTCTACGAAAACGGAAAAACCCACGATGCCATCGTTAAGCACGGATCCGTCTTCGAAGTTTTCACCGAAACAAGATTCACAGTCGACAACGCCGTTGCGGGATAAAGAAGACACGGGACCGGGAACGGTCAAGGCAAGCTCGGGAAGTGGGTCGACGTTTATGAATCAGGACACGTCGAGTAACATTGACGATCCCCCAAGTATAAACAGTGACGAGAGTAAAGTTTTTCCTCCAACGTCCAAGCCAGGCGCTGCAACCAGTATCAATAATAAGACGAGCAAGTCTTCTGGATCTGGTATTTCTGTTGCGGGGATGGCTGGCATTGCCATGCTTACTATAGTAGTTTTCGGCTCTATCGGCGTGGTTATCAGCTACAAGAGAAACCAGCAGCGTCAGCGCGAGATCATGCGCGATGGAGGCATTCGGATCATTTAAGCTGACGCAGCGACATGCCATTGACGTAGGAGTTCACGTTAGTATCTCGTGTGTCGATGGCATCCGAAGTGCTGGAAAATGGGGTAAAGCTATAGTGGAGACTACGCAAGACCTCATATCGTCATTGTAAGTTTGTTTTGCTTAGTCGTCAGCAAACGAATGATTAGAAATGTCTGCAGTCGTAGTTTACAGCTCACATTGATGGTAAGACGATTCTATGACGAGTATGGCTTTTCACATGGTCAATTGAAAGTCAAACGAGTAAGAAATGTACACAGCGTCATTGTGGATGGAAGCAAAGAGAGTCAAATGATTTAGCCCATGAAATCCATAACATGCAAGCAAGGTCAGAAGATGCCGAGTTAGCATCCGATTTCGACAGGAATTCGGGTTGCAACAGGTTAAGCAGCCAACGCAACTAATGTCACGTTCAGTATTGTTAACCTGAAACTCAATGTTCACACCGCTCGCGTTTGTTTCTCATTCTTTGCAGTATTTGTTCAGTGCAGTGGAGACAGTCGTCACAACATAGTGGAACTTACAACCTTGTTGGTCATTAGATCATTATGGTGGAATCGTGGCATCAAAACCAAGTTTACACACATAAACCTGCATCCGCAACCAGCCCAAACGACTGCAAAATATAGCATCACGCTTTCAGAAGAGAAAGAACAGGCTCAACTGACTTCACGAAGAATACCGTCACCATTGATGATTAGCTGTACGAATGACAATACGGCCGAGCTGGCTTGCAATTTGTCACAAGCTTACAATAGTCTCGCGCTTGACTATCGGCTTGCCCAATTGAAAATGAAGTACGCTCTGAATTTGTTTGCTGTACATAACGCCATGGCAGCGCTTTGCGACAGAACGTCATTGCTAACGCTACGAGAGCACGAGAGACGAACGATATGGCGACCGCAAGCTGTCACCGCGACGATAAGCGTATTTGTGTCACGTCTGTTTCGTATACACTTTGACACCGTTTGTGTCGAGCATACAAGATATGGAGGATATCATGAAGTACCTTCGAAAGGATCACTCTTTCAAAGTGGAGAACAATGGCAAGGACTTTCGATAGAGCTACATATTACCGGGAAACGACAACATCGTCAAGTAGTACTAGTATTTGTAAAGCATTTGGCTAGTTACCTGATCTTGGCACACTACTCGGTGCTTCGTGGATACTGGACAGTGCCCTGCAATGTCTTGCAGCAGATAAAATAGCGTCAGAGCAAGTCCGATGACCCGATGGCGAAGTAAATGGTGACTCAAAACGAGGTAACAGTTGTTTATCGTCATGTAAACTGTCGATCATGCAAAGGAATCTTGCCGAGACCTCCGAGCGTTTCTTGCTTATCGCTAACAAAATGCCATGGAAAAGCACATGAATGTGAAAAACATCATTAACGCATTTCCACGTAAGTTTTGATGCCCCGGAGCATATCTTTGGCGACGAGATTAAGTGTAGAGCCTTACCCTCGGTCTGTGGATAGTCTGCGGTATCCAGTACATCAATCCGAAGTCTAGAAGAGCTTGATTGAGGCAGCTTGTGCTGACGGGGGAGTATGAACACAACAACACCTTTGATTCTACTCCATTGTAAAGTCATCACAGCCGCTATATAGTTAAATCGCTTGAAGTGTCAACAAAGACCACGATGCCCATGTTATTCATAACAAGTCAGGCTATGCTTAGTCCATTCCTGTAACTCTGTAGCACCCATAGGGATTAAAAACCTAGCCAGTGTCGCGCTACCGCATGTGACGACGCTTCACCCTCTGGCACATCTCATAAATGTGCTCGCTTAAGAACAAAGGTTGGACGGTCTAGGTCGATGTAATCACTTGATCTGCAGGCAGTAACTCGAACAAAGGAGGGCTCGAGAGTCTGCAAACACTACACTCTGACAGAAGGCTATTATTGCACGAATAAGTCCTTGCCTTTCAATTACTTACGGCTTTATGGTGCTTTAGCCCATGCGATACCCCGGATAAACATCATGTCTTGAATTCAAATGTACTTTTGCATCTGCAGCATTCGGTCTGGACACGAACTCATCCGTCCTGATAAAGTACCGCTTTTATTGCTTACAACTGTGCAAACAATGCAGTCTCTTGCATTCATCAAAATAAAAACTTGTCTACTGTATTGAATGTGCGCTACGTGTCCACAGCCCCCAATCAACGTCTTCATAGCCCTTCGCGCAACGTGCGCAAGCTTTGCTTACGCGAAACGCGCTAAGACAACAAACGCGTGGTCTTTTTGGTTTCTGAACACGTCTCAATCCAGGAGTAAACGGCATTGTTTGATGGGTCTGAGAGCACACCAAAATTTCGATCTGCTTGTGACGATAAATGACTTTCTACGATGGAATGACTTGGTAGCTCTGCGAGATAAAGTCATTTGAGTTGAAGGGTCATTTCATCGTAGTGAGTAAGCCAAAAGGCATGTAGTAACACTTGGCTGAAGCAATATGCTTGTTACACAAACGTTCAAGAAATGCATTGATTTGTTTGGCCTGAACACGCAAAATTTCTGCTGCAATGAATAAACAACGCACTGACTTGTCCTACCATGAGCACACCATGACGATATGTATATGTATATACGAGCAGATTTGCAGTCCTGGATGTGCTTTGCGCGTAACAACATCCTTAAACTCAGCCCAGCTGGGAACTGTACACTATATGTTGCGCAAACCAGCGGGTTGGCCGTTGTCAATACCGTGATAGTACAGACAGTCCGCTTGGCTTTACGAATTGACCATTCCCGCTTTTATTGTGCTCGGCACACCTCAAACTTCATCTCGTCGGATTGTCACTTGGAACAATGAAGGGCTTTACGGTGTTCTATATCTCGTCGGCGATTCTTGCAGCCGTTAATGCCAAAAGCTTTAGCAAAGAGGATCAAGCAATTTTAATCGACCGTCACAACTACTTTCGGAGCACAGCCTTGCCATCAGCGGCTGGCAACATGCTCCGCATTGGTTGGAGCGACGTTTTGGCATCCAAAGCTGATTCCAAAGCCTCGACCTGTTCGGCTACTACATCAAAAGGTGTGAATGTTTACCAGTCGTCCAAAAAAACCTCATCAATCATCGAAGGGGCAATTCAAGAGTGGGTAATTGAGACCGCGAAATCGACAATCAAGATGATTCCACAACCAAGTGTCAGCGGAGTTGATGTAGGCAAAGGAATCTACAATCCATACTCGCAAGTAGTGTGGGCAACGACGTCCAGTGTTGGATGTGCAACGGCGAGCTGTCCAGATGGAGAGGTGATTGTGTGCATGTACTCACCGCCAGGGAATGATAAAAACTCTGCTTGGTACAAGCACCAAAGTCAAGGTTCCGGATGTCCGAGTGGAACGGTCTCATCTCACGGACTATGCATCGTAGAAGGCGCCAGTGTCAATGATCAGATCGCACCGATTCCGGACGGAAAGTGGACATACCAAGTATATCCGGCTTTTGTGGCACAAATCCATTCCATTCTTATTAATTCTGCTCGAGATATTGCGAATGAACATTTATCTCTAGCCTCGCAGACACTTTCTGAGAAAACCACTGACACCGAATCAAAGTACAAATCATCGTTGGAGTTTTCATCATTTGTAACTCAAAGCAAAATGGAAGAAGATACTGTCGGGACCGTATCCCCATATGATGACAATGGTTTAGCATTACAGCATGACGCTGAGACAACAGAAAGACATAAGGAAAAAACCAATTCAAAGGAAGATGTTTCGACTGGAGCTGGACACGAAGAGGAAGAGACTCATGGCATATCCATTAATAATGTCTTTGGTATGTACCTACTGGGTATTTTAGCAGTGGCGGGGATTATCGTGTACGTGCACGTGACTACGTCAACAGAACACCAACACAATGATATTCCAGCAAAGTGACCTTTTTCTATCTTAATTAATCTTCAAACACGCTAATATTTTTGTACTAGGTTCGTTCTGTTTTATTTGTGCTAAGTTCATTTTTGATCATTCAAAGCTATAATTGGCATGTGTCATTATAGTGAGGATTCAAGAATGAACACCCTTCATTAGTCATACACATATAAAAGTGTACGGGAATAATACTAAACTTACTATAGTTCTATCATGTCGTGTGGATTTACACCTGATCTTGGTCGTATGCTGGACGAAATGGTCGTGGAAGAGGAAGATTCTGCTGCAAAAGGTACGCAAACTATCATCAAAAGTAGTCTGTCGAATGTCGGTGAAACCAAGTCAAAAGTAAAAGTAACCCAACGAAAAGACAGTAAACAAGGCCAAAATGACTACAATTGGACAAAAACATATGAAAAATGGGACACCTGGAGAGACCCTGAAGAATATGTAAAGTACGAAAATGTGACTCGTAAGGACCATCGTGAACAACATGCAGGAAAAGCTCAAATGGGTTGTAATCATGATCATTCAGCTGTAAGAGAGCTTACAATGTGGTGAACAATGTGAGAAAAGAAGTGATGAGATTCCGTGTATTAATGTATCCCTGATAATGTATACGTCTTATCTACAGGAACAAAAACTAATGGAGATGACGACAGAAGAAAAAGTAGCAATTTGTGACGAGTTGCGAGTGTTTGGGAACCTTTTTTTCAAGCACGGACAGTACCAACGAGCTGCATTTCACTATCATAAAGCACTGGTATACTTTGAGTATGTATTTCCCGATACAGACGAAGAAGAAGCTCAGGTGGATGCATTAAAGCTGAAAGTGCTACTTAATTTTACAGCTTGTAGACTTAAGACAATGCATCTTGATGATGCTGTCCATCATGCGAATCAGGCACTTGAACTTGATCAGGATAATGTGAAGGCACTTTATCGTCGAGCACAAGCTTATCGATTAAAGGATGAGTTTCAATTGGCACAAGAGGATATTGTGCGCGCAATTGAACTTGTAAAAACTGCGACAGATACGCCATCAGCAGATATACCTTTGATGCAAGAGAAAAAGCTGCTGCTAGCTAAAATGCTCGCATACAAATTGCGGACAAAACAAGTGTCGAGTGCAATGTTTGGCAATGGTGACAAGCTGAAAGCACCAGAACGCTTCATTGGTGGAGATAACTCAGCTGGTTGTGATTCCGACATAAATGGAATGACAATAAAGTTGTCAAGAAGCTCTGGCTTGGCTTCAACTTTGCCATGTGATGAGGATTTAAGCACTCATCAGCCTTCAATTCGAGGATTGAAAGAGTTACAAACACTAATTGCCAATCTAGACAGCTAGCTACACAAGCTACGAAGAGATGGAAAGTAAAAAAATGTAAAGAAAGATATATTCTATAGGTTTTGTATTACCGCAAGTACGTTGAACAGCCCTCTATCTCTGCATTCTCTCATCAGGTTAATTGATCTCGCTAGTCTTCAAACTTGAACGAATTCGAAGCCATACTAATGGCACCACACATGTATGTCGAGCGCTTGAGTTTATTCTTACCCTTTGTGAAGTCCTTTCCACGCGTCTTCACGAGCTTGTTGTTGGCCTTGACACCGACGCCATCAATACCAAAAGTGCCTTCGTAGCTGTTGTCACGCAGCGTGTCGTCCAAAATCTTCTTCGACCAGAACTCACCGTCGACACGCTGGAATGGTGTACCCGCCGATTTGGTCTTCGTTACCACCTTTTCAATCTCTTTCGGCTGCCACTCCAGTGCAGCCTTTGCGGCCTGTTCACGGCGCAAAGCCTCTTCCTTTTGTGCCTTCTCACGATCTGACGTGTCTGAATCCGAATCCGAGTCTGAAGAGTCGGAGGATCCATCGTTTGACGACGAGCTGTCGTCAGAGCTAGAGTCTACTTCAGGCTTGGCTTTCTTAGTATTCTTTTCAGCAGCATAAGTCTTAGCCTTGCGTTTGTTAAACTTTGGCTTCTCCTCATCCGAAGAGTCCGACGAATTGTCCGAGCTGTCTGAAGTTGAGAGGTCAGCCGCAGCTTCAATCCTCTTCATACTGCCACGTACAGTCTTCTTGCTATTCTTCGTGTCTTCCTCACTCGATGCATCACTCGAATCGGACGAGTCCTCTAAGCTACTGGATTCCTGCTTTTTAACGACAGCAGGTTTCTCTATACGCTTCTTCTTTGTCCTTTTCTCTCCTTTCGACGCATCGTTCAAGTCCAAGCTCAACAACTTGGCTTTTTCAATCACTGAAGTCTTCATCTTGGTCTTCTTAGGTATCTTGTCTTTCTTACTGCAACCGGATGTGACCTTCTGTGCTTTCTCTTTCTCCTCCTCCAAATCAGAACTGCTACTGCTACTGCTAGACGTAACCTTCTTTGTCGTCACCTTCTTTTTTGTCTTCTCCTTCTCCGAATCCGAACTGCTGCTACTACTGCTGGAGCTGCTAATTTTACTCCGCTTCTTCGATGGCTTTTCAACCACGTCAAGCTCCAAATTAGTTGATACCTTAGCTTTCTTAATCTTGTGCGTCAGGTAAAACTGGTACACGTCCAGCAAATCATGCTCATTTTGAAAAACCTTGGGCTGTAGCTTGGCTTCTTTAACCAGTGCAGATGCGGTCTTTTTCAGGCCAGTGCTTGTCAACAAAGCATGAATTAATGGATAAACATCACTGGGTACGACCATTGATATTGTCTCAAGCTTGATAGTGACCAAAGACTACGAGAAAGAGCCAAAGAAAGCGTGACACGATGCAATGATTGAGTAGCTGCTTTGTGCTCAATCAATAATTGAATGGACAGTATTCCGCTGCATGGGGCCACCATACAATACAAATACTATTCGGTGACTCTAATAGATCGTACCTTTTTTTCTACATATCATACCCATTTTGTTCATAAAAAGATGTACCCAATTTGACCTAAATCAATTTCATGTCCACCACATAAACAACCACCCCTTCTCACGACGACCACCCGATCGATTGAGTTTAGTATCAAGCAAAATCGCTAGAAGAGAAAAAAATGGCAATGAGTATGACAATGGGAATTAAAAGCATTACAGGTGATGCTCATTTCTTTGAAGAAAGTATGAATTTAGATCGTATTCGTAAACTATTGGATAATAAATTAGGTGTCGCTGGACACGCTGAGAAATTAGAAGCGATGAAAGCGCTTCTTGCAAGTATTTCAAAGGGTGAAGATGTATCAATTTTCTTTGCCGATGTTGTAAAGAACGTCATTGTTGCTAGTGTTGAAGTCAAAAAGCTCGTCTATATGTACTTGGTTCATTACGCCGATGCTAATTCACAATGTCGTGAATTAGCATTATTAAGTATCAATAGTTTTCAAAAAGACTTGGCTGATCCAAATCAACTGATTCGAGCTTTAGCATTACGAGTTATGACAAGTATACGAGTTCGAGATATTTTACAAATTCAGCTCATTGCGATTCGAAAATGTGCTGCTGATGAGTCGGCCTATGTACGAAAATGTGCGACCAATGCCATTAGTAAAGTATTTGTAGTCGATCCAGCACAGAAGGACGTGTTGGCCGAGATTATTGGTGTTTTGCTTACTGATTCTAGCACTATGGTATTAGGCAGTGCTGTCCAAGCTCTTAGTGAAGTATGTCCGGATCGATTGAATTTACTCCATCGTCCGTATCGAAAGTTGTGTCACTTGTTGGCGGACATTGATGAATGGGGACAAACGGTCACACTTAATGTGTTGGTTCGATACTGTCGACAACAATTTCAGACGGTGGAAGTACCTAAGACTGATAAAGGTATAGTATTGATTAAGAACGGTAACAAGCGAGGCTTTTATTCAGATGATGGAGATAGTGGAGATAGCGAGGACGAGAAGACGAACTTGGTCAAAAGTCAAGGAAATGTATTTACCAACCAGTCACCATTTATACTTGGAGCTGGGAATGTCAGAGGAGAGACACTCCCGTCGATTGGATCCGTCTTCCGTACCGACAGACTTGCAAGCGGAACTGGAGGCGGAGAAGAGCTGGACGAAGATCACCGACTGCTGCTCCGCTCGTCCATTCCGCTACTTAAGTCGAGAAATAGTGCTGTGGTGCTCGCAGTAGCCACGCTGCACTACTACTGTGGCACAAACAGCATGGCAACGTCCACGCTCATTGGCAAGTCGCTCGTGCGTATCATGCGCAACCAGCGTGAAATCCAGTACGTCGTGTTATCGGTCATATCGTCAATGGCGACGTCCCGTCCGGACATGTTTCGCCCATTCTTGCAAGAGTTTTTTGTGCGTGCGACGGACCCGGCCTATGCTAGAAAACTCAAGCTGGAGATTTTAACCTCCCTGGTAACGGACGACAACGTGAGCAATATCCTTCGAGAGTTTCAGGCATATGTCCGCCATGTCGACAAGTACTTTGTGACTATGACTGTGCGCGCTCTTGGACGCGTGGCGGACGCCATGGCGGCGGTCGCTGAGCGCTGTTTAAGCGGACTAATGCGCTTAGTTCGCTCTTCGAATGAGCAAGTTGTTGCTGAGAGTGTGATGGTGATTCGCCAGTTACTTCAGCAGCAGACAATCAAGAAGGACCGTATACTTGTCGTGCGCTCTTTGGCCGCTATGATGGTGAAAGGTCGTGTGACTAGTCCATTGGCACGTGCTTCGATTGTTTGGATGCTTGGCGAGTTCAACGACGATGGAAATGGATCTACTTGCGCAGCTGAATCGCTACGCTTGCTAGTAAAGGGCTTTTCTGATGAATCCGGCGAAGTGCGTCTCCAGCTTCTGAATCTTGCAGTAAAACTTGGACTTCGCGAGCCTCAGGAGCGCGTCATTCAACTTTTGCTCCAGTATGTGATCGAGTTGTGCAAGTTTGACATCGACTACGACATTCGTGACCGTGCTCGTTTGATCCGTGCTGCCCTGGCTGGAGACGAAAGTATTGTAGACCCGCACAAGTTGTTTGCGAGCAAGAAACCAGCACCATTAATTGGAAACGATGATGAAAACAAGACACGCTTTACGCTAGGCTCACTATCAAATCTTGTGCGTCACAGTGTTCCAGGATATCTTCCTCTGCCAGAATGGCGCTCGACGAAGCCAGACCGATTGCTTCGTGATGAATCATCTTCTGTTGACACCAACTATAATGACCCGTCCCGTCGCGGTGTTAAGGCTACCAAAACTAAACAAAGCAAGGGTGGTGCAAAGGCATTTTACAGCGACAGGAGTTCTTCCGGTTCAGAGTCAGTGTCAGAATCGGCGTCAGGGTCCAATTCCTACTCTGATGGTCGCTCCGGCTACGACTCTGAAAGCAGCAGCGCCGGTAATCGCTTTAGTTCCAAGTCATCTTCTTCTTCCGCTAGCTCAGGATCAGAAAGTGAGGCCTCTTCTTTAGACAAAAGCGACGCTGACGAATCGTCGGAGGAAGAAAATTGCACGCGCCGACGGCAAAAGGATGGGAAGACAAAGTCGTTACAGAAGCATGTGCAGCCCAAAAGGACGAAGTCAGCAAACGAATTTGATCCGCTTAATTTTTTGGGGTTACCATCGGGTTTAGACCCAGCAAGCACTCCTGTGCAAGCGTGTGTGCCCAGGAGTTTGACAATCCCCAAGTCTAACGTCCTAGGTGACTTAATGAGTCTAAGCGTGTCATCTTTAACGGTACCACCTCCACGTCACGAATTATTATCCTCACTTGCAGGTAATGGGTTGGACGTTCACTACGCGTTCCTCCGCCAATTGTCGACGCACTCTTCTGGTATGAATGTCATCCAGCTGTGGCTAGCAAATAATTCCAGCGAACCCATTTCATGTGTCGAAGTTGTCGGCAGAAATCCTCAGCAAGTCGCTCCATCCCCAGCGCTACCTGTGTTGTTCCCTGGTGGATCTACATCGATGGTCCAGCTGCATGTGGACTTCATGGGTCGCCTTGATAATGTACCTCTTGAGATTGTCACGAGTGCAAACGTGTACCATGTGGATCTTGCTCCCGTAATTGGGGAGCTTCTCATTCCTCAACATATGAATGTGGACGATTTCGAACGTTGCATTTCAATGTCTGAGTCAACATTTTTACACACCAGTGAATTCACGCTGCTACTCCCGGTGCAGATAAACACTGTTGTGCAGGCTGTCTTGAATAATTGCAATGTGTCACAAGTCTACGAAATTGATAACTTGAATGGCGTAGTCGGCAAGTGTAAGTTTGCCGGACGTCTTCGCAGTGGAGCTTCTAGCGTCGAAAACGTTCTGATTAGCCTGGACGTCCAGCTTCAAAGCGGCAAGGGTCGACTACTGGTGGTTATGCGTGACTCGGTGCTCTCCCAGCGACTTGTCGCAAGCATTATGCAGGCTTTGCCGCTTCAAGTCGCATAACTTGCGTAGCTTACCTTCTGGAAAAATTAGGAACAGAGAATACGAATGTGGCAGTTGAATCATTTACGAGCTGTTGTTACTCTCGACCCGATATGGATGCATCCAACGGCCTTAGCACTCAACATGCTAGCAATGCAGTGTTTGTTGCCTCTCGTTCCTACCTCGCAAGTATTGGAATCAATGTGACCCACAGTGGTGGCCCAAGCAACTCTTTTTACTTCGTTTTCCATCCCAAAAGAACACGAAGGCGTTATCGCTGCTTTGCTTTGTTTTCAACAGCGTCTTTGGAATATGATCCACAATGTCCTTGTTGATGCCATCATGGTGTGCCGCAAGCACCTGCGCTAAACTATCGTCAACTTCGACACCAAGGATCCATATGAATCCGTCTCAAAAAGGCGAAAGAGACAAAGTATTTATTGGTCCTTCCGGAACGTCATTTGGACGTTGTCTCGTGAGGCCTTAAGCTCCACACCCCAAGCAACAGCTTCTTGTCAAATGTGTTGATGCCGTCTCCGTCGCGCTCCACCAGCAAGCATTTTGCTACCCTTCGTCGCTGAAATGTGGCACAGATCGTGAAACAGGTGTTAAAAGCTGGTAAGATATATTTGCAGGAGCCTTTCTTTTCAGTCAAAATGCATCTTGATGCCCCTTGCTTCGCTGTGAAACCTGGCCATTTCGCTAACACTGTCAAAAACGCTGGAGTGCCTGAGCAAATGGGATCGACCGTGCTTGTGCTTTGTAGGTATTGTTGGTATCAGTATGTGGCTGTTGAAAAGATCTTGATAGGGAATAGCACAAAGTACACGGTGCATACGTTCACTTTGTGATTGATCTGACTCATCGACGCTGCGGCAGGCTGGGGCTTGCTCATAATTGCTGTAGCTCAATATAACAGACGCAATTTAACAGAATGCATGGTGGTCCGTCGTGTGCATACTTTGAAGATAGATACTAATCAGCACATTGCAAATACCTTCATCGCATAGTGCTCTAACCTTCTGCTCATGCGACTCACAGCAGTCACGGCAGAGCCAGTCGTTTTTTTGGACTCGCACACCGTACGTCAAGGCTAGCAGAACGTGACATTGAGCTTGTGCTTGTTTCAAACAAACCTCCAAGTTCCATGAAGTCTTTCGCTTCCGCGCCAGAAACTTGACATGAATCGGCTGGTGTAACAGTTTGTTACTAACGTGAAATTGAAAAGTGGTGTGCATATGTTTTGTTGACTTTGCATCGATGCGTTTGTCAGACCGATTCAATGCGTTTGTACAATACATAGAACCTTTCGTTCTTAACGATCAATGTGTCTTCTTACGCAAATTAACTGTACGGGACGGCGAAAGCAAAAAGAGCTAGTCAAGTAAATGTGTTTGGGTCGCCTGCATTGTTGTCTCCTCATTCCAATATTCCCTTCCAAACACTCGGACCTCGATTCAATTTACCCCCTCCCATTTCCAGCATGACCATGACGCGTAATCAACATAAGCGGCTGTACTGGTACACAGTACTAGCAGCTATCACTCTACTGACATATTAAAGCACTCTGCTGAAGACTGCAGACCAAATCCAACACAGTACGGTTCATAGGTGATGTCGGCTATAAACATAACCGACTTAACCTGTCGGAACCAAAGCATAAGGTTGTCACCTTCTTTGTCTTCGAGCTTATCGGCTTCTATATGTATGTTTTTTTTGGTCTGCGGACCACTTCTTGCGCCATTGTCGCCATGGGCGAAGGCGCAGAAGAAGGCATCTGTGCCTTTACATGCTCGACTAGAGCTTTATTATATTCATCAAGCATATGAATACGCTTGTTAACCTCTTCTTCGCCCTGGGAGATGAGGTATTCCACGCCCTTAGGGCCAAGGATAGGGAGCAGCTTCTGCTACCCTTCCTGTTGTGCATGTGACAGGCCAACCGCTGACATCTCTTCGATGTCCATTCTCACACAGACAAGTAGCCACCAACTCAGGTGAGGGGTTGACTTCAAATTCTACCAGGTGTAGCAGAGCTACTATAGTAATGCTACTAATGCACTAAGTTTAGACAAAGACACGCTCTAGAGAGCTTGTTTCTTAGCCTTGAGGAGTAATGCCTTCGTTTCTTATGCTCAACAGCATCAAGTCATTGTACGGTATTGCGCAGTGTCCTGTCCTGTTATCCTGCCTGCTACCATGGGCAGCAACGAGGCCAAGATCATTTGGGAGTCAGCATAAAACCCAACGTCTCTCAAACACGTTTTCACACTGTTCAAAACAACTCCTAAGGCTAGCTTAACAAGCTTGTGCCTTTTGGTCGAAAACAGCCACGTCTTCAAGAGACCAGTATCAGAGATACACTTCTTTCTTGCAAGGATTGAGGTTTTAGCAAGAAATGCTATACATAGTAGGTTTACAACTGATTTATTTATATGGTTATCGTTAGAACTAAATATTGAAGCACCTATTCTATGCTTAGTGCTAGTCACTATTTATCCGGCCCTGTCGCCACCTATATGTAAACGTGTATAGTCATTTACACTGAAACTAAGTACTATGACCACGTGGCTTTCTCTCAGCCACGACGTGACCCTTCATACCTTAGGTACGGTCACATCAACCTACCACTGTGTATCAAAGGTACAGCCACACCACAATGGTGTGGCAGGTGTGTATATACAATACACACATTTGTGTAACCGCGTCGTAGGACCACACAAATATCAATCACGTATCCAAGACTGTCTGCCTTCTTGCAACTTTCTTCGTAGCAAAGTCGTTTTTGCCACATTCTCGCAAAATGCTGTTCTATCTTCGCAAGACTTGAATTGCAAGCTGGTCGCTAGCCTTTACTTTAGTCACTACAACTTCGACATGCAGGTGTTACACCTTTGAATCCATGCTGCAAAGCTGAGATGTAAGAAACCTGACAATATCATCGTTCTCGATGTCCAAGAGGTGGCATCAGATGACGCTTTCATCAATACCATTTCCAATTGTTTGCCACATTGCAATCATTTACCATTTCCGATGTCAGTGAGAAAGACCAATGCATACAACAGGTGCATTGTAATTGAATCGCCGACCCTGAGCACGTCTACTTGAACGAAAGTTAGAAAGGTGACAATGATGATGGTGACGCAACGATATTCATCATTGCGAATTGTATGGAATCAGTGAGCACTTTAGCGGAATGGTTACTGCTGTCTTCATAATGTAACCAGTGAGCTCTATATCGGAGTGGTCACTCCTGTCTTCATAATGGAACCAGTAAGCACTGTATCGGAGTGGTCACTACTGTCTTCCTTATAAAACCAGTAAGCACTGAATAGGAGTGGTCACTGCTGTCTTCACTATTAAACCAGTGAGCTCTGTATCGGAGTGTTCACTGCTGTCTTCGCAATGGAACCATTACTTTGCTCCAAGTTTAACTCGTCGAAGAAGCGACAGAGACGACCAAGCACTCGCCTTGTCGATGACATGTTTGATCCAATTGCCTACAACAACAACAAAGCTCGCTCAATCACGACGCCATGCGCTTTTGTGGTGTATGCGGATCTCCTCAACACCTCAACAGCCAAATACTGATCTCAACAGCAAAATATAGATGCCGACACTATGTAGAAAGCCTCGCTATGGTTGACAACTTCGACTGCCGGCCTTTTGCCCTACGCTGGCTTGATATATGTGAATCAATCATGCTGCAGTATGCTGTTACGATAGGCCTCAACTCACTCAGTATATCAAAAGGCAGTCACACTGAGACCAAGCTGCCAATCCTCCAGCTCTACCAAATTCACTCAAATACCGTCATTACATACGATGATGAACCTCCAAAGCACGTGATGCCCGTCTACCACGTCATGAACGTACTTGGCAGCTTTCGCATGACTATGGTCAGCTGCTCGATGCCCAACATAAGCTTTTTGTTGAACTGGATTAGACCATTGAATCGCGTGTATTCCGCCCCAGCTTCCTACGGTGCAAGTGTCAAGATACTGACGCTGTAGGCCTCGCTTGCTGCTAATGAACAAACTTTGACCAATTTCCAAAACAACGCACATTTACCTCCGTCTCTGTATGAATACCGCGTACGTTCCTTCTCCTTCAATTGTAGTAAACCGATAAGCGTGTCCGCCGTATCACCGGTGATAAGCCAAACCTCTTGCTCTGTCTACTGTATATGCCTTAAGCCTCTTGACCGTTTTAGCTTAGCGACCACCTTAGTTAGATCTTCAGCTTCATATCGAATCCTTAGTGCAGAGTGGAAGCGCTGCAGTCTAGCATTCTCACCCGAATGTCATACACGTACGAGACCCGCAGTAGTCCAGCCAAAATACTGGCGCCTATTTGAAGCCTAAGAAGCACGAAACTATCGTCATTCTTTTTCGTAGCTCCAAGCACTTCTTCATTTCTGCATGTTTCATTCAGGTCCAGCACAATGTCCGTAGTGACAACACGTCTTGTTACGACAAACAAGTCTCGCTAGACCAATGTGCCTTTATGAATACTGGTAGACAGTGCAATTTATGACGGTCCCTAGATAATTCGGTGCGTATTGACAACCTTGTTTGCCTGACAATCGAGACAAAGCGCTCAGCAGTCTGCACATATGGTGGGTAACCCTCGAGTTATAGCACCGACTTTTATGGCCTCGGATTGGTATGATCGTCTGCTTGATCGTTGCGACGTAGTTGATAGTGATGGTGATTCGATGCACAACACTCAAAATCGCTGTACTTCTGCACAGGATTTGTTTAAGATTCTGTGGCTCAATATGACATAGACACGGCAATACAGTGTCGTCCGTCCTGCGCAGACCTCACAAGTAGATACTAAACAGTACTCTACAACTTCACTGCGCTAGTACAACAGGTTGTCTGCATTCATAACTATAATTAGTCGCACGAGCATAGAGATCAGAGCACCATGGACACTACGGAATCAACTTTAAGGCTAGCAGAACGTGACATCGAGCTTGTGTTGTTTCAAACGAATCTCTATGTAGACTGAGGCCTTTCGTTTCCTCGCCAAAAACGTGACATGAATCTTCTGATGTGACAGTTTGTTACTAACGTGGATACGAATGTATTGCACATGTTTTGTTGGCTTTGCATCGTTGCGTTCGTCAGACGATTCATTGCGTTTGTACAACACCATGCCACTGGACCTTTCGTTCTTAACGATCGGTGTGTCTTTTACGCAAATCAGTTGGACTGGACGGTAAGAATACAAAAGCCAGTCAAGCAATCGCGTTTGGGTCGGCGGCATTGTTGTCTCCTCATTCCAATATTCGCTTCCAAACACTCGAACCTCGATTCAATTCATCCCCTTTCCAGCATGTCCACGACGCGTAATCAACATAAGAGGCTGTACTGGTACACAGTACTAGCAGCGATCACGCTACTGACATATTGGAGCACTCTACCGAAGACTGCAGACTCCGACACGGTCATCGCTGGTTCTTTGCAGTATGCGCTTGGTATTCATCAGAGCAACACAAGGGTCAAGAGGCACCTGCGGTCAAGCTCTGACACGACGGCAATTGACGTCGATGACAATGAAGACAGAGCGCTTCGCATCAACTTCGAACTTCCAACTTTGAAGTTCCCGGATGTGGCTAAGAAAGCAAGCCAGAAGGCTTTTGACGCTTTTGCGCTGATTACTAAACTTCCGAAGAGCCAAAAAGCAAATGCCATACGTTTTAAGAGGCTAAATCTTGACAAGGTATCAAGCTACGAGGATGCGGAAAAACTCGCTAAGTCCGGCAACTTCGAAAAGTGGATCAACGGTGAGATAAAAGTGTACAAGAACACAGAGAAGGCTGAGGAGGCCATGGCTTCAACGCTTGTGCGTTTGCCCGGCAAAGACAAAGCTATCATGATTTTAGCAGCTGGAAGTAAAGACTCAAAGACAAAAGAGATCGCCACGAATTTGGAGAACCGTCTGCTGAGTCAATGGATGAAAAAAGATGGTCGTCATGACGGTCTTTATAAGCTACTAACTTTTGGCAAGACTGGTCTCGACTTTTGGGAAAGTTCGCAATGGGAATGGTTTGTCGCTGAAGCGAAAAGGAAAAAGGAGAATGAATTTGACCTGCTGGTTAAGATTCTTAGGCCGCAGTGGGGGGGGGGGGGGGGGGGGGGGGGGGGGGGGGGGGGGGGGGGGGGGGGGGGGGGGGGGGGGGGGGGGGGGGGGGGGGGGGGGGGGGGGGGGGGGGGGGGGGGGGGGGGGGGGGGGGGGGGGGGGGGGGGGGGGGGGGGGGGGGGGGGGGGGGGGGGGGGGGGGGGGGGGGGGGGGGGGGGGGGGGGGGGGGGGGGGGGGGGGGGGGGGGGGGGGGGGGGGGGGGGGGGGGGGGGGGGGGGGGGGGGGGGGGGGGGGGGGGGGGGGGGGGGGGGGGGGGGGGGGGGGGGGGGGGGGGGGGGGGGGGGGGGGGGGGGGGGGGGGGGGGGGGGGGGGGGGGGGGGGGGGGGGGGGGGGCCAGTGACGAGAAAGTGTCCCAGATATTAGCGTCTGGAAAGACGATTCCAAGCGTCGAGCAAGATGCCAACATGGCTGGAAGAGAGTCTGCTGAGAAGAGTGGATGAAAGATGGTCGTTATGACGGTCTTTATCAGCTACTAACTTTTTGGCAAGACTGGTCACGACTTTTTGGACAAGTTCGCAACGGGAATCGTTTGTCGCTGAAACGAAAAGGCAAGAGGAGGATGAATTGGAGCTGCTGGTTGAGATTCTTAGGCCGCATTCCAGTGACGAGAAAGTGTTCGAGATATTAGCGTCTGGAAAGACGATTCCAAGCGTCAAGGAAGATGTCGAAGAGATGGAGAGAGAGTCTGCTGAGAGAGTGGATGAAAGATGGTCGTTATGACGGTCTTTATCAGCTACTAACTTTTGGCAAGACTGGTCACGATTTTTGGACGAGTGGCGCAACTGGAAACTGTTTGCTAGATTTCGAAGCGGGAATGCAACATATGGACAAGATCTACGCTGCTGGTTGAGATTCTTAAGCCGCATTCCAGTGACGAGAAAGTGTTCGAGATATTAGCGTCTGGAAAGACGATTCCAAGCGTCAAGCAAGATGTCGAAGAGCTGGAAAAGAGTCTGCTGAGAGAGTGGATGAAAGATGGTCGTTATGACGGTCTTTATCAGCTACTAACTTTTGGCAAGACAGATAACGACTTTTTAACAAGTTCGCAATGGCTATTGTTTGTCCAAGAAGCGAAAAGGCAACAGAAGAATAGACTTGGGCTGCTAGTTGAGATGTTCAAGCCGCATTCCGGCAACGATAAAGTCACTCGACGTCGAAAGAAGCTGCCGAAAGGAAGAAGAGAAGTGTCGTTGGAAGAAGAGACTCTGTCAAAGTGGATGCAAAAACCTGATCGTAGAGCAGGGCTTTTTCGGCTTTTATTTTTTGACACGGCTAACAGCGAGAAACTTGATGCTTTCGCAAATCGATTTCGTTTTTGAAAAATTAGGAGTACCGACGAAAGATCGAGACGAGCTTTTGTTTACGGCGCTTCAATCGCACCTAGACGATGATGACAAGCTAGCAAGACTGGTTGCTGTGTCCAAACGCGACGATTCTTCAAAGGACCTTGCGACTAGAATGGAGCTTATGCTGAAGTCGCGTGGGAAGAGTCTGGTGTGAGCAGAAAGCCATATACAGTGGGCTTTTATTTTGCGCTTTTAAAGGCCAGATGAACTTCTACAAAGTCCGGAATTGAGCACGTTTGTGGCTTTTGGAAAGCTGTTACATGAAGATGAGCAAAACAAATGGAAAGACGTTTTGCTAGACAAATTGATGAGTAAAGAGCCTGATCTGTTGACACTAGAGAAGATTTTTGCAAAGCACAGTAATGGCATTAACGCGGAAGCTGTGCGAGTATTAAAACTTCGACTGCTGGGGAAGATCAAAGAGGAGAAGCTGGATCAGGTGTAGACGAAGAGGATACGAGACTGGTTTGAAAAAGCGGAAGCTACGAAACGTGCCGAAGATGGTTCTTGAGCTCAAAGATGAAGCCAGAATTAGATTTCTACGTCTACTATGGTACACATGGATCTTATTATATACTGCTGCGTAAACTGGTAGATGAAGAAACATTGCAGCGCTCGAATTGCTCAGTGCTGAAGGCGGAACCAGTTTGTGACGAAGTGGCGGCCATCAAGAGGCTGATAGGTGGCAGGTGCAGAGGCGGTTTTGGAACAAACATCAATACGATGGCGTGGTGTCTGATATCGAAAGCATGTGCAGCGGCGAAAATGTCGTAATAGACAGCGGAGTTAGCGAGGTATGGCAGCGTCTGCGATACAGTGACAAGCGCTTTGCGATTGCATTCACGGTCTCGATTTTTCATGGCTACATCGTCCAGTAGCATCATCCAGGACTCGTCGTTCAGCAGCAGATGGTCGGTCCATCGTCTGTGGTATATACACACACCAATAACAACTTGATGATGACGGACCTGAAACCAGCTAAGCAGAGCACTGATCACTTCCTGCTACGTATGTTATCCAAACCTGCAAGAATCGATATCAAAAGGTAAAAGCCCTCTGCACGTTCGAAAACCTTATAAATAGATAAAGAAAACCTCAATCCAGTCTTACTTTGCCAGTATTTTATCCCCCCTCCCTCCCCCCCATTAAGAATATAAAAGATGTTGCTGAACAATTTAATGTTTTGGATGATGGTGGTCGAGGCAGTCATTTGTCTAATGTTAAGTCTTCCATTTGGTCAGTGGTTATCTTACACTATGATGTCGTTCTTAATGAAATATCTGGATGATAAAAACTCTCCAGTCAATACTGTGGCTACAATTGTGCTTGCCTTAGTTGCGATTCTTTTTCTTTGTATGTATAATATCTGACTAGCTATTATTGTGGGTTTTCTTACTAGACAGATATGATCAAGTTTTTCTAATTGTTGTTGTATTTGTTTTGTATTTTCTTATATGTAGCGGACGTGTCAACAGTTTACAAGCACCACTCATCGGATGAAGTACTAGGTGATGGAATGCGTATCCGTCTTCTCACTGCACAGCGAGATATGTACATTACGGGCTTTTGTCTCTTTTTATTCCTACTACTACGTCTTGTGTACATCACATTGGCTACAAACCTTCGATTGGAAAAGAATCTAGAGGCTATGAAGAAACAGGCGGAAGGGGCTGCAGCTGGCTACAAGTCACTGTTGGCAGAGAATGAGAGCTATAAGAAACAGACAGACAAGCTACATGAGCTGCTGGAGGGAGAGGAAGGTGATGATAAGAAAAAGAAAGTGGACGCACTGGCCAGATTGGTGCAAGAGAACGCGGACCTTGAGGAGAAGGTGAAAACCTTAGTCGACAAACTCAAAAAAGCGGAAGACCAGGTCGTTGTGGTGACGAAACAAGCGGAAGGACAAAGTTCTGCTTTTATGAAGCTTATGGACGAGAAGAACGAGTCAGACAAACAGCTGGAAACTGTCAAGTCTCAGGAGGTGGAACTCGAGTACCAACGGCAACAGATTGCTAAGCTTACGGAAGAACGTGACTCTTTGAAGTTCCAGATTCAGGACTATGACTTCATGTTTGCTGAAGCCAAGAAAAAGGCTGAGTAAGCTATGGCAACGTGAGAAAGTCTCGAGGGAAATAGTGATGATGCAAAGAAAGAAAACGATGACTAATTGTTGTATGACACTTTACTTTGCGTTTGTTTTTTGTGGTTCATGTATAGCTTGGTGTATTTAAAAGTTGTGGTGCAGATACTGCAACCGTTCCTGGATAATCTGCAGTCGTGAACTTGCAGTACTGGAGGTTGATGACGTCACTGACGAAGTAGGAGATGTAGGTGCCAGAGGGCTCGGTGAATCGCGAGAACTTGGTGATAAAGTGAAAGGAGAAGAGCGGGCTTGGGCGACAGTGCTCTGAACGTGTATCCGCATACTCCATACTTTCTCGATACCCACTTCTTCATTGCCCAATGATTGCTTCGTCGTCGCTTCATAAATACCTGCGTACCGTGTAAAGACGCTCACGTGCAGCGCTCGATTTTGCTTTAGGATAGGGATCACAAGCAGCAAAAAAGCATCCTTTACCTCCACTGTCATGTCATCTAGCTCCAATGTGCACCCACCGGGAGGAAGCTCGAGTATTCTGTTAAATGATGTCCCTCGCAGCGGAGGTACGCCTGGGTAAGCTTCCATCTGTGCGAGCCATCGTCTCACTCCGAGCTGTTTTGTTCGGTCGTTAGTCCAGTTTTGCAGGATAAGCGCAGTTTCGCGTGAAGTGGTTGTAAACTTTGGCGTTGGCACTGGCCTTATCTCACGATGGTCATTGTTGTCAGCATCACACTCATACCACAAAGCAAGAGCATCCAGCACGCGCTTACGAAATGATTGCACAATATTTACCGTCACTGTAAATTCGTTGTGTGTGGTTCGAGTCTTCAACATTTCCGCAAAACGCAGCAAACGTAATGCGGTAGACAAAATCGGTCGCTGCTCTTTCTCGCTAGCCACGTTACGTTGAAGTTGCTCGGATAGCACGGGAAGAGCATTGGCGTGAGTTTGACACAATTGAAGCACATCGTTCATAGCACCCAATACCGTCTGAAGCTGCGGCACGAAATCAGCCATCTCCTTGATCCCTGATCCTAACAAGGACCAAGAGTTCCAAGGAGACATGGCAATAATTTCATCATCGGTACGACCGTGGAAGATTTTCAGCGTGGACGAATCAGCAGCAGACTTAGATGCGCCCAAAGGTTCCCTGCGATCTTCAGCTAGTAGAAGTTGCGTCTCAAGAGACTCACACTGCACTTGAGCTTGGCGCATACACCGCACATGCTCTTGAGTTCTCTCCTCCAACATCGATCGGCACGTGAGTAATTCTTCAGTCCTGAACTTCAAGCTGTGCCGCGCTTCACAAGCTTCCTGTTGACGCGCCTCCTTCTCCAAGGCCAAAATTCTATAAGCATTCTCGTGCTGTGAAACCATTTGTAAAGTTTTCACAAGTTTTTCCTCATACTCCTTCAGTTGCGCGAGATAATTGATCTCAGAGTCACCAAGCTCCTTCTGAGTTGTAGACAACTTGCTTTCCAGATCGCACAAGGCCATCGCGTATCGCTCGTTATCATGTCGCTGATCATGCAATTGTTGTAGTACACAATTGAGCTGTTTTTCGTGTTTCTTACCTTCTTTATCCAGTTCAGCTTTAGACATCCCAAGTTGCGTCTGCGCCGCTTCCAAGTCACATTGCAACTTATGCAAATGTTGATCGCTACTTTCTTGCTGATCCCGTAGCTTTCTCAAAACCTCAGCAAGATTTTCCTCGTACTCGTGTAGTTTTGTGAACTGGTTTGCCTCCGATACTGCAAATTGATTTTGCACTTCCACCAACTTTACTTCCACGATGTTCATCGTCGTCGCGTACTGCTTCTCTGCCTCCGTCATTATTTTTTCATGCTTCTTCGCGTCAGCAGTCCGCTTGGATTCCACATCTACAACCTGGGCCTTCAGCTCAATGCAATTCCGCTCCAGCTCAATGCAATATTGCTCCAGCTCGCGCAACGTTCTCACATGTCGTTCTCGTCTATCATCTTCATCTTGAACCTCGTGCTTTGTCTCATGATGCAGCTCCAACTTCAACCGCTCCTTTTCTTGTTGCACTTTGAGCCCTTGTCGCTGATGTTCATCGGACAATTCCTTCTCTTTCCCTTCATTCGTCAGTCGAAAGCTAGCACTATTTTCCTTGACCACCTCCTGTGTCTTTTGATCACACTGTAACTTTTCCTTCCTCTTCCACATCAACAACTCGTCATCTTTCTCCTTTAATTGCTGTGTTAAGATACTTCTCGTCGATGCATGAGCTGCTACTTTAATCTTTAATTGCATCTTCTCCTTGTCTAGACTCAATTTCTCCTCTTTCAACAGAGCCACTTGAATCTCTAGACGCTCGCATTTCTCCTTAATCGTCTGCTGCTCTTGCACTGCATCCACCCCTTTCTGTCTCTCCATCTGCAATTGATTTTCATAATGAAAAGCCAAGCGCCATAATTGCGAATTCATGTCTTCGCTTTGCATTTCCTGCACTTCACAATTTGCACGAGTCTCTACAGCACTAGATGACAATCGCTCAGTCTTTTTTGTATGTGTAATAAAAGCTTCAAGTGACTGCTTTTCTCGTCGTGTCTTGACGAGATCAGCACGTAGTAGTTTTAGTGCTGCATACGCGTCTCGTAGGTCTTTCTCCATGCTTTAAATGATAAAATAATAATAATAATAATATAATTGATTGAGATAAGAAAAAAAAGAACAAGAGTTTTTTCTTATTATGGTTATAAAATAATATGGGTTTTTTATCTCTTTACTTTTATTTAATAACTTTCACTATAGTTTCCATAAGTATTCAATATTTAAACATAGAGTTCTAACAATTAGCTGGGTATACCGAATAGAATAGAATCGACTTTATATATATGAGTTTTACCCAATCAGTAGTAGTATTCCATACAAACTAACCAACAAGAGAGAAAGAACCAAAGCGTCATGAGCTCTTCTCCGACGCAATGTCCGTGTTCCCCCACGTCTTTACGTCAGATTCCTATCGTATGTCCAGGTCATTCTCGTCCAATAGCTGAACTTTATTATAGTTTTAATAATCTTCTTCTCTCAGCATGTCATGATAAATTACCAATGTTACGACATGGTGATTCAGGTGATTGGATTGGGACATTTGAAGGTCATAAAGGAGCTGTATGGAGTGCAAAATTAGATCATGAAGCTGAATTCAGTGCCACGGGAAGTGCTGATTTTTCAGTCAAGATCTGGGATGCCTTAACGGGTGATTTGGTCACAACATTTGAACACAAACATGTGGTCAAGAGTGTGGCATTTACATTGGATGGAAGGCGATTATTAACAGCAGGACATGAGAAAGTCATTCGTATTTTTGATATTTTTGATATTAAGCAACAATTTCAACAGTTGAAAGCACAAGGAAGGGAACCAACGAGTTCCATTGTACCAAGTGGACCATTAATGGAAGTGGAAACAGTGGAATCCATTCGAAAGATTGTTGTTCTAAATCATGAGCTTGCAGCTACAGGTGAAATTGATGGAACTGTTACGATATGGAATTTGGAAAAGTATCAAAAAATACAGCAATTTCGTGTCGATGCAGATGTAATGGATATGGAAGCATCAAGAAATGGGACAATACTTACTATTGCGGCTGGAAAACAGGTACAAAAAGGATGAGGAGACATTGAAATTTTGTTTTGTTGTGTTTTGAAATCTCGTGGTGGAAACTAGTTTCTAGAGTAATTCTTTGTGTTGGTGTTGTTGTTGTTCGATGATTTTTTGTTGTTGTAGGTGTATTTCTACGATGCAAGTAACGAGTTTGCACTGCTCCATTCATTTCCAATGCCAATTTCTTTTGCAGAGGAAGGAGGGGCATCATTGCATCCGACTGAAAATAAGTTTGTAGCGGGTGGGTCCGATACATGGGTACGCGTCTTTGATTCTGAATCAGGAGAATTGCTTGAGACGCACAAGGGGCACCATGGACCGGTAAGATGTTTACGATACTCACCGTCAGGTAATTCGTTTGCGACGGGCTCGGAAGATGGGACGATTCGCATCTGGCAGAATGATATTAAATCTGCGGCTGCTACGTCCATCGCGGATACAATTGGTATCTCGAGTTAGATGGAGGCGCGTCGACCGTTATGAGAAGCGACATAGAGGAGATGGCAGCACCATGCGAACAATTTACAGAACGCAACCAGACATACGCAAGCAAATACAATGTGTAACCATGAAAGAAACGAAGGCTCATTGGATGTGAACCTGCAGTCAATTTGTCCATGTCTAGCTTCAATACCAGGTCCTTTAGCAGTTTGGCAGGCTTCCATCCTTCATCGCAAGATCTTTGCCTGAGCATTTATTTACCCAGACCCTTGGCCTTCAAACGACCTACATCGAAAGCACTCGAAAAATTGCCGCACTTAGTGATTCTGATTCTCTGCAGCGTAACGCTTTAGATACTTGAGTCACCTTCACCTGTAGCTGCTGCCCAGCATGTGTGTGAAGTTTACAAGGCTCACGGCCCTTGCTCGGTGCTTCAGCACATCAGGGAGGTCCATCAACACCGCAAGTGCTCCGCTAACAAATGCATTCATCTCCATGTAGCCTTCTCACTGCTACACGCCGAAATGAACAACCATAAGGGTCTGACCTTGGCAAAATGACCCTTGTGCCTCTTCAATCAACCCAGGCCCGTGCATGGATGGCATCAGCGTCCCCAAGCAGAATTTTGTATGAGTGTGTCGCAGCAACAAAGGCATCCACGCGCTTGCCAGAGTTATCTGCTCCGATATTGCAGCCAGCTTCAGCAATAGTAGATTCCAACGAAGCTGAAGTATCAGATGATTTGTCAGGATGCAGCTTGAGTGCAAGCTTACGGTATTGGCGCTTGATCTGCTGGACGGTGGCGTCGCGCGAGAGTCCCAGCACACCATGAAAGTCACGACGCGCCCACATCGTCCGGATTCGCTCTGGTTGCCACAATTGCTCGCCGTCTAGGCAACCCGAGCCTGATGATGAGCCCATACTTTTAGCGTAGGCTGAGCGCACCAGCTTCATTCGCACACGCGCCGCGCGAAACAGATCTTCCTGTTCGTTCTTGTCGGACGGTGCTGGCCGCCACGTGCGACACTGCCCAGGTTGATCCATCGGACCAAGACCGAAGGCGTCGTCGATACCATAATCGAACGTTGGCAGTGGACCGCGACCTCCGTGCGCCGTAGCTGAACAATTTGCACTCAAATCATTGCTGTCTCCGTGAGCTGAAATCGACTCATCAAGGGTGCTATTCACATGCACGTTTGGACCACGGCGTTGAGCTGCTACGGAATTTATCCTAAAGCGCCGTTCTCTACGAGAGAATGACAGCGAAGCCGTACCTGTTGAAGTAGCATTGAGTGTGGCTATGAACTCAGACGAGAAGTTCGTAGCGTGAAGAGTCGAGTTGGCTGTCATTGGAGTTGCAGTCGTAGCTTCAATAGCGGGCCCTGAAGCACAGTCGGTTAAATGGCACGGACAGTGATCTTCGCAAGAATGACATCGTTGACAGAAGAAAAGCATTCCACAGCGATGGCCATTGGTTCCCGCTGACGCACTGCTCATCCATTTGCAGGCCTCATTGGCCTCAATCCCATCCAGCATTTGAGCCATTATTTTCTGCACAGCAGAAAGCCGAGATGAACAGCACATGCGGCACCCACAACTCACGCACACACAATGAAGACAGCAGCCGGAACAACCTGTGCAGCGGCGCCGTAAGTCGCGGCAGCCTGAGCACCCCATTCGTAGTGGTGGACAGCCGTCAGAGCGCCGATCACAACTACTGCCACTGCTGCACACAGACATTACTCGTGATGACGTCCTTGACGAGCGCACAAGAGGAAGCAAGAAATCAGCATTTGACGCTGCTAAAGCTTTTGCAACGCGAATAGACTCCCTTCGTCGATTTTTGCTTCCTCGACCGCTTCTTGAAGCGTAAGAACTTGCTTTCTTCGACCCAAGCAGTCGCCGTCTGCTAGACTTCCGGGTGGGCCTATCACCCTTAGCTGCCGTAGTGGGACCCTCGTCAGGGCGGATGAGTTGCTTGCTGGATCGTAACTGTCTCTTCTGGAACGGTGCCATAGACGTCTCACATGTTTCCTCCATGCCCAAAAATTTGCCTAGCGCCTGCACGCAAGATGTAGCTAGCCCCCTACATTCTTTTACAAGCGCCTTCTGGTCGTCAATAAGTAGAGATGACGATAACGCTACACCACAATTATTCGTGCTGTCACAGATAATGTTGCGCACTAATTGGTCCTTTGCCAAGGTAATTTCATGGCGAAGCTTTTTCATCTCAATAATTTCTGGGGCGTCCTTCTCAGGATCAAACACACCAATCCAATCAGTCGCCGACGATGCTGCATCACCACTGCTACTATCAGCAATAGGCTCACTATGCGGCTGGCTATCAGTATTCTCAACTGATGCCTTTTCTTTTTCCTCTTCGCTTGCGCCTTGGATCTGTGATGGAGCAAATTCTCTATATTTCGTATAGTATCGTGCCCACTGATGCTTCACAAGCTTTTTTTGGATCGCCAATTGCTTGGCCAGTTCGCATTTTAAACTATTAAAATGCTCCACGTGAGTACGCCACGGCCCAGAGCGCCCTAATTCATTCATCAAATCTCGGGTACTTGCTAGCGACTCCTCTAGTTGGGCGCGCGCATTTTCAACACTTTGTGGTGTCATGATGCATTCCCTCGCCTCTTCGACCGTAAATGGCTGATTCTGTACCTCGTCACGCATGCCCACAGGAGTCAATCGTAATAGCGCAGCCAATTCTTCGTCGCGTAAAACGGGCGTGCGGTTAATGTCCCTCGACATGGCGTCAAAAGGGGACAATCCATAGGCAGTATCGTATTCACCGTCAGCTGTAGTGCCTTGAGTTTGATCAAGTGCGGACTCTGCTAGACGCTCAGGGTCCACGAAATCGTCCTTGGTTGTATACAAAAGTGCCTCATTGTGCCAAATGTACAAAGCATCTTGAAGGCATGTAAACTTATCGTACGATCTGTCGTCCATTTCGTCAACACTGTCCGGATCAAACCACGCACAAGAATTTTCAGCAAAGAGAATCCACCACTTGTGAAGCTGCAGCTTTGTATTCTCAACCACAACATGTGCTGTAACACTTTTCAAACGATTCACGTGCGCAATGACGCGTTGGCGACGCTGACTAGTGTTATTAGCATTACCCTTGTCGTGACCAGATCGCTTCTCTTTCAGTGTAGACACTAGCGCCTTTATCACAGCATCCAAATCACGCATATGCACCGTAAGCCTCAACAATAGATTTCTTAGAAAGTAACTGCTGCTGGGATAATCTTGCTGGCCAATTGCAGAAGATGCCACATCACTGGCACATGCGTCACATGAATTAGTCTCACGAAGGTATTCCGGCACGTCGTCCTTGCCTTTCCATTGAAGCACATGGTTGACGACCTCAGGGCACTGCTCAATGGTTTCGCGCACTAACGAGATTGGAAGCGAGTCAAATAGACTAGACTCAATTGCAGAAGATCGGATCGGGCGCAGAATATATGTAAACAGGTCAGACTCCAACGTACCCTCATCTAGAAGGTTATCGTGACTGCGGCTTGTAGAGTTGATGCTTCGATCAGTGGTTCCAACCACATGTCTAGCCAGATAGTGCTTTCCCAGCAAATGAGCCACCAAGGCGAGTGAGTGCAAGGCAACAATCTTATTTTGTAGCTCACTCCATTCTTTGTGGCGTGAAGACTCAAACACGCCCAACTCGCCAATCAACGAGAATTCACTTGACAAAGAGGGAAGCGGCGGCACCAGGTTGCCGATTGCACGTAATCGTTCAGCACACAGCACAATCTCTTTCCCAATGTTAGCGCGCTTCAATAGATATCGATGCAGAATCTGAATATCGTGCGTGGTAAGAAGCCATCTCTTAACCTCGCGCGAGCAGGAGTTACCAATTGTGAGTGACTCCAGGTAAAAATACTGCCGTTCGCCAGACAAAAAGCGCAGTAATTTGCAATCCGTTTCTAAAGAATAGTCCTGAATCAAGTTTAGATCGCGGGTCAGACCAGGAAGTTCCCACGTCGAGCGGAAAGAATCGCGTCGAGAACTGCTTTTTTCCTCGCTTCTAACTTCAATATCTTCTGCTGTTGTCTTCATAGACGTACCAGCCACTGTCTCACTCGCAGACAACACTTCCGTGTCGACACATACATCTGCATCCTCATGTAGAAAGTCAAAAGTGTCCGCCGCCTCACCTAGGGTGGCACCGCACTGAACACCAGAGTCTTCCACGGTGGGCAGCTCGCTTGAACCCGATGTAATCAATTTTCCAAATGCTTGCACCTTCTTCACCAAACACGCCAAATCACTGTCCTCTGCCATCTCACTCGCAATAAACGACAGCCCAGCTGATCGGGACTTACCCGCATTCCTACGCTTAGTCTTAACGCCACGAAATTGGGAATGGGTCACAAACAGTAGGCTGGTTGCTGGTACGCATACATCGTGGGCGACACTAAGCCTCTCCATTTCAAGCAAATGCTGCTTTTTCTTACTCAACGAAGTAGTCGATAACGATGCCGCCATTGCATTGCACTGCTTCTTTACCACAAGCTCAGCGACTTTTTTGCAGTGTGCCATCTTTTCAAAGTGTCGACGCAATCTTAAGTACTTATTGCGCTCCAATGTTTCTTGAATACGAACACTTTTGGCCTCAGCTTCTAAGCGCCGCGAGATCATTACAGTGCGTGTCAGTCGTATCCGAAACGCTTCTCTTTCATCGCGCAAACGCTGTTCATCGTCTCCTCCTATTGTAAAAGCAACGGCTTCCACGTTTTTTTCTCTTTCTTCATTCCCATTCCTAGATAGCTGTTGATCTGACCGGTCCGGCTGTTGTGTACAATCCTTAGCGCTTTGCCCACGTTTTGACACGACGTGTGTAGCAGCACTGTCTTCATATCGGTGGTCTAACACATGATCAAAAGTGAGGAATCCCAAGACCATGTAATTGAAAACATACACAACACTCTCGCTACTTACGTTTTTCATGTCGTTGCTGTGTCATTGTCTCAATTTCTTCCATTGTACCACTATCTCGATTTCGTTTTTTCGTGACTGGAGTATCATAGCTAATCGATTGCCGTCTCTGAGTCGGAGCATACCGTTCCTTTCCAACATGTTTTCCTGCCACTTCATCATATTCTTCCTGCTGTATCTGTTCCTTCCTCCTGCCAGAGCGTGAATACTTTCTCAATTGTTGTTCCGTGCTTTCAACGACTGCTTGTAACAAGAGCATACCATCATTCACTCGTTTCATTGTCTTGGCTGTGATCCTAAACATCATCAAATGATCCAACTCGCCTAGTTCTCCTCGCGTCTTATTTTTCTCATTCTCCACTGTCTTTTGGTAACTAATGCTACAACAAGCACGTGACATGATTGTATTCAGTTTGTCACCAAGTAAATGTGGCACCAGTCGTTCTGGATCCATTGTCGTTCGTATTTGAATCATTTGTCCACTAGTATTCTTATCATTCATTCTCATTGATACAGAAGACCGTGTCATGTCCATAGACCCGTGAGAAGGACAAGTAGTCGTAGTAGCTGCAGCAACTTTGTCATACTCATTTCGTGGTGTATTTTTCGCATTCTGATTGGCTATAATATTACGTTTCTTGGTCATGGCGATACTACCGGTATTAGCCAAGCGCTTCCTGGAAGGCTTTTTACGGTTATTTGATACTGTCGTGGATGTTGTTGTCGTCGTATAGGATGCAGAAGATCGACGTAATGAAGTAGTAGATGTACATGGGAGTGAAGTGTCAGTAACGTTTGCATTTGTTGCATGTACGCCTAAAGACGCACCCACGGAGATAACGCCCATGATGACCAGCGGTTTCGATGTCGGTAATATCGAGACAATTTGATACAAAAATGAGATTTTATAAATTAAGTTTGACAGTATCAAACCTTCAACATTTTGTTAAAGTATTACGTAAAATACAATTATTTAAGGCGAAGAAGGACTGAAGTAACACGATAGGGCTTGAAGTAAAACCAGAAAAAAATATAAAAACCTTGTGGCTTCGTAATCATTACCGGTATGAATGAAATAAACACCCATCACGTGACAATCATAATAGTACACTAATGAAAGTGGTTACGTGTTCTGGACCTACAAATATCGCAGTGATTAAATACTGGGGTAAAGAGACTATTGAACTCAATACGCCCTTAAACTCCAGTCTAAGCGTCACACTTGATCAGAATGAATTATCGACAACGACGTCGATAGCCAGTGGATCAAAATTACAACGAACACGATTCTGGCTGAATGGCCAAGAGCTGCCTATTCCCAAACGTATGGCAATTGTACTACGGGAGATGCACCAATTGGCACAGCGAATGCATCGAGAGGAGATTGCACAACATTTACATATTGTGTCCATCAATTCGTTTCCAACAGCAGCAGGACTTGCGTCATCAGCTGCTGGATATGCATGTCTTGTAGCAACTTTGGCAGAGTTTTACGGCATCTCCAAGGTGAATGAGGAATTTCCAGGTCAGCTATCGACTATTGCACGTCAAGGTTCTGGATCAGCTTGCAGGAGTTTAGACGGAGGTTTTGTGGCGTGGCAGAAGGGAGAGCGACCCGATGGACGGGACTCGATTGCCATACAAGTCGCAAACGAGATGCACTGGCCAGGTCTCTGCGCCATAATATGTGTCGTGAACGATGTTCAAAAAGACACGAGTAGTACGACTGGTATGCAGACGACCAAGGCCACGAGTGAACTGCTGACGTACCGCGCTAAACACTTGGTGGCAAACCGAATGAAGCTGATGACGAAGGCAATTCTGGACAGAAATTTTGAAGTGTTTGGCACACTTACAATGCAGGACAGCAACCAATTCCATGCCATGTGTCTCGATACAACGCCGCCAATCTTCTACCTGAACGATGTTTCACGTGAAATTATCCGACTTGTGCACCACTACAATAAACAAGTTGGCTGTCTGCGGGCAGCCTACACGTTCGACGCCGGTCCAAACGCAGTGATTTTTGTAGAGGAACAACATGTGCAGCAGCTTGTGTCACTTGTACACCACTGCTTCCCGCCATCATCCAAGATGATCATCAAGTCCTCAATACCTATTAACTGTACCCCATCTGATGCGCTTCTTAAACAGATGCAAACAAAACTCGAGAATGGCAAGACATGTAAACTCCCGCATATTCCTAACAGTGTGAAGTTGATGTACGTGACTCATGTAGGCGGTGGCACACGCGTGCTGTCCGCAGATGAAGCGCTGGTTGATGCAGTTACGGGTGAACCGCTACCGTCTCCCTTGAAAGCGCGTAAATATTCGCTCGTCAGACCTAGCTTTTGGCTGCCTCGCGAGCAAGCACTGCATTATTTGGCCATAGCTGCTATTGCTACCGCAGCGATCAGCGCTGTGCTACTGCGCAAGTAAAGGCATAGATTGAAGAACAGTGCGTAAATGTCTTGATATCGAAAGTCTTACGCAATAAGTCGCTCCACTTCGATTACTCCACTTTGTTCATCAGCCCAAGCTGTTGCTGTACCAGTTTCAATAGCTCCTCGTCCGTTATATTGGTCCCTTGGGCCCATGGTGGTGGACAAAGTTTCACCTGTTGCATGCTCTGCATAATGGCCAACCGCTTGCTCTCTTCCAGACGGATACTTTCTCGTTTCAATGGCAATTCCTCAGCTTTTAACTTGATTTGAGTATGTTCGACATTATCTTGTTCTCTACGAACACCATCATGCTCCTCTACAAGCATTTCAAATGCTTCAGTGTCACTGGTACAAGGCGATGAAGGCAGTAGAGCGTAGTTTTCAAAGCCTTCGTCCGTAGCGCTCTCGATATCTTCGCTCTCACTGCCAGTAGATTCTGCGTCATCCAACTTCACTACAGAGTAATGATTAGAAATGCGTCTGCTATGCGTTATCACCGCTGCATACTCGGCCTCAAGCGCTGCGAGCGGGTCGAACGTCGCGAAGTCGGCGTGATGATCCATCTTGTGTTTCTTATGAATCTGATTGGGTGAAATTTACGAAAAAGGAAATAAACCGGTAGCAAAAGAGAGGTGTACCGGTAAAACATGCACTGACTTGATTGCGACACTTGTGTTTGACTGGTGATGCGAAGCCGAGCTTCTAAAAGCTAATGCTGCACTACACCGGGTCTGAAAGGGCCGTTATATCGGTGTACGTTACATATATACTGTATGCTACAAGATCAAGCTAAGCTTTATTGTAACAATGGATGAGCGAAGACATCCGATGTTGTCAGACGATCGATGGGGTTGCGCTGCAGCAGTGCTGACATCAGATCGCACACTTCTTCCGAGATGAACGAAGACATTTTCCATGCGCATACCACACGACGGATGCCAAGCTTTAAGAAGCTATAGAAGTCGTTATCGAATTCCTGTGCACGATGAACGAGCGGTGATCCCGTCAACATGATGAACAGCGTCATACCTAGCGGCCACATATCAGCGAGTATAGGCGAATAGCTCTGACCGGTCACAACTTCGGGCGCCATGTAGTAAGCTTTGCCAACTACTTCATTTTCGCACGTCCGCTCGGCGTCTGTGGCGAGCCCAAGGTCCGAGATCTTGCACACACCGTTGCACAACAGCACGTTCTTTAATGACACATCTCGGTGTGCGATGCCATTGTTGTGCAAGTAGTGCAGGCTGCGTGTCATCTTACAAAACAAACGCAGGGCCTCCTGCTCTTGTACTTGTCCGTTTGGCGAGCGCTGCGCTCGGTCCCAGAGATCCCCTTCAACACAGAGCTCCATGACCCGAACCACGATTCATTGTGCAAAAATTCTTCGCGAAAGTGCACTAGGTTTGGATACGGCGGCAACGTCAGAAGTTTAACAATGGCACGCTTCTCATGCCATGGGTTGTCAGCGTTTGGGTGCACCTATAGTAGGTTGGCAGCGAGATCGAGTGATACCTGCTTGATGGCTACAAGCTCATTGTTGTTTTGTGTGTCTTCACAGACGCATAATTAACAGCGCCGTAAAGCGCGTTGTTAATTTGTCGATTGAGGCGATAACGCTGGCGAATCATGACTTGTTGGATATAGCGACGGCTTCTGGGGAAGCTTTGAATGTTGTTGCGCGAAAGCGGAATGAGCTTGGATAGACCTCTTGGACAAAAAACCGTCAGCGTTACATTATCAGAGGAAGGAGTACAACTAAAGCAAATCGTTTGCTTGAAACATTTGGCAGAAAGACGAGTCATGACAAACGAGCTAGACTTAAGGCCCAATTGATCGGATTGATAGTCTCTTTCACTTGCCCCAATGCCTGTCACAGTCAATAGATATTGGTGTCTCACTGAAGAGGTGGGACTCGTTGATTCTTATCCTACTCGATGGGACTACAATTCTTAGCTCGTCATCATCGTACACTGTCGTGCGTGGGCATCCTCCTACAAGGTCGGTTCCCGTACAATGGATTCTGCTGAGCCCAAGGTGAGATCAAGCCTTTGATCTAAAGCTAAGCACTTCTATCCGTCTAGCTTATTTCTATCAATCCACCGCACTGAGCGACAAATGAACATGTATTTGTTAGTAGTTTAGTGGTCGTATGACCAGCGTAAGGCTGTACAACTCGCTTGGGCATTTTCGTACGGTCGTAGGTCATGATTAACCTTGCAAAAAGGGGGGTTTCATCAATTCGTCTAGACGCAAGGTTCGTCATTATTACTAGAGTCACAATTCCATTGCAACAAGATAAAATGTAGAAGAAAATCCGGATTCAAATGATAAAATGATACCGTCCCTTTGTATCGAAGGCTAATTATACCGGTAATTGCATAATGAGTTTTTACCGATAGCATTTATCTCAATTAGGTATTTATACTATCTATGGATATTTGGAATGTGGATTCTAAATTAAACCTTTCGCATCGCATGCATGTGTGCGTCAAACGATGACATTGATGTCTTGATCATCTTGATGGAAAGCAGCATTAAACTGGTTTTAAACGTTTATTTCTTCATAATAATATACACGTGCTTGTGTTGTTTGGTTTGTATCTACTTCCATCCATATAACTCTACGCCAATCACTACTTAATCGTCATAAACTCAGTCAGCTCCAGCAACTCTTCAGCCGTCGGTCTCTCGACTGGGTTGAGTCTCAATAACTTGCCCAGCAACCCAACCGTGGTCGGTGATATCCGGTCTGATAGCCCCCATGAGTCAATGACCTTGGCCACGCCCAGCTCGCAAAACGCCAAAAACGCCTTATTATCACGCGACGCGTTCGACGTGAGCGGCGAGCCCGTGAGCATAATGAACAACATGATACCAAGCGACCACATGTCGGCTGCAAAAGCATCGTACTTTTCCTGATTCACCACCTCTGGTGCCATATAGTAAGCCTTGCCCACCACCTCACCCTTGCCTCGAAGCGGTGCATCCGTGCTCAGTCCAAAGTCACCAATCTTGCACACACCACGGCAATAGAAAACGTTCTCCAATGACAAATCACGGTGCGCGATACCGTGTGCGTGCAGGAACTGCACACCGCGTACGCATTGGAGGAAGAGCTGCTGTGCCATAACCTCGGGCAGACGATTCCTTGGAGCGTGTTCCAGCAGGTTCCATAGATCACCACCGGGACAAAACTCCATCACAACACACCACGTATCCTGTGCGTGCAAGAACTCGTCACGAAAGCGTACAATGTTGGCGTGCGACGGTAGCGCCATCAGACGCGAGACCACACGGTGTTCACTCCAGGGATTGTCCATATTGGGATTAAGACGAAGTGCTGCTACGGCTCGTGCGAGCGACACTTGTTTAATGGCCACTGGTTCATTACTGCATTGTGCGTCTTCGTAGAGTCCCACGGGTCCATATAGCGCGTCACTAAGTGGACGGAGCAGAAGGAAACGATCAGCAAATAACATCGGCATTGGAAGACTTTTGTTCGTTAATAGAGAGAAATCACTTGTGGTTCAAGTCTCTAATTTGATTATGAACATTCGTAGTTGTCTGCAAAAATAGGCCTCGGAAATGTTTTGAACTCGGCATTTCTGACAACGCAGCAGATGCGGCATATTAACCAATTGGTATGACGCATCATTCGAAAGTCGAAGGAATAAATGCCGCAACGTTAGATTATGGCGCAACTCAAGACTTCCACGTAGCGGTAGTTGGCAAGCCGACCAGTCCATGGCAAGACAAACACTGTGTTTAATTAGCTCTTTAATCTGAATGACGACCTCTTGCAATGACTTCAGCCCCTTGGCCCTTGTTTGTAACTTTTGCAAGCACTTTAAATCGATTTGGAACACTGTTAGGAAACATGAAGCTGGACTGAGCCGTGCCATATCGGTCCGTCGCATGCATATAAAGTACTCGTCTTGCTAGCTATTCGAATGTCAAACAAAGCGGAGAGGGTGTAATGATTATGGATTTATACCATGATATCCGCGAGAATTGATGTACAGCCATGTCGACTATGATTTGATGCAGCTTCCAGGGTGATGCTCGACTGCACACGTGCCCCTACAGGACTTGAGAAACCTTTTGTGAAACTGTCATGAACAGAACCAGATGTTCCCGAAGAATAGAGTCTTGTGCAAGCGCAAGAAACCTAACTGCTGAACTTGGTGTCGCTGGTTTACATACCTTTCTATGACGACTGTGCGGATTCACCTTAGAAGAATAAGGAGACCGAACGTCGACGAAGCTAATGAATAACAAGCTGGAAACGATGGAAACAATACTGCTGCTGATTTCCTCTTTGGCATCCATCTCGGTGTGATGTCATCGTGCTGAGCTGGTCGATTATGGTTGGCTAAAGAAGCTTAAAGTACCTACTGACCTCTGCAACGTAGAAAATCCATTGGGAAGAAACATAGCTACCATCCATGCTGACTGCTTGAATTGCACTGAGCCATAAAAATGTGTAAATATTGATTGGTAATGAAGGTATGATATGATATCAATGTTAGAAGCTCGATCTAGTTATGATATTAATGTTAAAGGCTCGATCTGCTAATGTTTTGTTTATATAATTACAAAGTATATATTGCTTCGTGTGCATATGGCATATGCGTTGTGTAGAATTATTTGATACAGTTTCAATGTTCTTCGACGCAGTTGCGACTCGCTATATTTTTTGATCAAGTACCATGTGAAGCTGCAACAGTTGCCAAAAAAGCGCGTTGTTGCATGCCTCATTCTAGAAAATTGATCGTCATCTGCGAGAATTAGTGATCCTGTCTCATAGTTCTCGTACTTTTTTTGAAGTACATGTTATTGTACCGTAGATACTGTTTCTTTTAATAATGACGACTATGAGAGATTGCACTACCGATCTTTCTATTGCTTACCGGTCAAACAGCTGTTTCTTGCTCATTTTCCTCGATCGTATAGATAGATAAATTATTAGCTCAAAAGATTTCTAACGAATTATTCATGCACTTTTCTTTAGACACCAGTTTGTGCAGGTGTGGCTTGCTGCCTGCAAAATGTGATAACACTGCGTGTAAGCTGAAGTGTTATCTTTACCTCTTTGCCTTTGAGAGCGGGTCAGCGGAAGTACTGAAACTGGCGTTTTCTCTATCCAAAACTCAATTTACATAGCACCTCGTACATGCTGGTATTATAGTTGATATTGCAGCAACTCGTTCATCTCGTACTAATTGTACGGCCAAGTCAGTAGAAATGTGCTACCACTTGACACGGCACTTAGAAACATACCGGTATGTAAGAAGGTATTATAGGAAAATGACACATTGATAGCGACCAAGTTCTTTTACAACACGGCAGGACTAATTTTTGAGCGCACACAAAAAAATAAGAAACATCGCTGTGTATACATCTCGTATTTTTCGGTTTACTATCGTCACTATACCGTCACCTGCTTTCATCCTCTCATATAAAAAAAGCATTGATTAGTCCCATTCTTTTCCGGTAAAACGTGCACTTTTCATTCCTAGAGCTCATATCGCAAGAAAGCCGTTGGTCAACATCTATCGGTTGACTGACTCGCACAGCTTGATTCTTTTTTGACAGAACTTTATCTCGATCAGACTTGCCGTAACGGAAGGAGAAATACCGTGTCTGGTCTTGCTCGAGTTGCGGCATTTTTCTAACCGTTGCGTCATAATAATTGATATCAAGTGGCGTCGTCAGAATAGTGAGGTCTGACGACCCCACACTTAATAAACATTTTCGAGGTTTATTTTGCACGAATGTTCATAATCAATTTAGAGACTTGAACCACAAGTGATTTCTCTCATCAACGAACGAAAGTCTTCCAATGCCGATGTTATTTGCTGATCGTTTCCTTCTGCTCCGTCCACTTAGTGACGCGCTATATGGACCCGTGGGACTCTACGAAGACGCACAATGCAGTAATGAACCAGTGGCCATTAAACAAGTGTCGCTCGCACGAGCCGTAGCAGCACTTCGTCTTAATCCCAATATGGACAATCCCTGGAGTGAACACCGTGTGGTCTCGCGTCTGATGGCGCTACCGTCGCACGCCAACATTGTACGCTTTCGTGACGAGTTCTTGCACGCACAGGATACGTGGTGTGTTGTGATGGAGTTTTGTCCCGGTGGTGATCTATGGAACCTGCTGGAACACGCTCCAAGGAATCGTCTGCCCGAGGTTATGGCACAGCAGCTCTTCCTCCAATGCGTACGCGGTGTGCAGTTCCTGCACGCACACGGTATCGCGCACCGTGATTTGTCATTGGAGAACGTTTTCTATTGCCGTGGTGTGTGCAAGATTGGTGACTTTGGACTGAGCACGGATGCACCGCTTCGAGGCAAGGGTGAGGTGGTGGGCAAGGCTTACTATATGGCACCAGAGGTGGTGAATCAGGAAAAGTACGATGCTTTTGCAGCCGACATGTGGTCGCTCGGTATCATGTTGTTCATTATGCTCACGGGCTCGCCGCTCGCGTCGAACGCGTCGCGTGATAATAAGGCGTTTTTGGCGTTTTGCGAGCTGGGCGTGGCCAAGGTCATTGACTCATGGGGGCTATCAGACCGGATATCACCGACCACGGTTGGGTTGCTGGGCAAGTTATTGAGACTCAACCCAGTCGAGAGACCGACGGCTGAAGAGTTGCTGGAGCTGACTGAGTTTATGACGATTAAGTAGTGATTGGCGTAGAGTTATATGGATGGAAGTAGATACAAACCAAACAACACAAGCACGTGTACATTATTATGAAGAAATAAACGTTTAAAACCAGTTTAATGCTGCTTTCCATCAAGATGATCAAGACATCAATGTCATCGTTTGACGCACACATGCATGCGATGAAGCGCATTGTATTGGGTCCAATATTGCCCTTGCCACGAATAACACATTTCCAGTAGCTATCAGAGCTAAGGATGCATGTATCATATATGCAGCAGCGCCATCAAGCAAGATTGACGGCATGATGACGTATAGTTAACCATGATGTAGCAACCTTGGTGGATATTTTGCTCATTGTCCAAGGAAATGTACATGTAACCGACCAAAAGCTGTAGTTGCAAACCACATAAAGTTAAGATTTCGACATCAACATGGAGTTCATCATCAGTATCTTAGTACAGTCAGTCAGCCATAGATACCATCTAGAGGCAGTAGTAGTTACTTCTTGTCTGCAATAGCATCAGTTGGCATTACAAATAATAGCTTGTAGACAATGCTAAAGGTTCGATTTGGAATGACTACATATAGAGCCTTCTCCCTCATCCTGACAGGATCTGACGTGCTTTTTAACCACTAACATATACATTCCATTTTAGAACCTTAGTTGGCTTACCAAAACGTCTTGGTATAATAGTTTTATCATATTGATTAGGCATCCTCAGCTCGAAAAGACAAGTTGCAGACGACAATGATATCGTGACATGACGACCATCCACAAGTGTATATTAGTATTATTATACTGTGTCGCCTTTTATACGGTAAACTAATCCTTCTATTAGTTGCTAAGTCAACACTACTGCTCCCTTCATCGTAGCGTCAAATGTGCGAAAGAAAGAACGCTCTTACCTTCAAAAGCAGCTTAGAAAGCCTCACAGTCGCAAGTCTTGTAATCATCAAATGTTCACACTTTACCAGCGACTTCAGCCATCGTTAAAAACATCGTTTCAAACTTGCATTTTCCGCAACATAAGGCTTTTGCTCGTAGATTGACTACAATCTGGCATACCGTATAATAGCAATCAATACCTCCAGCTCGGTATGTTTAGCGGTAATATTTCAGCGTCAATCGCCAAAAATGCGGTCAATACGACGGCATTTGGATCATCCTCCTCGCTGTTTAACTGTGTTCTTTCCGTCTTCATTAAGCCCTTCGTCCCTTTCTTATATTAAGGATCAATGTACAATCTCTTGCTCATTCAGTCGTCATAATCGTTCTCTTACGTCCTTAACGCCTAAGAAACACTCTCCAGAGCTACCGACTTTACATGGCAAAAACCTTTTGAATCTTGTATCCAGAGCAAGAGATTCACATCCTTTAGACTGGTCCGAAGGTGTAGGAAATGCAGAGGAGACGGATCCATTGGATTTAAAAGATCCGCATTATGATCTAACAAGTGCAAAACTCAGTAAACTCTTTTCACGTTTTCATCCAAATCGTACGGCATTTCGTACCCAAAATATGGGTCTATTCCTGTAACAACTAATCTATTTGTTTTGATTTTTGACTCTATTTTTGTTAATATGGCTACTAGCTCATGGTATGGTATCATATGACGGATTTAAACAAGGGCTTGAAGCTATGGGAATTGCATGTGATGATAAAAAAGAGTTTCAAACCTTTATTGAACAAGTGGATAATGATAAAAGTGGAGGAATCACGTACGATGAATTTCTATACGCTATTCAAGAGATTAAGCTCGCACAACTTTTTAGTCCAGAATTTGTAAAGGCTCTAACGTTCGAGTATGCTCGTGTCTACGGTCATGCAGCTCCTGTGGCACAATTGGGCTCAATTGAGTACTCACCCGATCGAATTCGTAGTGCATATCCGATCAAAATGGTGGAAAGGTTTATGTACTCGAAACGACCAAATTGGGCCAGTGTGCGTTGGATTAATGTGGAAGGAATTGATCCATTAATGATGAGAAGACTAGCAGTGCGCTATCGGTTGCATCCACTTGCAGTGGAGGATACACTGGATGCCGATCTTGAACGACCCAAGTATGAGCATTATGACGAGCATTCTTCGCTAATACTTCAAACAGTGCACGCGCGTGATTTGAAAAAAGCATTGAAATATCAAAGCATGTATCGCGCTTCACTGTATGTTCGCGATAATGGCGTGTCACCGTTTGAAAGTATGAGCACGTCTGAGCTCGAAAGAAGACTTGACGATCTTGGTATAGGACGTATTATGGCTCTACCTGAACAACTGAGCTTGTATATTATGGAGAACGTGGTCATTAGCGTCCAGGAGGCTCCAAGTACGCTGTGGCCGACACTGAAACAACGGCTGGAAATGTCATACTCCAAGGTTCGACAAAGTGGCACGGCATTTCTGGTGTACTCTATTGTAGATGTGTGTGTAGACGAATTATCTCCAATTGCGCATACATATGGAGCCAAAGTAGCGATGCTGTCTTGTCTTCTCCGTCACGATCCACTCAACTTTGATGTTGATCGCCTAGCAAAATGCTCGAAAGAGATTAAGGGACTCAAACTACTGTGCAAGCCACTGCGTGAAATGACAACACAACTTATGGAGTCGAGTGATTTTGAGGGCGAGACGCTGCGATATTTTCGTGATGTGCAGGACCACGTAACAGTCATTGACGAGACCTGCGATCGCCTCCTTGATCGCTGTCGGAGTTTGGTAGATGATTTTCATAATGCACGGCACGCTCAGCAGAGCGAAGTTAGCTACACGCTCACCCTCGTTGCGACAGTGTTCCTACCAGCTCAATTTCTCACTGGTTTGTACGGTATGAATTTCGTGAACATGCCTGAACTGCAGTACGAGCATGGGTACATGATTTGGTGGGGCGTTGTATCAACTATCGCCACTGGGACACTTACGTACTTTAAGTTTTACAAGAAGTGGCTCTAGTGGTCCATAGATATCGAAGAGGCCATGGACACCAGATAAATTAATTGACGTGTAGACGAATATTTCTGAAAAGGCTTGGGGACACGTTTTCAACTGGTTGAATTTCTGATACTTTTTACTTGTTGGGAAAGGTGCGTCTTAGAATCTACTGGCTAATGGATGGATTGATGTGCAGATGTGTCATTTTCCTTGTAACTTTGTCACTGTCTTCTTCAGCCGCGTATGGATATAGCGATCCAAGGTAGACTTACTGGGTCTGGTAGTGTAAGCTTTGTCCTTACTCTTTGGGGTTGGTGATCAACGTACGATTTACATAGTACACATACGGCATTGGTGCGGACACTGCGGTACGACAAATCAATTGACACCCACGAGTTCAGCATTGATTACAAGTAGATTAATGTTTGACGTCAAACAACTTGCTTCATGTGCTGTAACTATCTTTGACTCATCAGTACTAACACTCGTCAGCTCTTACGGATGCAAAATATGAGGCTGTAGCTGAAGCGTGGTCAAAAATGAAGCACCCCTTTAGGGCTTGATCGCATGAAGGTAGTGACGCTGATGCGTCCAGCAAGTTTACTCTACCAGTCCAACTAGCTATGGGTGGGAAAAGGCTACAAACAGTACCTATGCTTCCCTGTGGAGTCTTGTTGCGAGGCTCGCAATCCAATTGACATTTCGTTGCAAAGTTAATAGTGAGACACTTGCTGATCGTAGGTAGTTCTTGTTGAAGAGTGATGTTGTGGCTACGTGTGTAGGATGTATACTTTATATGTTGCAGAGTTGTATTGCAGTTATTATAGGTTAGGATTGCATGGCTGGGTCAAGGTGCAGATTGGTTCAGTGGTTTGGGAAGGAAGATTCTACGTTACTAATGCGGGTTCAAACCCCGCCGTGGTCAAAGTTAATTGTGGCTGACACCTACGACCTGGCGTTCGGGGTTCACCAGAGCCTTGACCTACCCGAGGCTACGTCCCCCCACCCCACGCAGTCACCTTTTGTTCTGCATAGGCTATAGTGGAGTTCTTACCATAGAGTGTTTACCTGTGGTACAGACAGGGCAACAAATCGGTGGCTGAGAGTCACCGGCTTCTTATGACCATTCGTTTTTGAGATAACAAACTATTCAAAATACAACTTACTTTTCGGTTTTGATCCCCAGCCGTAAGCCATCTTCAAGTTAACGACAACTCCATTACCTAGGTAAATCAACAGTTCTGTGGCTATCTTAGTTTCGTGGTGCAGTTGACGGTGGAGGACTAATAGAAACTAGCATTTGGAAGATGTGATACCAAGCATCCAGGGCATTTTGGTACACTGTTCAAAGTTATTTGCGCATCAGTGATGATATATCTGATGATGGTTCTAATTGGGACTCCCAAGCTGTAGTCAGAGAGCGGACCTGATGCGGCCTCAGATGGCAGTCGGTACGCTGGTTTACGAGAAGACAGTACAGACTCTGTTGCTACTCCGCAAATGCTGTAGCTGCAAACTGTGCCAATAATGACGCTGGAGAGTACTTGGCTTTTGCTATATCTATCTCCAGCACTATCAACACATGCAACATGCATGCAGATCCAACTACTCACCAAGAACTGTCCAGACTAAACGCTAATGCGAGATTTGACCACGAGGATCGTAGTAACAACTACAAGACCAACAGAAGCATCAGAGATGGCAAGTCCATAATCGTTGGCCGTACCACTCCCTCCGTAGTCAAACTCTATGAGCAGACAGACAATAGCATAAGCGCAAGATGGTCTCCAAAAGCTCGTGTTTCTCCTTCCTCTTATGCTGCTCTAGCACCGCATCCGCTACTCTTCTCCAGCTGCAACATTGGATACGTCCGTTCTTACATTATCTTTCGCTCAGCGTTCGGCAGCAAAAATGCTGCTTCTTGTTGTCAACACATTCTGCGTCTGCTGTTCTACAGTCACCGTCAAGCTGTTGCGTTTGTTGAACAGTGTCAACTTTTACTCTTCTTCATCTTTCATTGATTCTCTTGACTTTCGTGTGTTTTGTCTTGCTTTTGACAATATTTGTCATCTGGTGTTCTCCATCACTTCTACTAATCGTATTCAAACTGCAATACCAATTGCCACATATGGTATTGTGTTTTCGTATCGCATCAGCTGCATCTCGCGGTTTGGACGGGTCTGTGCAGCCGTAGGTGACAAGTTATGGGTCTTCTCTGTGTTTGTGATAACAGCTTTGCGCGATTGCTTTTCTTGGCACTTCTTGACCGGATGAGTACGCAGCACTGAGAACAACTTCACGCAGCACTGAGAACAACTTCACGCAGCACTGAGATCACTCAGTCATCTCGCGCACCTAAACAAGTATATTAACAATCGTGCCAACAAAACTTCACATATCCGGCTGTTCAGTGAGAAGACGGATACGAATTCCGTCGTCTAGTACTCCATCCAATAGGTGGTGCTTGTAAACTGTCGACACGTTTGCTACACATAAGAAAATACAAAACAAATACAACAACAATTAGAAAAACTTGATCATATCTCTTGGATTATTAGTCGTACAGCTACAAAAACAACTACATCATCATCAGTAAGAAACCAAGCTAGTAAGATATTATACATACAAAGAAGAAAGAATCGCAACTAAGGCAAGCACAATTGTAGCCACAGTATTGACTGGAGACTTTTTATCATCCAGGTATTTCATCAAGAACGACATCATAGTGTAAGATAACCACTGACCAAATGGAAGACTTAACATTAGACAATGACTGCCTCGACCACCATCATCCAAAACATTAAATTGTTAAGCAACATCTTTTTTATTCTTGATCGGGGAGGAGAAGGATAAATTAGAGGGCTTTTTTGTTGTCAAGAAGACGCCTCGACCAGCTGCGGAATACCGGCAGATACCGGTATGACCTTCACTCAGTAGTACCGCAATCATTCCTGTGATTATGGGACAATGTTTACGCCACACGTGGGTACAAGATTGTGGGTACATGATGGGATCTACGTGGCACTCGCTGATTGGCTGAAGTAACTCAGTATCCAGTAAAGAATCCAGTAGAGTGTATCCAGTAGGTAGGACAAGAGGCTTAGAGGTAGCAAGTAGCTTGTGAACTAAGGACCTAAATCAATCACTTTGCCTTTTGCACCAAACTACGAAAGTGACCTTTCTTTAGGTTATGAGCCCAAGCCCCGCAGACTCTGCCCCCGCCTTCAACTCCGACTTCGCCTACGTCATGGACACCTCCGCTCCGACCCAAATCCACAAGTCGACGGAACCAACTTCCACACGTGGAAGTTCAAGATGCAGATGGTGCTCGAGGATCGCGATTTGTAGGAGATCGTGAGTGAAGAGGTGAAGCTGGAGCACTGCGCAACCGTTTTGGAACAAACGGGGTTCAAGAGGAAGTCGCGCAAAGCGCTCGCAATCATCTGTCTCGCAATGGAAGACTCGCAGCTACCATTGGTCCGGTCAGCTAGTGGCGCGCATGATGCATGGTCAAGACTGGAAGGACACTTCGAGAAGAGGAGCCTGGCCAACAAGCTCTTCCTTCGTCGACGTTTCTTCACGACGATGATGGACGAAGGTGATGATGCTGGAGCACATTAACAAGCTTAAGACTCTGGCGGAGCAGCTCGACGCGGTCGGCGCTCCGGTCAGGGAGGACGACTTGGTGATCACGCTTCTTGGAAGTCTGAGTGAATCGTATCACTTCCTCATCACGGCGTTGGAGTCGAGAGCTGACACGCTGACATGGGAACTCGTGAAGTCTCGGCTATTACATGAAGACATGAAGCGCAAGGAACAAGGTGGTGGTGCCAAAGGAACTGCGCAAGGTCAAGCGTTCATGACTAGTGACAACAACAAGCGCAGAGGGCGTCCGGAGAAGAAGAAGGTCGGAGCATGCAACTACTGCGGCAAGCAAGTACATTGGATCGCAGAGTATCCTTCGCGGATCCAAGACAACAACAACAACCGACAGCGGTCACAGCGTGCGAATGTGGCGCGCGAGGACGAGGATGCCGGTGACTATCTCTTCTCGGTTGGTGGTGGGAGCAGCGCCAAGTCGAGTAATGTATGGCTGATCGACTCGGGTGCGACTCAGCACATGACGTGTTCCAAGAAGTTCATGAAGAACTACAAAACCTTCGATCCAGTTAACGTACATCTCGCGGACGACGGTGTGGTAAAGGCGATCGGCAGTGGCGACATTGTGATGACAATGAAGACTCCGCGCGGGATCAAGAAGGGTGTGCTCACCGGTGTGTGGCACATTCCAAAACTGTCACGCAACTTATTCTCCGTTGGACGTTTCACCAAGGATGTTAGACCGGTGATTTTTGAAAGCGATGGGTGCTTCGCAGAGTCGAAGAATCTCAAGTGGAAGCTCGGCGCGAGAGCTGGCAAAGGATTGTTGAAGCTGTGCATGAAACCGGTAATGCCTAACGAGGCCAATGCGGCAAGTTCGGAGGATCGCAAAGGGGACACCACGCCGTACCTCTGGCACCTTCGACTTGGTCACATTGGCCATGGCGGTCTAGACGCCATCGTCAAGAAAGGCTACGGCATTGTTCTCGACATGACGTCAGTGAAGCAGTGGGAGGTGTGCGACGGATGTTCACTCGGCAAACAAACGCGAGTGAGCTACATGAAGTCATCGTCAAACCGTGCGAAGGAGCTGTTGGAAGTGATTCACAGCGATTTATGTGGCCCGATGCAGACGTCGACTTTCAGTGGCAAGCGCTATTTCGTCACGTTCATCTACAACAAGTCGCATTTTTGCGTCGTGTATTTACTCCGAAACAAGTCGGAGGTTGCCGCCAAGTTCGCTGAGTTTGTGGCATTCGCTGAGACTCAAACCGTCAAACGTGTGAAAAGCTTTAGACGCAAGTGCAAGAACTTATTAGTGCTTGCACTTGCGTCTAAAGCTTTTCAGAGCTTCGGAGTGACAACGGAGGCGAGTACACCTCGGGCGCGATGGCCAAGTTCTGCAAGGATCGCGGCATCAA